CGGCTAGCAATTACTACAACGACATTGTGAATTTTATAGAGTTAAATTCAGACAAATTCTGGTATTATCTCGAGTTTTCCAACATAGGTTTTATTGGGAAGTTGTTAAGATCATCTGACCTTCATGATTTGTCAGATTACATGATGATATTCTTTGCAGATCAGCCTTGCGATCTTCTACTTCTTGCCTTATGCAAACTTAAAACGCAGACAAAGAGGATAAAGATTTCAAAATCAGTATTCCAACACATAGGTGTCATCTCATCTTTGCCGGGAAAGGTGCAAAAAATAACCGACAAAAACTTTAAAGACTCGTTTGTCTTCAATTTGAAGCGAAATCATCGTAAGAGATACTATCATGTGAATCCCTCCGCCAATATAGAAACGGATATCGAAGTGTCTTCCAATCATAAACCAGAGTATGCATATGATTTATCAGATGATTATTTTTGGGGAGTCAGTCCTAGACAGGGAAACTATTTCCGGATCATATTCGATGCTCCTCAAAATATAAGTTATATATTCATAGATTCTGGTATTGAAGGAAAAACATTTGACATACTGCATCATGCTAAACTTTCAGTGTCAACTGTAACACCCGAGAAGGAACCATGTCAGAATAGATCAAGTATCACAAACTTCACGAATGGCGATGTCGATACCAGGGAATCGAATATTTCACTTCCGGTCAATATACATTGCGTTGTTATTGAGATAACGGCAAGATATACAAGTTGGGTAGTCATCAGAGAGATTGCCATATTTCTTCCCGGGGAAGTGGAAACTACGGAAGCGAAGAGTAGTTCACTGTCGGAAAAATTAATCGTGAAAAGTATGGAGATTGGAAAGCAGACAGTACAGAAAAGGTATCCATTTAAACAATCTATCGTTCGCGGACGACCCATTATATCTATGAATTACAAACACAAGCCAGAGAGTACTAACACAAACGATACTGTAAATCCTACGGAGAAAAGTGTCAGAGGGTTTGAAAAAGAGAGCGATATAAAGCAGGTATCTTATCTCAAGCACACAGCGGTATCTTATATGGAGAATCCTATTAAACAACAAAATGATACGCTCACACAGCAAGATGATAAGTTGATAAAATACAACTCTACTAGAATGAATCAGTTTTATCGAAAGCGGTTTTATCATTCGAATCCCTCAGCAACGATATACACACAAATAGAGACATTTTCTGGCTACAAACCTGCCTATGCATACGATTCATTGTCGGACGCATATTTCTGGGGGGCTTATCCGAAAAGAGGGGACTATTTCACTATATTACTGAACTCTCCACAAAACATTAGTCGAATCTTCATCGACTCTGGCTACGAGGGAAAGGAATCTGACATGCTGTATAACGCTAAACTGTTGGTATCAACCGGATCACTTCTCTCAGAGCAAAAAAAGTGTCACAATCTAACAGTTGTAGGAGTATTCCAAAATGGTGATATCGATACTGGAATTTCAAATGTTTCCCTTCCGGTAAATATAGAATGTTTGGTTATTGAAATAACGGCTGATCAAGTTAACTGGGTCATCATCCGAGAAATCGCTGTATTCCGACATGGAGAGTCATCAGAACTGGCAAAAAACACAAGCGTTTCGTACATGCGAAGTGAAAGTGAAATATTTGCGAAACAGACACTCAAAAGAAATGAAACTGTGGTAGAGGTATTGGACTTGACACTGCCAAAAGTGATTGCTCAAAACAATAATCATGTTGTGAACACAGACCTTCGGAATTATCCATCAGAGGAAACTAACATCAGTCCTTTAAAACTACATCTCCTGAAAGATGGTATAGGCCGGCGCCAGAAACTGCCTCCAAATAGCCAGCCAATCCATAAACAAGATGAGAGCACGAGAACAAAATACAGAAACACCATTAATGTACATGAGAGGACCAATCCAAATGACGAACAGAATCTTAATTTGTATAACGGAGACAAAAAAGTAAAACAAAAGACCCCTTCTCTACTGCAAAATCATGAAGCCAGACCTGATAACCGTATAATGAATAAAGAAAAGCTTACTGTGGATCCGTGGCAAAGCATAAATATCAAAAGTGTTGAACATTCAGGAAAGACAGGCGGAATTAAGGCCAGTGCTACGCAGGTACCGGAAATACGTCAGAGAGTCGTCAGCTACAATGCCGATCAAAAGAATCTTGTCGTTAACAAAACGGAATTAGATGGAGTGAATCAATTTTCAAAAAAACGATTTCATCATGTTAATCCGTCTGCCAAGTTATACACGGGAATTAAAGCATATTCTGGACATGTGCCAGCATACGCCTATGATGTATCAGACAGATACTTCTGGGGAGCTTACCCAAAACAAGGAGATTTATTCTTTATAGTTTTTTACATCCCACAAAACATCAGTCGTATATTTATAGATTCGGGTCATTTGGGCAGAGAATCCGACATGTTGCACAACGCCCGACTTTTGGTTTCAATCAGAACATCTGGCGAAGAAGCAAAACCATGTGAAAAGCTCAAAACATTAGCAAACTTTGTGAATGGAGACATCGACACGAAGATTTCACACATCCCACTCCCAGCAAAAATAGACTGCATTGTGATTGAAATAACAGCCAGTCAAAATGATTGGCTGATAATCCGAGAGATTGCAGTATTTTTATCTGAAGAGTCACCAACTGAAGGAGCGGACAAATATGCAGATTCTGCATCACTGCAAGACCACAAGATTGCTAAAAAGCCAATCCAAGTCAGAGGGAGGAGCCCATTAAAACAATCATTTACAAAAAGTACGGTAGATAGGCCGGACAGAAATTCTGGTCACCGTTTCGATAAAAGCGAAAGACATCAGCAATTAACAAAAGGATATAAAAGACGACATCATCAAAGTAACATGATTAAACAAAGTGGGAAGAGTCCGAGAGGCTTAAATAGTCCACAAAGACAGGACTCGAAATCTCGTAAAAACCAGGATACCTCCCTAACTGTCACGAAATAACCAGCAAAGATAAAATAGGCTTATCTCGTACAACACATGGACAATGTTAACCAGAATGTATAAACAAAGCAATAACGGCTGGATTTGTGAAATATTTAGAACAACGGTGAAGCATACCCCATACAGGGCAATAATTACTAAAGACTCATTTATACGCGTGTATGTAGAGTAGCACTTAACGCTTGCGAAAAAGGGTTGTCGGTTCTCCATTTTATTCATCTTTTATTTCTTTTTTATCCCTGTTTTTTTTTTTTTTTTAGAAACACACACACATGCACACGCACACAAACAAAGAGCAAACAGATCATACCCATATTTATTAAACTGCAGTGGGATTCTTAGGGTTTTCCAGGTTTATTGCTGATTATTTTAAGAAGTATATCAATTCATCTTTTCACTGTTTGATGACTTTTTCAATATACTGTGACGCGAACGTGACGTCACGACATGGCGATTGGGAGCTACATAAAAGACCTTATGTGACGTATGTCTTTAACTTATGAATATTATTTCATTTATTCTGAGTTGACAGTTGATCTTTTGAGAACCAGCAAACAGGGATTCAATGCGAGTCTCGAACCTTTTCTGTGATACAGGATTGTAGGTGTTAGAACCGGGCTTTCTTATTGTGATGACGAAGGTGAAAAACAAGTGGCATGGGGTATACGCAGGTTGTGGAACAAGACGAGGTAATGAGAGTAAAGGTAGTGTTCGGGTTGATGGAACCCAATCAGTGTCGTGCTTGTCTCATACTGGACATGGGTAAGGCCACATTTCACACTGAAATGAGATAAGACTTATCTCATAGATTAGACTCATCTCATACTGGACATGAGTAAGGCTTATTTCATACTGGGCATGGGTAAGGCTTATTTCATACTGGGCATAGATCAAGCTTATCTCTTACTGGACATAGATAAGGCTTATCTCATACTTGACATAGGTAAGGCTTACCTCATACTGCAAATAGATAAGATTTATCTCATACTGGACATAGATCAGGCTTATCTCATACTGGACATAGATCAGGCTTATCTCATACTGAACATAGATCAGGCTTATCTCTTACTGGACACAGATCAGGCTTATCTCATACTGAACATAGATCAGGCTTATCTCTTACTGGACACAGATCAGGCTTATCTCATATTGGACATAGATCAGGCTTATCTCATATTGGACATAGATCAGGCTTATCTCATATTGGACATAGATCAGGCTTATCTCTTACTGGACACAGATCAGGCTTATCTCATACTGGACATAGATCAGGCTGATCTCATACTGGACATAGGTCAGGCTTATCTCATACTGGACACAGATCAGGCTGATCTCATACTGAACATAGATCAGGCTTATCTCATACTGGACATAGATCAGGCTTATCTCATACTGGACATAGATCAGGCTTATCTCTTACTGGACATAGATCAGGCTTATCTCATACTGGACATAGATCAGGCTTATCTCTTACTGGACACAGATCAGGCTTATCTCATACTGGACATAGATCAGGCTTATCTCATACTGGACACAGATCAGACTGATCTCATACTTGACATGGGTAAGGCTTCTAAGACCTTTTTCATACTGGACATGGGTAAGGCCTACCTCATACTCGATGTGGATAAAGCCTTTTTCATACTGGACACGGGTTACGTCTATAAGGCCTATTTTAAATTGGATATGGGTAAGGCACATCTCCTATTGCATGTAGAGAAGGGTTACCTTATAACAGAGGTTTTATTTCACAGCCATTTTCTGATCACATCCCCCCCCCAACCATTGTCATGGAGAAATAGTTTTATATTTTCTGTTTCTGTTCTGTAATTGGGAAACATTACACAACTGAAGTTCTACCTCCGATAGTGTAATTTGTGCCTTCTGAAATAAACCTGTTATATGATAATAATAAAATACTACTGTATATAGCTTCAATGATTGGAAGGTACCTTATACAAGGTGTATTCCAGACATTCCATGTAAGTTAATAAAACACAACAATTATCAAAAATCTATAGACTTTATTGATATAGAATGTTGTTAGATATCAATTACAAAAACACACATGTAAGACCTAATCCTCAACACTTTACTGATCAGTAAGTAATGGTGACAAAACAATCATAATTAAAGATTACTTCAAAGCTTTGTAAATATCTGCGTAGTCAACATTGTAAGCTTGATATTATTATAAATTAGTCTTGTAAACAAATGTTATGTGGTATAAATTTAGACTGATTTGAGACAAGAAATACGGAGACAGAAAAGTGGAAATCACAAATACATTTCATTATTGACATACCATCTAAATCGTTGGAAACAAGATTTCTGTGTTCTAAAGATTTATAGACTTTTCTGTGTTCTATCAAATATTTCACACACAGAGGTTTATTTTACTGTTACTGCAGATAGTTCAATGATCCAGTCTCTTACAGTAACGCACAAAAGTCTATGAACTAACCTACTTGACATTTCATTTCCTGTACAAAAATGTTTCAGTCAACAGGATTATATTTATATTATATATTATATTTCTATAGCCCCTGAAGAAAGTCTCAGTACACACCTTGTGAGCAAAGTACATGTTCACAATTTCTGATCAACTTGTACACACCATTCAATGATCACAACACTTCCAAATTACAACCTAGCAAGTTCATCCATGTAGGCACCCATCACTTTGATCTGAGAAAACAAATTAAAATGCCATATATAAATCAGACTAAAGTATGATTACAATACACATTTTAAAGGTATCTGGTTCACACCTCATCATAATTTAAGCTAAGAGACATCAGCTATCAACAATGATCAATACAAAAATAAAAATCGCAAAAAAAAAGTCCGAACACTTCAGACTTAAAATGTTTCCTTTGTTTTTATAGATTTTGATTGTTAGAATATGAATATAGATAAATTCCTTATAGCAATTATAACTCAAATGTTATGTAATCATGTCTTACAAAACTTGTATAAGTTATAATGCGATTGACATATTTTGTGCCCTGGCAAGCCCCTGGGTCCAATATAAAAATTCGGAGTTAAAATCAGCGGTGGGCTTATTACAGGCCAATGAAATAAGCACAGTGTTTTGAATTCTACTAAACAGTAAATGATATGAACAGATTTACTACCATGTAAAACTATATATGGTCAACAACGTAACCTTGTATGAAACCTATACAAGTGGTTGGTCAATGTAAGAACGATTACAAGTGTCAATTCAATGAAAACGATCTGGTTTCCTTGTCACTAGGTCTAATAAAAACTATCAAGGTATACATGATTGAAAAGGAAGAAAAGAAGATGAGGGCAGATAACGAAGGTTATTTACTTGTTAACAGTGCTAAACCTACGTGTTGTAACTGGTATTGGTAGGTGAGAGATAGTGTAGGAATATATCACTGTGTGAATGTGACCCTTGTATCCAGGTTAATCTTCTGACCCACTGTTTGCTCTTACACAAAAGTTATTAGAAAACATGTAATTCATTTCTAATCTAAAAATTTCAATCTCTGAGAAATGTTGAAATGGAGCTTAGTCTTACCGAGATGTCTTTTGGAAGGATGTGTGGGCATATTACACATGGCACATAAGGCATACAAAACCTCCATGCCCTCTACAGTATTTTCCTGTATCTGTCAACTGAATGTCTTACCCCATTGATGTAGTTTATGACATCCATTTTCTCATTCTGTGAGTGTGCACCATCATCGGAACAACCAAGTGGGAGCAACATGACATTTTTCTGGGTAGCATCCTGGAATGTCAAGGTCACTGGTATGCTGCCACCTTCACGGGTCAAGTCTGGTTCAACGCCATAAACTAAGTAGAGACAACACAGAAAGGTCAAATAGGCTAAAAACCAAAACAGAAAATATAAAAGGAATAATTACCAAGTTACAAACTCAGTCTAAGGCACATAGTCTGGGAATGACTCTCAATGAAGAAAAACTCAAATTATTAACCTTTTTCCTTTTTCTTGTCTCAAAGTAATTGTATTGATAGACCACTATCAGTATTGAGGCTCTGAGTTCAAGTGTCAATGTTTAACAAAAAAAAAACCAAACAAACAAAAACATGATCACGCATTCATTCCTTAATGTTTAGAAAGATGATCGTTTTAATTCAAAACCATTAGCACACTTTCTACATTCCTAAATATCGATTATAAAATTATTACAGGCTATTCTGCTGTAAGATTAAATCAAATACCTCTTTTCATGGCATTTATTCCTGCCACAAAGTTCGGATCATTGTAGTCACTGACCCATGGTTTCCCACCATGACCCATAGTAAGCCTACAGATGAAGAGAACATACATTTCTTTGCATGAATTGACATTCTTTTACTGCTTAGATAATAATAGAATTGAACACAAAACATAAGAAAAATATAATTAAACAGAGCCTTCATCAACCTTCATCACAAACTATCACTGAATATATATATTAACTACAGGCAATGTTAAAGTCCTGCTCTCCTTTAGTTGTATGGTTATACAAGCAGTGGTATCATTATATCATAACAAAACATAACTCCTCGAAAACAACATGACTTACAGAATTTCACAGTGCTTGTACATTGTAGTCAAATACCAATTGAAACTTCATTGAAACAATATTTTCAAAACTTACTTCATTTGATTGGGACTGTTTCTTTCCTTAAACTTTTGTTCCACATGTTCCCTGACAAGACGCTCTATTTCATCAGGGGTTTGGTTCGGTACCAGTCGGAGAGAAAATTTTCCAATGACTTTCCTTGGAATAACAGTCTTGGCTCCAGTATCACTAAATGCTCCCTCAATTCCTAGAATAAACATCATAAAGAAAATGTAGGAAATCCATTGTTTATAACAAACTAAGAATTTTAACATTTGTGATTTTATTCTGTGCAAAAACCCATCCGTAACATGGAATCAAAATGATGTGACCCCCTCCCACCCGATCAGGTGTAAAGCTGTGTTAAACTTAGAGTATTTTCTCAACAAGAAAGAATGCCTTGATAGTTGATGGGAATTCTGATATTTATTTTGGCCAAAATTAGCTAAACATGGGCTATTAGAGAAAGGGTTTCTTCAGCTCTTACTGAATTATGTGTACATGATGAAAAAATAATAATAATAAAATGTATGTCTATTGTTTCATAATTCAATTAATATAAATCACACATATGTTTCAGTCTTTCTTTTATATTGCAATTACAATAATGCAGTTTCATTCCATGAAACAAAAATCATCCAACGACAGAATATCAATTGACATCCTCGAAAAAAAGTCAACATTAGATTTTGTCATTGTTTTCCTCAGTTTGATTTTTCTTCTGCAAATTAGACGCTAATTTACTTCATCAAAAGGCTATAACTATTTTTTAAATGTTGCTCAGAAAACAGGTGACACACCGAAACAATTCAACGCTTGCACAAAAAGTTAAATGAGCTTTGATAGTCCAAAACATGTCTAAATTGCAATCATCCCCAATTATCAAGTACATCACATCAAAGCCATATCCCAATCCTTCCAATTTTAAAAAAAAAACATCTTGTACACTACAAACAACACTATAACAAATATATGCACCCAATTACAAATACAAGTTATCATGTACAGAAGTAGCTCTATACTAACACGTGAATATCCATCATCATTATAGTACAAAACAACATCATTGGACACAAACAGGTACTGACCAAAGACAAACGGGAGAGGAGTATGGATCATGGACAAAGACGGGCACTGACCAAGGACAAACGGAAGAGGAGTATGAACCTTGGACAGAGAGGGGCACTGACCAAGGACAAACGGGAGAGGAGTATGAACCTTGGACAGAGACAGGCACTGACCAAGGACAAACGGGAGAGGAGTATGAACCTTGGACAGAGAGGGGCACTGACCAAGGAGAGAAAAAATTGGCCAAAATGGAGAGGAGTAATCAGTAAGGACAGAAAAATGTACTGATCAAAGACAGAGAGGGACCCTGACTAAGGACATAGAGAGGTGCTGATAGAGGAAAGATAGTGTTGACTAATGACAGATAGGGGTACTGACAAAGAACTAAGAGAGGAATCATATCAAGGATAAAGAGAGGTACTGACCAATTAAGGACAGAGAGAGGTTCCATACTGACTCTGTACAGAGAGGGGCACTGACTCAGGACAGAGAGAGGTTCCATACTGACTCTGTACAGAAAGGGGTACTGACTAAGGACAGAGAGAGGTTCCATACTGACTCTACAGAGAGAGGTAATGACAATGGACAGAGAGGTTCCATACTGACTCTGTAGGGGCACTGACTCAGGACAGAGAGAGGTTCCACTACTGACTCTACAGAGAGGGGCACTGTAAGGACAGAGAGAGGTTACTCTGTACAGAAAGGGGCACTAAGGACAGAGAGAGGTTCCATACTGACTCTTTACAGAGAGGGGCACTGACTCAGGACAGAGAGGTTCCATACTGACTCTTTACAGAGAGGGGCACTGACTCAGGACAGAGAGAGGTTCCATACTGACTCTTTACAGAGAGGGGCACTGACTCAGGACAGAGAGAGGTTCCATACTGACTCTGTACAGAGAGGGGCACTGACTCAGGACAGAGAGAGGTTCCATACTGACTCTGTACAGAGAGGGGCACTGACTCAGGACAGAGAGAGGTTCCATACTGACTCTGTACAGAAAGGGGTACTGACTAAGGACAGAGAGAGGTTCCATACTGACTCTACAGAGAGAGGTACTGACAATGGACAGAGAGGTTCCATACTGACTCTGTACAGAGAGGGGCACTGACTCAGGACAGAGAGAGGTTCCATACTGACTCTGTACAGAAAGGGGCACTGACTAAGGACAGAGAGAGGTTCCATACTGACTCTACAGAGAGAGGTACTGACAATGGACAGAGAGGTTCCATACTGACTCTGTACAGAGAGGGGCACTGACTCAGGACAGAGAGAGGTTCCATACTGACTCTGTACAGAGAGGGGCACTGACTCAGGACAGAGAGAGGTTCCATACTGACTCTGTACAGAGAGAGATACTGACAATGGACAGAGAGGTTCCATACTGACTCTGTACAGAGAGGGGCACTGACTCAGGACAGAGAGAGGTTCCATACTGACTCTGTACAGAGAGAGGTACTGACAATGGACAGAGAGGTTCCATACTGACTCTGTACAGAGAGGTACTGACAATGGACAGAGAGTTACTAGTCAAGGATAGAAAGTTCATACCCTTGACAGACAGGGTTACTAACCAAGGATAGAGAAGGTTACCTTACTGAACATTGGCAGAGGGGTACTGGTCAAAGACAGAGAGGGGCTATGACTAAGGACAGAGAAGGGTACTGACAAAGGGTGTGGAGAGGAACCCTACTTGACAGAGTAGGGTCCTGAGTGTGAACAGAGAGGGATATTGACCATGGACAGAGATGTGTACTGACCATGGGTAGAGATTATACTGACCATGAATAGAGAGTGATGGGTATCTCCAGCGGTGCATCAGTATATCTGGTTTGTTGTCATATATCAGAGCATTACAGCCAGTGTCAGTCTTGTAATCTTCCTGAAATTATTAAAAGAAAATAAATTCATTAGGATTGTGATACTTGCCTCCTTGATCATAAAGGAGTGATAATCTGGCCTTGTAGTGCTGTTGTATACGACTTTTTAACCATAACCTAATAAATTTGAGAAACATTCATTGTGCACTTTTAAGCTAACAATCTTTAACAATAAAAACTGAGGACTGAATTTAGAATGGTAAGACAGCATGAAAACATATATGAAAATCTGCAGAATAGAGACGGGATCAAACGGTGAAAATGAAGATAGAATTTATCTAAGTAGTTGGTACCTACCACAGAGAAGTCAATAGGATCATACTTCATGCGTTCCTCCTCTGTGAGCTCCGCTACAGTATCACTGATTCCTGGGATGAGAATTTTGCCATTACTGTCCACCAATGTGCCCAGGACACCCACCAGATCGACCATAGCCTCGTGTCTAAACCATTCAAAATGACTCCATTACAACATGTCTTTTCCCTAGAGATTCTTAACTGTCAGTGTTATTTCACATTGTCTTTTTCCTGGAGATTCTTAACTGTCAGTGTTATTTTACAATGTCTTTTTCCTGGAGATTCTTAACTGTCAGTGTTATTTTATATTGTCTTTTTCCTGGAGATTCTTAACTGTCCGTGATATTTTACATTGTCTTGTTCCTGGAGATTCTTAACTGTCAGTGTTATTTTATATTGTCTTTTTCCTGGAGATTCTTAACTGTCCGTGATATTTTACATTGTCTTGTTCCTGGAGATTCTTAACTGTCAGTGTTTTTTTTACATTGTCTTGTTCCTGGAGATTCTTAACTGTCAGTGTTTTTTTTACATTGTCTTGTTCCTGGAGATTCTTAACTGTCAGTGTTATTTTATATTGTCTTTTTCCTGGAGATTCTTAACTGTCAGTGTTATTTTACATTGTCTTTTTCCTGGAGATTCTTAACTGTCAGTGTTTTTTTACATTGTCTTGTTCCTGGAGATTCTTAACTGTCAGTGTTTTTTTACATTGTCTTTTTCCTGGAGATTCTTAACTGTCAGTGTTTTTTTACATTGTCTTTTTCCTGGAGATTCTTAACTGTCAGTGTTTTTTTACATTGTCTTGTTCCTGGAGATTCTTAACTGTCAGTGTTTTTTTATATTGTCTTTTTCCTGGAGATTCTTAACTGTCAGTGTTATTTCACATTGTCTTGTTCCTGGAGATTCTTAACTGTCAGTGTTTTTTTACATTGTCTTTTTCCTGGAGATTCTTAACTGTCAGTGTTTTTTTACATTGTCTTGTTCCTGGAGATTCTTAACTGTCAGTGTTTTTTTACATTGTCTTGTTCCTGGAGATTCTTAACTGTCAGTGTTTTTTTACATTGTCTTTTTCCTGGAGATTCTTAACTGTCCGTGTTTTTTTTACATTGTCTTTTTCCTGGAGATTTTTAACTGTCAGTGTTTTTTTTACATTGTCTTGTTCCTGGAGATTCTTAACTGTCAGTGTTTTTTTACATTGTCTTTTTCCTGGAGATTCTTAACTGTCAGTGTTTTTTTACATTGTCTTTTTCCTGGAGATTCTTAACTGTCAGTGTTTTTTTACATTGTCTTGTTCCTGGAGATTCTTAACTGTCAGTGTTTTTTTACATTGTCTTGTTCCTGGAGATTCTTAACTGTCAGTGTTTTTTTACATTGTCTTGTTCCTGGAGATTCTTAACTGTCAGTGTTTTTTTACATTGTCTTTTTCCTGGAGATTCTTAACTGTCAGTGTTTTTTTACATTGTCTTGTTCCTGGAGATTCTTAACTGTCAGTGTTTTTTTATATTGTCTTGTTCCTGAGAATTCAGTGTTTTTTTAACTTGTCAGTGTTTTTTTACATTGTCTTTTTCCTGGAGATTCTTAACTGTCAGTGTTTTTTTACATTGTCTTTTTCCTGGAGATTCTTAACTGTCAGTGTTTTTTTACATTGTCTTTTTCCTGGAGATTCTTAACTGTCAGTGTTTTTTTTACATTGTCTTGTTCCTGGAGATTCTTAACTGTCAGTGTTTTTTTTTTTTTTATATTGTCTTTTTCCTGGAGATTCTTAACTGTCAGTGTTATTTAACATTGTGTTGTTCCTGGAGATTCTTAACTGTCAGTGTTTTTTTACATTGTCTTTTTCCTGTCAGTGTTTTTTTACATTCTGGAGATTTACTGTCAGTGTTTTTTTACATTGTCTTTTTCCTGGAGATTCTTAACTGTCAGTGTTTTTTTATATTGTCTTGTTCCTGGAGATTCTTAACTGTCAGTGTTTTTTTATATTGTCTTTTTCCTGGAGATTCTTAACTGTCAGTGTTATTTCACATTGTCTTGTTCCTGGAGATTCTTAACTGTCAGTGTTTTTTTTACATTGTCTTGTTCCTGGAGATTCTTAACTGTCAGTGTTTTTTTACATTGCCTTGTACCTGGAGATTCTTAACTGTCAGTGTTTTTTTACATTGTCTTGTACCTGGAGATTCTTAACTGTCAGTGTTTTTTTACATTGTCTTTTTCCTGGAGATTCTTAACTGTCAGTGTTTTTTTACATTTTTTTTTACATTGTCTTGTCTTTTTCCTGGAGATTCTTAACTGTCAGTGTTTTTTTACTTAATTGTCTTGTTCCTGGAGATTCTTAACTGTCAGTGTTTTTTTACATTGTCTTTTTCCTGGAGATTCTTAACTGTCAGTGTTTTTTTTACATTGTCTTGTTCCTGGAGATTCTTAACTGTCAGTGTTTTTTTACATTGTCTTGTTCCTGGAGATTCTTAACTGTCAGTGTTTTTTTACATTGTCTTGTACCTGGAGATTCTTAACTGTCAGTGTTTTTTTTACATTGTCTTGTTCCTGGAGATTCTTAACTGTCAGTGTTTTTTTTACATTGCCTTGTACCTGGAGATTCTTAACTGTCAGTGATTCTTAACTGTCAGTGTTTTTTTTACATTGCCTTGTACCTGGAGATTCTTAACTGTCAGTGTTTTTTTTACATTGTCTTGTACCTGGAGATTCTTAACTGTCAGTGTTTTTTTTACATTGTCTTGTTCCTGGAGATTCTTAACTGTCAGTGTTTTTTTTACATTGTCTTGTTCCTGGAGATTCTTAACTGTCAGTGTTTTTTTACATTGTCTTTTTCCTGGAGATTCTTAACTGTCAGTGTTTTTTTACATTGTCTTTTTCCTGGAGATTCTTAACTGTCAGTGTTTTTTTACATTGCCTTGTACCTGGAGATTCTTAACTGTCAGTGTTTTTTTTACATTGTCTTGTTCCTGGAGATTCTTAACTGTCAGTGTTTTTTTACATTGTCTTTTTCCTGGAGATTCTTAACTGTCAGTGTTTTTTTTACATTGCCTTGTACCTGGAGATTCTTAACTGTCAGTGTTTTTTTACATTGTCTTGTACCTGGAGATTCTTAACTGTCAGTGTTTTTTTTACATTGCCTTGTACCTGGAGATTCTTAACTGTCAGTGTTTTTTTACATTGTCTTTTTCCTGGAGATTCTTAACTGTCAGTGTTTTTTTACATTGTCTTGTTCCTGGAGATTCTTAACTGTCAGTGCTATTTCACATGATCTGTGTTTTGTCTTAACATACATACATGTCAGCTGGTGTGGTAAGAGTGATGTTTAGCATCCTTTTGTACACGATATATGTTACATTCTCTATTACACACTCTCTCTACAATGCTTGATATTGGTAAATAATTAAGTAATGATAAGTAATGATAAAAAAATACAAAAAATCTGTTCAATCTGTCATGTACTCATGCAGGTATTGGATTGGGACAAAATACACAAGACAGTTTCATATTTTAATGTGCTATGCTGTATAGTCTGTTTAAGGTTTTTAGGTATTCAAATCAACCAAACACTTTAATAAAAGTGATGTATTTTTCATGAAACCTCTTTTTCATGATTTATGCCATTATCAAAGAGAGCAAAAATACCATTCCTTAAAATGAAAACCTGACTGTATACACAACCCCTTCACTCAGAGTTTCACTTACACTGTGCCACCATACAATCCAGAGTGTAAGTCCTTGGTGGAGCCACATATCTCCAGGAAAAAGTAGCAAATTCCCCTGCAGAAAAGAAAGTTCAAATGACCACAGTGCTCATACATGTATTGTTTATTGAGATAAGAGACTAGAAGACAGTTCAGTCATACCTGTCCATGTGAACACAAGTTGATTTTATAATGACAGCCATTTTGTAATGGTCCAAATTGCCAAAATGGTCCAAAAAACAGTGATCATGCATGTTCCACCAAATCATGGACTATTGCGACAGATTTCAATTGAAATATTAAAGTTATTTTCACAGTCAAGTTAAAGCAACTAGTCTTTCAGATAAATCAAAATATAATTTGTCAAAAATCCTCTAATGGCTGGCACTGGATTCAATATTTTTACTACAGAGCATGAACCATTAAAAACAAAGTTTAAACAACCTCTACTTCTAGAATTTAAATATGTTATTACTATAGACTGTTTAACTTACGGTATTTTAGATTGAGTTAATATATAACTTTATCATTATTAGATAGTTAGCAAAATGTTTACCAGGGTTTTCCATAAGAGCCGGTCGCTGGCCAATTTGACCGGCTACTTTGATCATTTGGCCGCCTACACCAATCTAGTTCCGTAATAATGTTCCTTACACGACTACACGTACACGGCAGGCCAGCCTCCTACTTTCACTACACAGCCTATTACTAACAAAATTATGGAAAACCCTGGTTTACATAATAATTAAGGTATAACTTCAATATTGTCAACACTAACCTCAAGCCATATGTTACACATGGCTTTTTCTTGCCGAGCCAGTAGTTGTCTGATATACAGACAAAATCCACATCCTGTAGGAACGTATACACACAATATCAGTGTACATATACCATACATTAATACATAAGTTTATTAGAGTAACTGAGTGAAATTACTGTGTGTATTTGATATCCTCAAAATACCAAACAAAACATCGTGAATTGCTTAATATGCTTAGGAAAACAGTGAAGATGTCATGAACTTGATCACTAACACATATGAGGAAGGGTACTGTATCATGTCAGACTTTAACCTTGAGTGTAACATTAGTATCACATTTTGTTTATTGCTTTATAGACACAATAATTTTCCTGTGAAACATAAATCAATACAAACCTCTTTAAAATTTGACCTTCACCTTCAGTGACTTTAACCTAACTTCAACTAATTACGCTAATCATTATGTCATAAGAAAAAAATTACTTGGAAAATATTTCAAATTTGACCTTCACCATCAGTGACTTTAACCTAACTTCAACTAATTACACTAATCATTATGCAATAAGAAAACAATTACTTGGAAAATATTTCAAATTTGACCTTGACCTTAACAATGACATTCCTCTGAAAATCAAAAGTAAATGAGAGTAAGTTCTTCCTCTGAAGAAGTACTCAGAAAGTCTGAGTTTAATAATCGAAAGAAAACTGAAGATATTTGTCAGAAATCGATTTTCTTCTGATAATTTTGACCAGTGACTTCTATGAGTGCTATTGGCACAACAGACCTTGACATATGTTACCAAAAAAAAGAGAGAAAAAAATGTACAGACAGATGGACAGAAAACCATATTAGTATTGGGCTCCTGCAATCCTCAACTTCAAAGTGGGAACCCTTATCACTTGATATTCCCAAAATAACAATGAAAATAAGCCGTAAATGATTTATCAATAAGAGAATTGATATATCTAGAATGTTAACAATTGACAGATTTTGTAATGTCATATTTAACTAAGATGTCATAGATTTTAAACCAGAAGTGAGTCATGTCACAATATTTGAGTGATTTGAGGAAAAGTTTTCATATTTCCAGTTGTCTTAATACATCATGATTTTACTTATTAGGTACTGGTAAAATGTCTTGAAACTAAAACTTATTTTCAGTGTAAACTATACAATAAAATTGAGGGTAAATATGTATAATTCAGGCAACCATAGCTATGAATCCCACTTTCCAGATGAGATTCTTGAATGTCCAATCCTTTGCAGATCTTCTGGTTTGACATTTACGTATCCCCTCTGTTGAGATTTCTTGTAATACTCTCAAGGAGGGAAACTATTCTATTAGTCTTTACTGACCTTCACTTCAATGACATTCAGGAAACTGAAAATATATATTGATTGTGTGGGAACAGTCTCTACTGACCTTCAGGAAGCCTTCCTTGCTGTTGTTGACCAAATCATCTAGTCCGTCTGATCCACATTCCTCCATCCCCTCAAACATAAACTGTAAAAATCAGAATATTAATAAATGTCTGCACTTAAAGACATATACAAATGACAAAAACATTGAAGATCTATACACACATACCTTAAGGTTGACAGGGACAGGCATTTTATTTATCTTCATTGCCTCAAGACAGTTGATCCAAGCCAGTACTGGACCCTGTAAAAATTTGAAATGTGGAAATCATTTACAACGGCCTTTCTCATGTTATGAACTGATCATTAAAATTTCCTACAGGATCTAATGATATCCTTCCTCCTGCGAAGAGAATGTTAAAAATACTAATTTTTGATACAGATGAACCTTCATTTACACCATGAACTTGCTACTTCTAAATGTGTCAACAACATTTTTCAAATTATCTGATCCAATCTACTAAGAAGTACAGACAGGCTTAAAGAGAAGGAAGGAAAAGTAAATATATCTTGAGGAATGGCAATTTCAATTCTATGTGGAGGAGGTTGGTGGAGGGGTCCAGTCTATGTGGAGGGGGTTGGTGGAGGGGTCCAGTCTATGTGGAGGAGGTTGGGGGAGGGGTCCAGTCTATGTGGAGGGGGTTGGGGGAGGGGTCCAGTCTATGTGGAGGGGGTTGGGGGAGGGGTCCAGTCTATGTGGAGGGGGTTGGTGGAGGGGGTCTATTGGTGGAGGGGTCCAGTCTATGTGGAGGGGGTTGGTGGAGGGGTCCAGTCTATGTGGATGTGGAGGGGGTCTATTGGAGGGGGTTGGAGGGGTCCAGTCTATGTGGAGGGGGTTGGTGGAGGGGTCCAGTCTATGTGGAGGGGGTTGGTGGAGGGGTCCAGTCTATGTGGAGGAGGTTGGTGGAGGGGTCCAGTCTATGTGGAGGAGGTTGGTGGAGGGGTCCAGTCTATGTGGAGGAGGTTGGGGGAGGGGTCCAGTCTATGTGGAGGAGGTTGGTGGAAGGGTCCAGTCAATGTGGAGGGGGTTGGTGGAGGGGTCCAGTCTATGTGGAGGGGGTTGGGGGAGGGGGCCAGTCTATGTGGAGGGGGTTGGGGGAGGGGGCCAGTCTATGTGGAGGGGGTTGGTGGAGGGGTCCAGTCTATGTGGAGGGGGTTGGTGGAGGGGTCCAGTCTATGTGGAGGGGGTTGGTGGAGGGGTCCAGTCTATGTGGAGGGGGTTGGGGGAGGGGTCCAGTCTATGTGGAGGGGGTTGGGGGAGGTGTCCAGTCTATGTGGAGGAGGTTGGGGGAGGGGTCCAGTCTATGTGGAAGGGGTGTGCGCATGTGTCCCAGTGTAAGTGGGAGGAGGGAGATAAAGGGTATGTTGAGGAGGATCCAGTGTATGTGGCTGGGGTATCCAGTCTATGTAGAAGGAGGAGGGCGGTATCCAGTGTTTGTAGACAAAAGGGTCCAGTCTATGTGGAAGGAATGAGGGAAGTATCCAGTGCTTGTTTGGGCAGGTCAGTGTATATGTGGGGATGGGTCCAGTTTATGTGAAAGGAGTGGGGGAAGTATCCAGTGTTTGTTTGGGCACGTCAGTGTATATGAGGGGATGGGTCCAGTTTATGTGGAAGAGGGGGGAAGGGGTCCAATCTATGTGCAAAGATAGTTGAGGTTTAGACTAAATAGAGGGAGAAGGAAATTGTGTTAATGTGGAGAGAGGGGAACCAGTTTAATGTGTATGAAAGGGGAGCAGTCAGTATGAAGCGAAGGGATAGGAAAGCAGTCAATGTGATGGTGGACAGATGGGGCAAATGCTATATGCTAAAAGCATTTCATGAAATAGTCACAATGGTCTCATAAAACATTCAAAATTCCAACTTTTAAAGCATTGTTTAATTTGTATAAAGAAGATAATATTTGGAGAATTATCTACCTTGTCGTCTGTAGAACCCCTGCCGTAGATTTTTCCATCCTTTTCGACTGCCTTAAATGGATCCTCTTGGTCCCAACCATCTGTCTGAATAACACAAACTAGTTAATTTACATCTATTAACACTTATGTTGTTAACAACAAGTTATTTCTATAAACATTCCCATTTTAATCTCCATCAATATCAATAAGTCATTGTTAACTGTTAGTACTAATCCTACATCTGCTATTGTACCTTCAAAGCTGGCTGTACATCCAGATGTCCATAGACAAGCAGGGTCTTCTTTTTGGGGTCTTTGCCAAGTGTACCTTGTAAGACTGGGGGAAGTGGAATTTTCCTACCTCCTCCGAGGTCTTGTTCTCCTAGATCCTTCAACTCAGTCTCCGCACCGAGTTTATCCATCAGCTAGAATGACAGGAAATTTAGTCACGAAGGCTTTTGATTAATAACAAATCTATCCTTCAAGTTTTAATATAATCACTTCACCAGAAACGCAATTTCTAATTGTTTATTCCAACATTATAACTTAAACTTCAACACATTTCTATCACATAATTTTTCATACATATGAAGCATTATCTCAATCCATATGATTCATCAACAAAACTTTGGTGAGAAAAATGAAGTAAGTAACAAAAAAAAGAAAAATTTAACAAGAGTGCTGTGGACACAATATACGCCGCCACAAAATATAAAGATCAAGATTGGTCCTTTTAATTATCGCTTTTAACATTTCTGTATCATAAATCTTACAAAAATCAATGAACCGTAAAATCGCCCCTTCATGCACATCAAACCATTGTATTAGTGACAATGAGCAAGTTTTATGAAAATCTGATCATTAGTTTAGGAGGAGTTGCATTCACAAGACATGGATGTACGGACGGACAGACGGAGAAGATGACGCCAATATACGGCGTATAAAACACTGTGCTTTATAACTTGTGTTATGTCAGTTTAATTGATGTTACCTTAAAAATCTGATTTCATATTACAATGTTTTACAAAAAAGCTGTCTGTGTACCAAAACCCTTGGTCAACATTGGTGACTTAGTGATGAAAGTATGAAATCATGGTACTTGCTCGTAATCATTTTTTGGCTCAATAGATCTACTGACCTCCTTTGTCCAGCACACCATTCTTTTGACATCGTCACGATTTTCTGGCCATGCTGACACACTTTTGATGGCCACCGCCTCTTTCAGACGTTCGATGTAATCTCCCTGATGCTCATCTATGTACCTGCAACAGTAAACAAACTGATGTTTGCTTCTACTAAGTTAATACTGGTGATATTTTATATAACCTGTGCTAATAATATGACTATCACTTATCAAGTCTCTTTTTTGTTATACTTAAATTTACGCAATACGTTCTGAAATTATTTGTCATTATTCAGTTTCTTTTTTAAATAAGTCACCATTTGTGTTGTGTTTTTATATCTTTCTGTTTTTTTGTGTAATTCAGTCATCCTTTGTATCAATTGTAGTTTGATATAAATAGCTAATTTGATGTTTGCGACATCAGTCACTATATTATTTGTATCATTGCTGGTTTCTATTTCGGTCACCTTTGTATCCTGATCTGGTTACGTCCAGGTTTTGGTCACTTTTTGTGTCAAGTATGTTCACCATTCCCTTGTCACTATCATTGTTAAAATTAAGGCACTTTTTGTGTTCTCATTGGATACATTTAGCAACATGATTTTGGTCATTTTTAGGTCAACATTTCTGTGCCATGTACACATGGTTTCCTACATAATAGTGGAAGATGATATCACACATACCATCATGTGAATGTACATGAGTCCAAATTTCAGTTAGCTCATCTGAAAATCATGCAATTCATTTGAGAAAGTCCTTTTCCATAACCTTTTTGGTCCAAGAAAGCCATAAAGACAATCTAAATGTCACACTGGGTCAGAATTTCATTACGTACCAACTTCAAACGATGCCTTACTTACAAGTAAAGGTCCAGTCTGAGTGTTCTGGTTTATTCAGGAGGAGTGGCAATAACACAATTTTTATTTATGGTGGCCATCTTGAATGTAACATGGGTTCAAATAGCATTTGGGACTGTAAGTTTGGACCATTTCCCACTCATTCGTGAAATTAGAGATTTTGTCCCTGCATAATTTCAGGAGAAGTGCAAATACAATTGTGATATAGTATTAAAGATTGTACAATGACACAAAAGTGAATAGCATCTTTTCATAATTAAGAGTACAGTATAGCCAAGCAATGAATTAAACTGCATCATACAGCTATCGCTATCATGGGTTGGATCTTGAAAATCATGTGGCCAACTTATTGATATAGTGAGTCTGTTTAGGTATCACCATCTAATTAGGAAAAGTAGTGATAACCATGTAAGTAATTGTTTAGAATAGTCATAAGGTTTAACATGGCTGTTGTGGTAGGCATCATTAATGTTGTAAGGATTTAGATCTCAATTCAGATCAATTATAACCCTACCCACCAGTGATGAGCCTCCAAAACATCATTCATTAAGAAACTTTAATACGGATGATAATTCATTAAAACTCACACTGTCAATGCACAAGTTGGACACTACTATCATAATAAAAACATTCCATCTTTACAACCAATCATCATTTCTTTATAGTTTGTTTGGTAAAACAACACTGAATTTTTCATGACCCGATAATCCACTTAAAGTGTACCTGCCTCTGTTAGAGCACCCACACCTTTTTTTCTGGGAAAGGTAAGTATTTGATTAAGCCCATACATAAAAGGACTGCTTACTTATCTATCAAATAAAATTATTATAAATTTAACATCTCTTTATACCCTGTCAATAATGATGCTGAAGTTTTTTCATCAAATTGTACTTCCTTTCACCAGAATCTTGGGTCTCAACACATACTTTAAATGGAAACTTTACCATGTAAAAAGTTTTAAAAAGCTATGAGGTGTGCTTGCAGTGATATTTGATATTCCAACTGGAATTATCTTAAAAATGGGTCTGTCTAGACATACAGGATGACTCATTTTCACCTGATCTTTTTATTTTGTGGTATAAAAAAACTACAAATCCTGAATCACACATGTGGTACCCAATTTATTTTACAAACAGTCAGTAATGACACAAGATTCTGAGAAAACAAAAACAAAAAAGAAACAAAACAAATTTTTTTTTTCTTTTCTCCATTAATATTCAGAAAAATGAGTACACATACAAATGAAATTATTTAATACATAGACAGATGAGAAATCACTGAAATCCTGATATGTCATCTTTATAAACCTACAAATATACTTCACAAACATCAGAAAAATTTGGACATGGTTACACAGCTAAGTCAGACACATGATGTAGAGAAAATGCACATGCTCGTTACTCATCAGTCAGGTTACAAAAGACAAGTGCCATATTAACCATGACTGAAACAACTTCTGTTTAACCTAAGGAAGAAGTCAAGTGTTGATGAGCACCTACTAGTCAGAGCAAGGTCTGAACCAAGGGTAGGAAAGAGGTCACCTTCAAACTGCCTCAACACAGAGAGTGCCTATGAAGTAAAAAAAATATTTGACAAGTTATAAACATGTCTAACAAGTTCAAACCTTCTACTATTCTAACAAATTACTGTAGTCAACCATAGGCCATTTTGCAGATGACTTAATAAGACTCAATAGACATCATGGTGACCATGTTTCCTCTTTACATTGCATTTTCATATTCATATAAAATTGGTTTAAGCCTGTAATATTTAGGATGTAAATAAAACTACAAATGGCACCAAGAAAGAAATTGTCACTAAAGTACTACAAGGGATCTCAGTATCAATGTAAAAGGAGTGATATTCTTTCTATTCCATGTTATTCTCAACCTCGGGTGATGATCAAACTGCCCTTTCAACAACAGGTCCCAGAGAGATATCTTGGCATCCAACATCCATGATCTTCATTGTTTCTATTTAAAACTAATAATTGCTGTTTAAACGCGTTGTTTCGTGTCCAGTTATAATATTGGTGAATAATTCAGGATGGTAACATTATATGTTCAACAAGATAATAATACAGTGATGATGAAATGTGGTTTCTTGATAACACAATCATTAGTGAGAGGAAGTCACACAGACAAGAAACCTGACACCAACCAATCCTAATAATGGCTAAAATATTCAAATCAATGCCACTTAATCGGCACAATAATAACTTATTGCGTAATTTTATGGCTAACATGCACAATATAGAAATAATGAATCAAGGTTTACAAATAAAAATTTTTTTTTTTGCCAAAACTAAACCAAATTAACAGGGTCTGAAGTACGATTTTGTTGTGACTGCAATATTATCTCTAAAATGGTCATTTTCAGCTCTCTTCAATATGTGGTATGTAACATATGGACTCTTAATGAACAGGCTATTAAGTTGATTAGTAGTTCCTGGAAAACAGGTTCCATTAATGTTTAATTTAACACAAAAAAACGATCCAAGTAAGTTTCAATCAAAACACACACCAATTGTCACCAGTGAGTGGGTTATTTATTGTCAAAATGGCTTCTGGCAACCACCTTGAATATAGGATATATTCAAAATGTGGACTGCATAACAAAAACCCCAAGCCTACTGATTGTGTTAAATTTCAAGAACATCCCTACAATTGTTCAGCAGAATAATGATTAAAAATCAAATGTCAAAACTATAATGTTAAAAATTCCATATCACTAACTTAAGTATAAATAAGTATAAATATGTACCAGGTATGTCGAAGTCTGTGCCCAAATATAAGTGACACCTCATTTTGAAATTCAAATTAATGACTGAAATTTCAATAAATTTCATAGATCAATGCCTTATATCAAACGTTCATATAATATTTCAGAATTATTTGTAAGGTATACAATACCCAATTCAATACATATATATATAGTGACAGTTCATACTAAACTCCACTAAATGATAGAAAAGCAAATACACATATAATCATGTCCTTGATCCTACAAGTTGTTCCTATGATATTTTAGGATCGTCTTTGCACTAGACAATAAATCTATATATAGTGACAACTCATACTAAAAATTCCAGGAAAGGATAAAAAAAGCCAGCATACATTTAATTATGTCCTTGATACCATAAATTGTTTATACAATATTTCAGGATAGTTTTTGCACTCGACAATAAGTCTATATAGAGTGACAACTCATTAAAATGTTAGAAAAAGTCAACATACATTTAATTATATTCTTGATACCATAAATTGTTTATACGATATTTCAGGATAGTTTTTGCACTCGACAATAAGTCTATATATAGTGACAACTCATACTGAAAATTCCACGAAAGGATAAAAAAGCCAGCATACATTTAATTATGTCCTTGATACCATAAATTGTTTATACAATATTTCAGGATAGTTTTTGCACTCGACAATAAGTCTATATAGAGTGACAACTCATACTAAAATGTTAGAAAAAGTCAACATACATTTAATTATATTCTTGATACCATAAATTGTTTATACGATATTTCAGGATAGTTTTAGCACTCGACAATAAGTCTATATATAGTGACAACTCATACTGAAAATTCCACGAAAGGATAAAAAAACCAGCATACATTTAATTATGTCCTTGATACCATAAATTGTTCATACAATAGTTCAGGATGGTCTTTGCACTAGACAATAAGTCTATAAAGAGTGACAACTCATTCTAAAATGTTAGAAAAGTCAACATACATTTAATTATATTCTTGATACCATAAATTGTTTATATGATATTTCAGGATAGTTTTTGCACTCGACAATAAGTCTATATAGAGTGACAACTCATACTAAAATGTTAGAAAAAGTCAACATACATTTAATTATATTCTTGATACCATAAATTGTTTATACAATATTTCAGGATAGTTTTTGCACTCGACAATAAGTCTATATATAGTGACAACTCATACTGAAAATTCCACGAAAGGATAAAAAAGCCAGCATACATTTAATTATGTCCTTGATACCATAAATTGTTTATACAATATTTCAGGATAGTTTTTGCACTCGACAATAAGTCTATATAGAGTGACAACTCATACTAAAATGTTAGAAAAAGTCAACATACATTTAATTATATTCTTGATACCATAAATTGTTTATACGATATTTCAGGATAGTTTTAGCACTCGACAATAAGTCTATATATAGTGACAACTCATACTGAAAATTCCACGAAAGGATAAAAAAGCCAGCATACATTTAATTATGTCCTTGATACCATAAATTGTTCATACAATAGTTCAGGATGGTCTTTGCACTAGACAATAAGTCTATAAAGAGTGACAACTCATTCTAAAATGTTAGAAAAGTCAACATACATTTAATTATATCCTTGATATCATAAATTGTTTATACAATATTTCAGGATAGTTTTTGCACTCGACAATAAGTCTATATATAGTGACAACTTAGACTAAAATGTTAGAAAAGCCAACATACATTTAACTATGTCCTTGATCCTACAAATTGCCTATATAATATTTCAGTTCTGTCATTGCAATAGGCCTAGACATCTAAGAACGATTTTCAACGAAAATCGTGCTCTAGGCTTACATTTTAGCTGGGGGCAAAAAAAACAAAATGAAAGTAGAAAGACACTCCCCTCTGGCTTTTTACTTCATGCAGATTTAAGTTACTGTAAACGGGGAAAAAATTAATCCCTATAGTAGATATGAGTTTTTATCTTCATGCGGTATACCAAAGACTTCTACTTACGCGAATAACTTATCCATTGTGTCTTCTTTAGGAGCTGCTGTTCCAGATAGGTGTCGACAGTTTAGTTAATTCCAACCGGAAGGAAGAAGAAACATTTTCACGTGATTATTAATTTGCTATCGGGCTACAACATTTGCCATAAAACGTACGGATCTATCGTATTAATTATTTATATTAACAACATGTGGTACATCTTAAAAAACACACATTAGAGTCAATGCGATAACCTAAAGCATAAAACAGATTTAGAAATAAGTATCTTTGCGTTCCTAGTTTATTTCGTACATGGCGCTAAAAACGTCACTTCCTATTCTCATACGGGCACTTCTACCAATATGGTGGACATCTTGTGTCATGGCGAAATGTGTTGAGGTGGGTATTTTCATAAAAATAAATTCGATTACCGAATAAATGAACATTTACGGTGTGTTTAGTTGGCTATCGAAGTCAAACGGTACACGTGCTCTAAACAGATGCACATCACAATGTTCAAGAGTTTTGAAGAACGCAGATCGTAGACATCGGCATCGGACCAAGATTTCGCGATTCGGCATGATTTGGGACTTGTCTGGGCTAACAGACGAAAGAACATTAGCGGATCAAAGCGTTTTAGTTCTGTTTTTGATTTTCGCGTTGTACAGTAGTGTATCACAATTTCCCTTAAACCAAACTTCTATCCTAATTGAAGAAATCTGTTAAAATGAAAAGAAAAACAAAAAATTACCATTACCTGCTCCATTTTGTTTTCAGACAAGCAGCAGTCTGAGACCTTTGAGTCTGTACTTTGATTTAGGCATAGTTAAATTCTAACGTATCAGCGAATGTCATCATTATGATAACATTCAGTGTGAAATCCTGTTTGATATTCTATATTAATGGAATGAATGTGCCTTAGCCCATTTCCAAGCAGTGGATCCTTTTTTGTTGTGTTCAAATTACTATGGCTCGTGCTTATCATTTAAGATATACTTAGCCACATTCCTACAGCAAAAAGAAGCATTCAGGCAGATATACCTTTCAGAAATTATCTTAAGTCCAAAAGTCTCGGAGTACCTCTTTTTCAATTGTCTTGCTTGGGTTAGCATTGAGCACAGAACCGCATTTGGGTAATAGTCCTGCATTTGATGGATAGTTACTGCTTTGAGTAAGCAATTAATTACCGAAATGGGTCTTTTTCGTTCTATTCAATAATAGCAATAAAAAGATGTCATATTTTTGCCATGGCCCAATTACCAATGCAATATTGTAATATTTACTAAAAATTGAATGATTCAGTTGTCTTACTTGTTGTAAAAATGCCCAGTAGTTTAAAGGTGTTAACTCAAGTTCTACAACATGCAGGTATGCACCATATGCATTTTTTCTTTCTTTTTTTTTTTTTTTGATATTCCCATCACACTTAAGAGGATGAAGAGTCGTCATCTCTAAACCTACAGTCATTATAACATAGGTATTTTGTTATAAACTACAAAGGATAATATAAACATGATGATATTAATGTTGTCTTGTGTGACATGAATGTTGCTGGCTATTTGGAACTGTGATGTGTACCATTTAAACTGCTTCTGGCATGTACAAATGTTATTTTACAATTCTTGTATAAGGATAGAAATTGTTGCTTTTGATTGTCTAGCATATATAAAGTATATGAAAAATGTTATATTGAATGTATTATTATAGATTTTTTAATTGAAAATTGATGCTGATGTCTTTTAAATAAAATGCAGACCTTTTGCATGAGAAATTAATATTGTCAAAGGGGCATAACTCCAGGTAACCAACCATCTTTGTATAATGTGACAAACCTTTTGGTCTGACCATTCCATCATATATTTGAATTGTGTCCTCTGTATGATTGGTATTTGAACTTTAGTGTCGCACAGATAAAAAGATTGCATACTTCATTGATATTTCAATAAAATATTATGTCTTTTATAGGGTTGTCATGGATACACAATTTATGCCCTGGGTACTCGATCATTGAAACCTGAAATGTACCCAGTTCCTCACAAATTTTAGTAACTGATCGCCACAAGATCAAGGTGACTGATCTTGTGTAAGTTAATCTTTTAACCTAAATTCAGGCCTGCAAAGCTTCAATGTCTGATATCCAGCTTATAAATTTGCTAAAATGTTGTGTTATTTTGGTATGCAAAAACTGCTTAAAAATCACATAACAAACAAGTTGCAAATACAATTTTGTTGCTATGAAATTTTGTATGTTTTTGTTCTTGTAACTCTTATTTTTCTTGCTACTGGCAAATTTGGGATTTCCCAACAGTGTCGGATAAAAACAAAAATCAACCAAAGATATTGTTCCATGAAAAGACCTGAGGACTACCTCTAATTTCTACATATGGAAACTACATTAGGGTTGAGTGACTTGAGATAAATTTTCAGCTTTTCAGAAAGCATATGTTATATATTGGTAAAACTATAAACTGAACCTGTGTTCTGGGATCACTTTCTAAAGGTAAACGAAAGTCCTAAATGCAGAATCAACTTGACAGGGACTCACCAATGGGTTACCTGGTACCTTTAATATGAAGTGTTCAAGAATTATTTATATATTATTATTTTAAAGCAATGTTCCTGTGAGTATGGTAGATATTTTGTTACATAAACTTCTGTCATTTTACAGCCCTGTTAATGACATGGACCAGGAGGATTCCTGCTCCGATTCTGTGCAAGAAGAGCCACAACAGAGCAGCACTATGGACAACCAGCAGAAAAATGACATGGAAGAGGTAGAAACTGCTGAATCTGATGTAGAACAGACAGAGGATGGGATCTCAAGGAAGAGAAAAGCAACAGCCATTGTAGATAGTGATGAAGATGATGAGGAAGAAGGAAGTGAGGATGAGAGTGATGAAGATGAGGATGGTAGTGACGATGAAGATGAAGAAGATGATGGGGAGGAGGAGGATGAAGAAGAAGTTGGAGAAGGTATGGTAGCATTGGATGTGGGGGTAGAATGAAAGGAAATATTTTACGAAGATTATGGACTGGACAGTGAAAATGTAAAATTATGGGGACAAACATTCATAGAGACCATCACTATTGCAGTCAAAATCATGAAATATTCAGAGTATATTTTTTTGTATATTTTGATACAGATTTTTAGATTAGACATATTTTTTTGTATTGAAATACCTATAGTGGTCTGATGAACACAATCTAAAACCTTTATTTCAGAATGGGAAACTGATGAGGAAGAAGATGAAGAGGATGGAGAAGATGAAAGCCAAGAAGCCTCAACGTTATTGGAGAGTGACTCTGATGGTGAAGGAGAAAACTGTCCAGTTTTGTCAGTGCTCCAGATAACTGTGGGGTTTTCACTCCTACCTTTATAAATTGAGGGGACCCCTGCCTTCATCAAGTGTACATTGGGACACTGAATTTGTAAACATTTTAGAGACATGTGACCACAACTTCTGTCTTGAGTGTATCCAGGAGTGGTCAAATGTAGGTATTCTGGGATGTGTTGTTGCCAGATATAATATCTTTTTTATGAAATCAGATAGTTTTAATTTTATGTTGGTGTGAGTGGCTGTTAAATCTTCAGCTCATACCATTGAACAAAAGCAAAATCTAACACTACAAAGCCGTTATAGATTTTGATTGGAAGAAGCGTGATCCCACATTTGTAGTTGACCTAACTGAATAAGGCAGATGCTTTGTAATATGAACAGAAAATTCCTAAAGAAGTTCATTCATATGGTATATAATTATAATAGACTGAAGTTGATTGATTTGTAACGTTAGATTACAGCCAGTGATGTTTCCGCTGCATCAGTCGGAAAGTGAAAATTAGACCTTTCTAGATAAGATTTCAAAGCTTGAATTTATTATGCACTACCTGGTATATCCTTTCAGAGTGAAAATCTGAGTTCTTTGAAAAGTTCATTGATTTACAAAGCCTGACTTTATAATAAAGGAAATGGTGTAACCTTTGCAACAGTAAAAAGAAGCAACTCTAAAGTTTTATTAATGATACAAAAAAACAAAATCTCTTTACTCATTGCCAGTATACACATTTAAGAACTCATTTTTTTTGTTTCAGAATGTGAACACATGTCCAGTTGATCGTCAAGTCTTTCATCTGATCTTTGCTAAGCATGCTGGAGAGGACAAGGTTTTCCGAAGGGTAAGATTTCGCTTGGCAAAATGAATAAAAAGAAAATTTCTCTTCATAGGTACTTAAAAAATCTGGAAACATAATTATGACAAAAACTGAAATATTTACATTTTAACAAAACTGAAAACCAGTGAAAAAACAGGAACTGTCAGCAGATAGAGCTTTTGCACCATTTTTATCCAGAAGTAATTCTAAAGATTGTGCTAGTAATATTTAAAGAATATTTGGTGACTAGATTCAAGGAGAGAAAACAATTTTATATTTGATTATCCATAAGAGTGTAGCAACAGAATATTGAAATAATGTGTATCTGATGTTTGTATATTATGTAACACAAGATTGATTTATCGAAGGCCTGAATTTTTGGATGTACATATTATGTAAGTAGAAGCATATTTTCAGCATTAAAGTACGTATACAAATTATTTAGGGTTCAAACATTACGCAGGTATTTATGGTGGTTAGTTTCAGGAGAAAGTTATTTATCTTAACCTCCTGATTTTTAGCAAATAGTTGAACCTAATTCGAGTCATGAATGTTATTTGTAATGGTGTTTCTTTGCTTAGTTGTCAGTATTTATTATTTAAAGATTGTGGTGGAGGACAAGAACATGTGTGACATTCCAGAGGAGGAAGACGAAGATCCTACTTACTGTGAAGTGTGTGGACGATGTGACAGGGAGGACAGGCTCCTCCTGTGTGATGGATGTGATCAAGGGTAAGAATGATTTAAACAATGTGAAGGTAGATATTCTAGGATTGTGTGGTGCTATGGCTATAGTTACTTTGAATTGCTAGATTTTATGTCACATAGAATTAAGCAGTGTCCAACTCATATTCTTGCGTACATACGTTTTTTTCTAATTGCTGTGTCAGAGGAGTTCACTTAACAAATATTCAAGGTACATTTTAAATGCAAGTATTCTTAATAGCCTTAGTTTTTATTCTGTCAGTTAATTGAAGTGGTAATTTGTAATTCAGAGCTATTTGTGATAATGCATGTCACAGGGTGCAATAAGACTTTAACAATTCTTTGCTCCTATTTAACATTTATTTTTCTGTTGGACCACGTATACAAAATAACCCTACAAAATACAGATTGTCAATTAATAACATTTTCTATCTCACTTGACATTTATGATTTAATGGACAATAAATTAACTTAAATTACATGAAATGGAATTAACTGTTAATATTACAGATATATAATTACCTTTCAAGACTTCTAAAGTATTGTAGTAATATGTAGTATTGTAGGTCCATCATATCTAACCAGTAATAATGAGGTCTAATTGGTAGGAATCAGGAGGATATTTTCTTCCCAGGGATAAACAGCCAACTGCAATATTAGTTCAGGTTCTTTAGTTTTATTAATCTCTCACACACCTAGCATGCTTTCCTTACAACACACCTATTTAACAAATCAGATGATAACAACGCCAAACAAAGACATCATAAGGCATGTACTGGATGTCATTGATGTAACACCTGTACGACATATGACTACACTATAAATAGGATAGGAACTTTTTCAAAATATTAAGCACATGTAACAGACTATTAATAAACAAACAAAACATAATTAAATTTCAATCAATGAGCTTGTGATTTGTATTTGACACAGTTTGACTAACACCAGAGAAATTTATTTGACACATAGCAGGGCTCTCACACCCCATTTTGGGACTGGGGCCCGGGGCCCGGGGCCCTTAGAATTGGGAAAAATAGCGGCATTTTCTTTAGAATTGGGAAAACTTGGGTCTAAATTGGGAGAAAAAGATACTATTTTCCATTGGGAATGGGGCCGAATATCAGCCCAAAAAATGTGGCAGATCGAGAGCCCTGCATAGTGTGACTAAGCTACAGGATGATATATTTTACACAAAGTGTGACTTACAAAGGTCACATTATTACCTGGTGATTAATATTATGGTAACATGTGATGTTGACAGGTTTCATTGTGAATGCCTGACCCCCCCTTTAAGGGACATTCCTGTAGAGGAGTGGTTCTGTCCTGAATGTGCTGACCTCAACAAACAAGGCACAGGTAGATTGCTTAAGAAAATTTATCATTGTGTTGGAAATGTTTACTAATACAGTTAAATATTCTTATCCAGAAATGAGCAAAGACAGTATTCTTATCCAGTGATTATCAAAACATGTATTTCAACAACATTCATGCTTCTTACTGATTTATGATATTGTGATGAACTGTGGAATTTTAAGAAACAGTTTTTTATTTAGCACTTTTCTGCAGTGCAAGTAGTTTTCACTTAAAGTTAATATATTTAAAGCCTAGTTATTCTATATGACCTTTCAATGATCCATTAAGCTGAGATAACTTCAAGCTTTGACTAATTGTACTACTGTAATGCAGAAACAATTTTCAGTATTTCAAATTACAGGTTTTTACACAATAATCATTTTAACAATCATGCTTGTTACAGAAACAGCAGAGACAGTTGATGACTATGAAGAGGTCAGTGAGATCATCCAGGAAAATGCAGGTAGCTCGGCCACCTCCTTCCTCCGACCACGTCGGCGACAGGTAGCTAGAACCCGTGTCATGGAGCGTGTGCGCAGTCAAATTGCAGAACTGCGACGAGAGCGAGCTCGCAGATTTGCTCGTCGAGAATATATTGTCGATTCTACAGATGAGGAAGACCTGGTTATGGTATGGATTGTTTATCTTATTTTGTTACCATGGTAATTAAAATCAGGTGATACTGGAAAAACAAAAAGAAAGTGTCAAACAAAAGAGTAAGCCTTTAATTCCTGAGATATACTATATGTAGATATTTTGACATCTGACAGTTCAAAGGATTTTGTCTAATTCGTCTAGAACACAATTTTCAGAATTTTGATGAATCCAATTATAAAGAGATATAGAGGATTCGAAAAAATTAAGTGAGACCCACAGGAAAAGCAGGACTTCAGGGCTTAAATACTTGAGTCCCAAAAATCACTTGCACCATTTGTAGTCACTTAATTATGGTGACATTGTTATTTGAGATTCAATTTTTGTCACTTGACTCTAGCCTGGAGTGTATTTTATTTCTTATTGAATTTTTGGCCACTTTTAATTTGAAGGTGATGTGATAATACTTTGGAATTAATTGTTTCAGTTTTCAAAGATAGAAGTTATAGAAAATCAGCAAAGTTGCATAAGTGTAAGGGTCAGAAAATAACTTTTAAAAAATCTAAGGAAAAGAAGAAAAAAAGTTTGAGGTAGTCTGGAGAGGTCCTTAGTAATTTATGTGGGTAGCTGATGAAATCATGTTTCAACTCATATTTTCATAGGCGGCTGAGGAAATGGAAACAGAGGCAGCCTCAGGTGCAGGACCAAGCAAACCAGCCACAGTCAAGAAACGAAAGACGCCAACAAAGCGTAGGAAGACGACAACAAAGAAAAAAAGGAAGTCAACCACCAAAAAGAAACGAACTACAAAGAAGACTGGTACGAAGCGAAAAAGAACTACAAAGAAGGGGAAGAAAGGGAGAAAGAAGAGAAAGACAAAAAAGAAAGCTCGTACAGTATGTTTTTGTTATAAAAGCTATAGACCCAAACTAAACACAGCTCTTTATTATGCAAGTGATAGACAAAATTCTTGCTAGTATTGAGTTCATAAACACCATGCTTAGAGTTTGTGCTGTTGCTGATTTATCTAAATTAACTGTAATTAAGAAATGGAGGAACAATAAAATTCCTTGTAACACAATGTGTGGGAAATTTGGCCAGTGATTACTGCACTGAAATGGGAATTTGGAATTTTTTTTAGAGATCAGACTACCCCACTATACAGATAAGATTCTGTAATAAATGTCATATTGAGATGCAAGGTAAAATTGAGATTTTTTAAAATCATAATCTCGCTCACATGGGGTATATCTGAAATGGCAGAAATGCTTAGTCATCAGTGCAAACTTTATCCAGCTGTTGTTCAGTTTTGTTAAATCTAGTGGACAAAAGTCACATAGCTATTCTGTTATCATTGTCAGAAATCTCATCAAATTGGTTATGACCACATGTTGTATTGTAGCAGGACAATGTTTGGTTGAAGGTGCGCATTCTTTCTATGGTGACATCATAACTGAATGGCATCATATGCATTTTTATGTTGCATAAAAAAGAGATATGATGCCAGAATAATGCAGTTTAAGACTTTGTTTTACAAAATGCTGTTCTCATGAAAGCTTGCAAAAGTATTTAACTTGTATGATAAACAAAATTTGACATGAGTTTCTATTTCATGTGAGACTAATAATTTTTCATACCTCCAAAGACCTTGTCAGAGGCTTTTTCAAATGAGAAATTCCAAGACTTATTTACTGAGATTTATCAATATCATATGAATCTTATATAAGATTCTCTATTTTAATGAATGTCTTTTGCTTATGGCTTGACTCTTTTTGAACATTTTGAATTCACTTCAAAGTTTACCCTTGAAAAAAAAAGTCATTTAAGATTGGTTAACATTCAGTTGCTCTAAACATGTAGGAAGACGATAATCTCTGGATTCAAAATTTCATGTTCAAGTGAATAAGGAAAATTGATGATTTTAGCTTGTATAACTTTTTTGTTAAGTGTGCATTGATATACATCTTACTACAATGAATTATTGATAATTCTTTGCTTATTATAATCAAGCTAAAATATGAGGTAGATTCTTCAAATATATCAATGTTTCAATCTCTATGACAATAATACATTGTTTTATGCACAGAAGAGAACTAGCCAGAAAATGCACTAAAAGTAAAATCTTACAATAACTGTATAGCTTTGAAATCATTTTCCTCTTGTAGGCCCAAACTATTAAGATGGAGATCCCTTCAAGTACAGTGAAAGCCAGAATAGCGAGGAATCTAGGACTGTCTAACCCACCTGTGGGCAGAACAATCCCATTGCAGAAAATGTCTGGTGAAAAGACTACAGAGAACAAGAAGGTTGACTCTGGAATAGCCCCATTATCAATCCTGGGTCACAAAGATGATCTGTATTCATTTCAGGAGTAAGTAGTAGGGACATCTGAATGTTTGTGCTCTCAAGTTGCTGTGTCTTTGCAATAACATTTTTTCCAGTTGCTGGAATTGTTTCCGTAAACCTCTTTTATGTATGCATTTTCCTGTTAAATTCTCCTTCTTTATATGAATTTGCAACTTTTCTGAATGTGAACAAATTGAATTATATGGTGTTTAAATACTGTGAAGGTTTTTTTATTATTATTGTTAAATAATGTTTCATTGTTGTTTTTCGCAGTATCAATTTTTTGGAATTTTTTTTATACCTTTCAACCATTGCGGTGATGGTTTCATCCAAGCTTTGTTATTCTACAAAATCTTATTGTCACACCTTCCAGACAACATCTTAGAAGACAGCTTTCACTTTTATTATTGCTGAGGTGTTATTGAACTCAATCCTTCAAATTGGGAAATCCACTGGAGTAAAGAGCTTGGATTGTATAGGGGAAGTAACATGTGATAAGTTTAATTTGCTCTCAATTACAGTGAGGATGCTCCACAACCAGGTACATCTGTGGTTACTCAAAATAAACCTTCTCGCTATTCCCGATCCTCCCTCCAGTCCCACAAACCCGTTGGTAAACCAAGGTATGTTTGTCCTCTCATTCATTGCTTGTGAATTAATGAAGTTTCTGCAATAAAGAATCTATTTTATTTCATGTGTAATGAATTATTATCAGATTTGACTTCTTTTTATGAAGGATTCAAATCTTTATTACAGAATCTGTGAATATACCTTGTAGCAAAAAGCTTCATGGTCATTTGTAAGAATTGTTCAAAAATTAAAATTTTTGCATGAATGTATACACAGTTTGAAAATTGGTGATGTCATTTCAATATTGTTTTCCGACAATATACAACCATAGCTCTTAAATGAATCATTCGCAAAAATGATGTTGTTTACATTGGTAAGGAAAGAAGACATCAAACATTGATTAAAATACTAGAAACAAATAGCCTTGTCATTTCACTTCAGATGACATCACTCATTGAGAATAGCTAAAATGATTCCATGGTGAGGAGACCAAAAGATCATTGAATTGGTATGATAATTGAATCAATATTCATTTAATTGTTGTATCTATTCTCAGAGCCAGCTCATCCTCCTCTTCTTCTGCTGCTGCTCGCCCAGCCCCAACTCCTACACCTGCCAGTGGAGGATTTGATCTCCTTGGTTCTATAATGCAGAATCAGACACTTCTGGGGATGGACAGCAAGAATGTCACAATACAGAGGGATGGTAGGTTATCAGCATTAATCATAGTGACATATACAGCATTTCATGTACTGTAACACACGACTGATATTTATACATTTTTGTTAAACAGATGAAATCAGGCTGTTTCCTAAATAAGAAAAGCGACAATATTATTTCTACCTGAAAAAAAAACCTCAGTGTGTTTGTGTTGGTCAGATTTCGTACATTGTTGAATGGAGAAAAAGTACTGTAGAGTATCCCTATTTTGTTTATGTAAGTTCACAGTATGCTTAATAGGTTGAATATGTTAGACATGTACACAAATAAATATTTTCTGTTGTAAGAGTTTTGTATTCTGAACTTTAGTCCCAAAACCTAAGAAGGTTGCTGCTACTATAAAAAGAAGTTTGGCCTCACCACACTAAAGACATCATTCCTAATCTATCTTCATATGTAGTTTTCATGGCCCCGTAAAGGGATTTGCTTTTCATCTTTCTGAAGTAAAAAATACAGCCATTGTAACTATTAATAAATATTTAATATGAATATTGACCTTACCATGTTAAAGACATCAATTCTCCTCGAATCATTATGAAACTTCATATCTAAGTTCACAAACATCAGCTTAATTTCATTGGAACTTTGGCATTGTTAATTATACTTCATTTGTAAATTGTTTTCATGAAATTCCCTAGCATGTCCAATTAGCACTAGTTGTACAAGTGTGACTTTTACACCAATTATTTGATATAAGGGATTTTTACTATAAAGAGAATATTTTTATTTATGCAATATTTGTATCATATATTATACACTGTTTTAAATCATTACAGGTTCACTACTAGCAAAGCCAGATAAAAATAAGACCCCCAAGACTGAGCAAACCAAGAAGCCTGAAGCAGTCAAAACAAAGGAGGAAAAAGAAGATGAAATTGAAGGATTGTATGGTGATGAAGCATGCTTCTCTCCTGAGTATGATGATGAAGAGAAAGTTTGCCAGTCTATAGAGACCAGCACTGCTGTGAAGGAGGAAGATGATGCAGTGAAAGAGGAAATTGTGTTGGTTCTTTTAAAGGAGGATATGGAGGAGAAAGATGACATGGAGAAAGAAGATGAAGTGCAGTGTAGTGCTGATGATGATCAGAACGAGTCAAAAGAAAATGAAACTGACAGCATTAAGAACGGTAGCAGTGATAATGAGAATGAAGGTGATGACATTGATGATGCAACAAGTGACCATGAAAATGAAGATATTGACAATGAGAACAAGGCTAGTGACATTGAAGAGGAAAATGGAGAGGATGATAATGGTGAAGATGATGATAAGGATGATAGTACATTACAAACAGATGACTCCGTACAGGAGAAAAAGGACACTAATCAGATTGAAGGTTTGTATATCTGTAACATAATTGATTTATCCAAACAAATTCAAATTCAAACCATTGAAATTACAAGTAAGTCAGACTTCAGCAAAATCATAAATGGAATGATCAAAGAGTATCACATATGTCATTCATATCAACATCATATGAATGTCTACTTTGATTACGTTGTGATACTTATTGGTCAAGATTTAAGGGTCAAAGGTCACACCTGGATCTGTTGTGAAATAAAAGTCATCTCTCTTCAACACATCAGTTTAACATAGAAAGATCAGATAGCAGAGAGTAAGTCTATGTGAGCTCTGGCTCACTTTGTTTTTTCATGTCTCCACCATTTTTGTTTTTTTTTTTTTGTTCTGTTTTTAGACTCCCAGAATTTTTTTTGTGGGAGTATATAGTCGCCGCCTTTGTGGGTCATGGATCTTTGGTGTATACATTGGTCATATTACTGTTCTTTGAGAAAATTTTGCACCTGGAGCATAATTTTGCTTGTCTGCACACCTGGATAATGAGACTTGGCATATACATTGACCATATAAAAACGATGTGCAGAGTACCAATCAAATTCAGGGCCTACAACCCACTTAATTACAGACTTATTGCCCTCTGCTAAATTTTTTTTTCTGACGCATTACTTTGACAGCATTTAAACTAGGATATTTAAAAGAATATAATCATCAGTCATACAAAAGAATGGTGCATTGTAGCAAAGTTGGGGCCCATGACCCCTCAGTACAGAGTTATGGCCCTTTGCGTAAAGTTTTTGTCCTGAGCATATCTTTGCTTGCATTAAAATTAGGAGCATGAGACTTGGTTTATACATTGTTTATACTAAGTGAATGTGCTATATACTAAAGTTTGGGCCTGCAACCCCTTAGTTACAGAATTATTGCCCTTTGGTAAAAATGTCGTTTTTGGGGATCATTCATCAGTTAACCATGTCTGTCTGTCTCTTTCTTTATCACACTTTGTTATATGAAGGTGATCATGATCATTGGTCAAGGCTAAAGGTTCAAATGTCACATTACGCTTGGAAGTGGAGGCCTTCATGTCATCTAGTTTCTTGATAGATAGTTATCAATCCTTCTAAAAAGGTCAAACATAAAATACCTGAGGAGAATTGTGTTTCAGGGTGTTTAAGTCAAGGTCACTCTTACCCTTCTCGTCTTCTATGATTATTTTCAGATTATAGCTGTTCATAATTTTTTAAGTTTAAGCAAGAATTGCCAAGATGCTGATAAGTGTGTTCATATGAAACGTAATTGGATATATTCATTTGTGTGCAAACGTGTTTCAGTACTTCAAATTAAGAATTACAGAACGATAAAGTATCTTTTTATTTATTTTTCAGGACCATACATATCACTCCAGGAAAAACATGAGGATGCTGTTATGAATACAGAAGAAACTGTTCATTGTGATGCGTCAGGATCTTCAAGTCCTCTGGACTCTGTCAGATATCTTGATAGAGAAGTAACTACATGTTCAGCTTCATTTAATCCAGACTCAGAAAAAAAGAATTTATCCATGAAGGACGAGCCTTCAAGTCAAATGTTGGAGGATAGTGGTACGACTGAGATCACTGCAGATGGACAAAGTGAAGGAGGCAGTAAAGAGGAAGAAAATGCTTCAGAACAAGAACATGAAGGAGAAGAAAACCAAGAGGTTGTTGAAGATGAGGAAGCTACTGAGGAAATAAGTGATGAGGAACAAGAAGGTGAGGATGTGGAGGGGGAAGTTGAGGAAATTGAAGATAATAAAAATGAAAAAAGACAGGATGAAGAAGATATCGCTGAAGAAGATGTAGAGGAAGTTGAAGATGAGAATGAGGAGGTGAATATAGAGGAAGAAGTTGAAGACACAGAGGATAAACCAGAGATACAGAATGAAAAGGCTAATATTAATCCATATGAAGAAGACCAAGGCAGATTAACTGAAATAATAGCTCAGGATGAATTAGGGGATGCATGGGATACTGATGGAGATGATCGCGGGGCTACATGGTCAGAGGATAATATGGAAAATGAAGAGAATGAAAAAAAGAAAAAGTCCAAGCATTCTGGAAAAACTAGGAGGAGTAGGAAGAGTGATAGTAGAGTAGTAGTGGAGGAAAATTCTCAAGATTCAAGTTTAATGGAGGAGGCTCTTCTTCCTATCTCTGAATTTCCCCGTATACCAAAGAAAAAACGGAGAAGGAGGTCTTCTAGGAGTGATCCTGATCCTGAGAAAAATTCAAATAAGAATAAACAAGGCAAAGGTGAAGAAGATGAGGAAGAGTCTTTCAAAAGAACAGTAATGAAAGAGGAGGATGTGATAATAGTCAAAGTGGAAACTGCAAAAAAAATACACGAATTTAAGACAGAGAAAAAGGAAGTGAGAGAAATCTCAGAGAGTAGTTCTAGACGCGATCGTGATGATAGAAAAGATCGAGATAGAGACTCTAAACGAAATTATGATCGTGATAGAGATAGGGATAGGGACAGGGACGGTTCAAGTAGGCATAAACATAGGCGTGATAGGCACAGGTCGCGAAGCAGGTCACGGGACAGACGTGACAGAGACAGGTCAAGGTCAAGAGATAGATCTAGAAGGTCAAGATCAAGAGAAAGAAAACGCTATGAGAGGAGTAGATCTCGGTCGTGGGAACGACACCACAAAAGAAGAAGACGAGATAGGAGCAGAGACAGAGAAAAGGTATCGCGTCGAAGTAAAAGTCCCGGCAGGAGAGTGCAGGAGAAAGAAAATAGGTATAGTGGTGACGATAAACGTCAAAAGCGACGTGATGAAAAGTTTGAGAGAAAAGAGGATGTCTCTCTCTGGACTAAAAAATCTCGGCCAGTAACAGAAGGAAATGATAACATTGACAGGAAGAAAGTGACCTCTCCAGAACATAGTGCAAAGCATTCTGATGATAATAAGCCAAGTAGAAGTGATGATAATGTAAATAGAGACAGTGCTATTCCTGAGGATATGTTAAAACGACTCAAAATACCACCTCTTATGTCTAAAAAAATCACAGTAGTGACAAATAAGAAACCAGATATTGAACAGTCCCAGCCAATATCTGTTATTACAACTGAAAAAGCACAAAACATTGAGGTGATAGGCAGTCAGCAAATGGAAACCAAGGAACCTCCTGCTGAGGTGATGGACTATAAGGACAAGGACATTTCTGATGACGAAGTGTCTGATGATAAGGAAACGGTACTAAATATATCAGCCATTCAGATTCCACCACTCATGTCCAGCAACATCACTCTCAACCAGCCAGTGGAAAGTGCTGGTGAATATGATCCAGCCTTTCCGACAGATGACCCTGAAGAATCTAGTCCTCCTCTTCCTCCATTGGACACTGAGCCAGTGGTGTACAATGTACCACCTCCACAGATATCATTCCCTCCACACATGATGGAGGAGGGATTTAGCTCTCACCAGCGTCTCTCTCCACTTCCTCCCCACCAACCCCCACCCCCAAGCCAGGGCATTCTTGGGGAAGGGGGAACAATACTTTTACCCACAGGCGATCCTCCACAATCCCTTATGCAGCAGCCACAGAATGTGCCACCAATGCCCCTAGGTCTTAGAATGGTTCCACAAGGTTACCAGCCAGGGGTGCCTCCACAAAGGCCAATGATGCTGAACCCTATGTTAATCAACAGAGGACCATTTAGCAGATTTCCCAGGTTTCAAGCAGGCCACCTGCCACAATTCAGTCTGCAAGTGCCAACGAGTGGTAATATAATGCAAATACAGAATCGCTTTGGTCCACGTATTGCACCTAGCAGCCTTCCTGGACAGCCTAATCTTGTCAATGGAGGATTTGAGCCTGTTCCATCAGAGTCTGGACCTCCACCCCAATTCCAGCATATGCTAAGAGGGCCAAGTGATCCAAATATCGGCCATGACCCACGGATGCAGGGCCCTATGAGTGGCCCTAGGGGTCCACCACCTGGATCCCATCCACGACACCTGTCAATGCAGGAATCCAATATCCCTCCCCTGCTGCCTGAACTTGGCCTCAGGGACAGGATACCCCAAGTGTCTATGCCAGGGGACCATCACCGTGGAGAAGGTCCACCTCAGAGTCTCCAAGGACTCAGCCAGTTGGAACAAATAACACATATAACAAAACTCCTCAATGCACAGGCCCAGCTAGCCATGATAACCAAAGAAAACCAGCCTGGGGATGCTCCTGGACAGGAAGCTAATGGGGATGATGTATTCAAGGTGCCGTTGCCACCAATGGGAGGTGGCAAACAGAAACTAGTCGTAGGTGGTGCTATGAACTCAAATGGTAAAGAAGAGGCGGAAACCATGGAAGTTGTTGATATGGACATGTCCTCACCCTTGGATGATGGAAATATTGAACTTCATCTAACACAAGATAAAAATAGCGATAAAAATGTGTTTGGCAGCTTAAGTAGTGATTCCAATTCTAAATCCTCTGACAGAAGGAGTAAAAGAGACAAAAAAGGATCAGACAGTCATTCGGGTAAAGTGAGGTTTAAGGGTACACGTGATAGTGATGAACGGACTAGTAAGTCTTCGCGAGTGAAAGTGAAAGAAAAAAAGCATAAACCTGTGGAGGAGGAGATGGACGATGTCATCTTTGATGATATAATGAATGATATGTCAAATGATGAAATGCCCTCTTCTGCGGTGGAATTAACAAATAAAGAGAAGGTATGTTGTAGAAAGAAGTTTGAAATTCTTTAAATCATATTAACACATACACATACCTTAACTCTGGAAAGATTTAATTTGAAGGTTCACAAATCATAAGTATGATCTGGAGATCATCTTTGTTTCATGCATTAATTATTAAATGTACCTGCTTAGTGCAGGTCTAGACATACAACTACGGAATTTATCCTGCTATAAGCCCAGGGGCCTATCTCATCTTACGTTACACAAAGTTAGGATATGTGTTTTTAAGTATTTTGACTATTATGTTAATGATAAATTGATGCAAAGTAAGCGGGTCCATATACATTTCTATTGCTAAAATTTTGGAATATTTGTTGGAATTCAGATTTAATATTAAATTGTTTTGAAACACATTGCCAGTATATGTGATTACTTGATCCAGTTGGTTGCTCAGTTCTTAGGAAAGGGAAATCCTCATTTGAAAAATGGCAGATAGGTAGTTTAGATAATGAGGCACATTTATATATAGGATGAAAATCTTAACAGAAAATGTCTGGCAATATTTGTATTAGTATGGTACATGTACAAGTAGGACGTATTGTTAAGTGATATTAAAATCTTAATAACATGCCTTACTTATGAAGAAGAGTGTTTTGTTTTAGTACCTGAAAAAGCTGCACCTGCAGGAGAGGGTGGTGGATGAAGTGAAGGTTGCACTCAAACCCTTCTACAACAAAAAGCAGGTTTCTAAGGAACAGTATAAAGAAATCCTCAGAAAAGCTGTGCCTAAGGTTTGTAGTAATAGAATTATATTTCAAGTCATCTGAATCATGTGACCTTAATTTGAGATATTGCTATCAATCTTCATGACATGTTGAATTAGTCTCATAAAGTAAAAGACTTATATCAATTTAAGGTAATGGAATGTATATTTCTCTGGTGGAGGGCTACAGAATTTACTCTGTTAGCAACAGTAAACTTATAATTCTATGCTAGCAAAGTTCAGAATATGGGATGTAGAAGCCAATTTTTAAGGTAACTGAATTCTGAAGATACCGGGAATCTGATTTAATGTTTACAAGTGACAATGTGACTATCTTTTGTTTCAGGTGTGTCACAGTAAGAGTGGAGATATAAATCCTGTGAAAATTAAAGTGTTAGTGGAAGCCTATGTGTCTAAGTACAAACGTGATGCTCCTTCCAAGTCAAGTGTTAAGCATGCCAAGGACAGTGCTGTGAAAGCCAATGGAGAAGTGAAAACGAAGACAAAATCAAGTCGATAGCACAACTTAGATTTGTAGTCTCCATTTTCAAATTGTTAAGAAATTCGTATTTAGAGTTTTGCAATGGAATGAAGTTTTTTTTACACAATATAGATTTTTCCTGGGAATGTGTGAGTTAAATGTGGTTTTATGTGTTTTCTGCATGTTAGAGAGGGAGAGTATGTATTATAAGTATGATAGTGGAGTGGTAGAAGCATTTTCAGGGAAGCATGCAATTAATGTTTTATAGTTCACACTGTCAATCTGTCCAAGTTGTTCTCCCTCGACTTTACTACATATTTCAAGTATGTAGTGTGTATGTTTACTCACACCAATCAAAACATTAACTAAATCATCTTTGTATCAAAGAAACGGTGTTTAAATGGCTGTGTTCATTGGAAGAAGGGATGAAAATTTAATCCATTCACACATGATTGTTCAAAACGCACACTCGTAGCAGCTAATTACATACTGCATGTATAATGCTATGGAAGCTGTGTCAAAACTTCACATTTTTATATATAAAAAAGTATATCGTTTGGCTGCTTTATTCTTTGTGCTTTAAATCAATAGTTAATGTACAAAAAGCTGTTCATCAAATTATGATTATGGAGAAAAAGAAGTAAACATCTGGAAAATTCCAGCCAAAGAAAAAAAATTATGCTACTTATATTCATGTTGATGGAACAGGTATCAACTTTGAATTTGATTTACTTTGTGAAAAGTGTTCTACTTCGTAATTCTGTGTTTGCATCAAATTCTTGCTTAATGAATTATAATCGTTATGAGTAAGTTCAATTCTATCTGTTCAGTTTCAAAGAAAAGGCTTCATGGCATTATCGTGTGGATATGATGAAAGATAGTTTTTCTATATATAGAAATATCCAACTTGGTGAACATTTTTTTGATAAGTACAGGAATGAAAAATAAGTTATTCAGCTTGAATATTTTTGAAGCTTTCAAGATTGTCAATATTGTTTCGTGGTGATTTATATCCAAAAATATTTTAATAGTTGGGTTATTCAATAAAAGTTGATAACAGCAAGCTGTTAAAACCAAAATCATGGCAGATTTGTATAGAGTACCTGTTTGTAAAACATCACAATTGAAAAGTATGAAAATACACACTTCAGTCAAACTTATGTGTTTGTAAATGATATATCTGAAAATTCAACAGGAGTGAAGACCAATTTTCTTTCCTTTTTTTTTTAAACATTATGCAAAAAGAAATTATTGTTAATAACAAATGAATCAGTAATTCAATAGCAATTTGCAGAATCAATCAAATTCTGTTCTGTTTTTTTTTTTTTTTTTTGCAGCATTTCTTTAGAAATACATGGTACTGTTTATACCAGATTAGAAATCTCTGGCTTGTTGTTGCAAGGATTTAACCAAACTTACCGCTGATATTCTTAAAATCAACCAATACCGATAGATTCTGATACATTTCAAATATAGTGATATCTTCTGAATCTTTGAGAATAAAAAAGGAGAGAAAAAACAACGAATTCTGTGGTATAAACTTTGTATTGGAGTTGTTAGTTACATTGAGTAGTTTTAAAGGTCTTTTTTTTATTCAAAAGCTCCTTATCAAATAGATTCCATTTGTATAGTTTTCCAGATTAATGAATACATAACCTAGATTACCATAAAGCAGTTCTGTTTAGAAAGTGATAAGATGGTTTCACAATATACAGTTGCACAGTTAGTGAGTGTCGAGTGTATACAATACACATAGTTAAAGAGGTGCTATTGCGAACAATTGTTAAGATTAAGGAGGTTCCATTGTATACGATTGTCCACATTAAAGAGATTTGACTGTCCACAGTTTTGGTTGGTGTGGTTCCATTGTGTGTATTAATGGTAATCAATACGATTTTGTCCTTTATCATTAGGAATATTGAGATTTTAGTAGTTCTAGTTATGATGCTAAATGGGTCGAGGATGCATTGACTGGATATGGTGAGAGATGAAATATAAACATGTTTGATGTATCGATAGGTCAGTATTGTGTTTTTTGTCCACTTTATTTATACAAAAGGGATTGAAGATTAACTGTGAAGTCATACAAACTCTTAGAAATTGTTGTAGATCTTAAAATTTTAAAATCTGACAGTAAGTGTGACAAGCCTGTCAAAAAATGTGGTAACAGTCTTGTTTCTAAGGTATATTATTTGTGGTTGTAAACCAAATGGTTGACTGGGCATCAATATTTAAAAGTATTTATATAACATATGAAAGATGAATGATTATGGTCATGATGGGGGTTACGTTGATAATGTTAACACACTTTTGATAGTTGATCTACATTTACTTGTATTCTGGGGTTCCGTAAAAGTGTACTAAGTTAAAAAAACTAGCTGACAGGTTCAGACTTTATTTCTTCGAATACATGCAGGAGATTTGTTTTGTGAAAAGGTGTTCTTCCTTAAGACCCTACTTTGAATAATGCACTGTATATTTGTGGGTAGTTACTTAACTGAACTGGCTTCTGTAGAACCATTTTGACTGAAATGATAAAATGCATTTCTGTCCTACACTTTTAGATATTTTTGGATATGGTGCAATACATGGAATAGTTTCAGGCTTAAATGAATTAATCATTATTTTATACAAGCTGGTATGGGGGTTTTGAACATAAAATACATTCAAATATCATCCTGAATTGAATGAAATAAACTGGCTCAAGAAAAAAAAGTATTTTCTAGTGTAATTTTATCAGTTTATTCAGCACATGGAGATATTTGAATGTTTTGTATGGTAAATGCATACTTACATTACAGCTTATATAATGTCTACAAGATGGCGATATCCAAATCACATTGTTTTAATGTTTCTAAAAATATTCCATTTTACAATATTAGATTTTGACAAAGAATACCTGTTCATGGCTAAATTTGCTGTGCAGTGTTATGTTTTCACCTAAAATGGTTTTTGCTACTTCTATCTGTAGCAGAAATTCTTCAAGGATTAATTTCTTTCTGAACTAAATCTTGAAACATGAATTCTGAACTTTGCCTGAATACATGCTACATTGTAGTTTATATTTTAATATTAAGAATCTGTCACAATAATGATTTAAGTTTGGCACAGTCAATGCTGTAGCCATTTTCAAATTTATACTGTTTCTGAATTTGTGACTTAACACTGCCATTCCGGACAAGGGCAGGGAGTTATGCGTCAGGTGGAGAATTGGCTACTTTCTCATTAACATTCAATGTTTGGAATGCTTAACATTTCTCTTTTAAACTTGTTTCTTGTAAGTGCTACATTGAGTAATTGCTGAGCTTTATGAATTGCAGTACTTTTTGATGTATTGTCCGTCCAACCGAATTCATATTTTTTTTGTTTTTTGTTTTTTAATTCATATCGCTAAACCAAGTTTTATCCAAACCGAAAAAAATTCAGTATTTGTTATTTCATACACATTGTCTGTTTATTCCTCTACTTCTATTTTGTGATGATATATAATTGTAGATTCTCTTTACCTTCACACAAAATGGCAGCTAACTATTAGAGTAGCAGCTATGTTTACATCATCTTTTGATATCTTACATTTTTGTTGAAACCAGATTTCCTCATTTGCAGTTTTCAGATCTTCAGTTGCAATTCAACAAAGTTTCTACTAACTCATAAAGCATAATATATGATCATGATCCTATAAAACCATTTTCATGCTCAGTAATTCTGTTAACAGGTTCTACAGGTCAAGACTGATAATACCATAAACCTTTTATTAACATATTTTTGGAGTTAAATTAGGGTTATAGGCTAGGTCCAGCTGTAATTGTGCTCTGATGCCAGGTCCCCATGGCTTAGCATGTAAATTATGTTATTTTGGTAGCATGATCACAGATATGTTGTTCATGTGTAAGCACAGATAATTTATTGAAAACAAAAAGTATTTTGGATGTAGGATTGTTGGAATATGAGTGGACAATATGTGTTCAGTTAGTTCCAGTTTTACGGTATGTTCTTTTTTCAAAGTGACTACCCTACTAGGAACTGTTTGGTGTCAAAGCACTGAAAGGAATTCTGCACTGGTGCATTATTTTATCCAAACTTAACAACAATGCTAGCTTTGCCTACAGAATCAAAGTGAAGTGAAAGCGAGTTCGTAAAAGGAAAGCTGACACTTTCATGTTCTCAAATATTGTCAAAATGGCAGATTGATGTATGATGAAAAACATGCTGCTTAGAGACTTATCACAAGGCTTTTTCATTTCACTTTTAACTGATGCAAAATGACATTGGTATGAACCTGATGCCATATGTGTGAATGTTTGATATCCCTATTTGTGCAAGGATAGTCAAGTCACCTTTTGTATGGAGATATTACCAAGGTTTTGTGTGCCTAAATGTACAGGGGAAGCTCTCCGGGCCGATAGATAATATATGTGTTTGGAGAAGTGAAAGTTGTTTAAAAGGTAATAAACAATTATTACATGATGAAATATGTCTTGTGTTTAGTAATTTTAGTGGCGAGTGTTAAATTTTAGACCAGTATCTGATTATCTTTGATGATTGAGATGTTGATGTTGGATGTAGGCAAGGACTAGAAAACCATTGAAGACCGAGGTCTAGATCACAAGATCAAAATGAAAAATTCTCAAGAAGTTTCCAAGAAGTACACAATATTGTGATGTAAATATTTTATTTTACACAATGTCTTATTTTAAAAGAACTAACAATAAACATGTATTGTGTTACACAACAGTATCTAAAACAAATGTTTACATATTTAGCAGGTAAAAACAGTCAAATCTATTAAGAATGAAGAGGAAAAATGGGTTATATACACATGCTGGATTTGGTACCTAGATAAAATGACATTAATTTTGTTTAAATTTATCTTAAGATTATTGATTTAGGAATGTCATTTTACAGTAGGAAATCTTCATAATCAGTAAATGCAAGCAACTACATGTATATTTGACACAATATCACAGACAGCAAACATGTAGTTTTACATGACATAACAGAATTTGATCAATTTAGACATCCAGATTGGTATTGAAAACTTTAAATCTGTTGAGAACGCTTAGAAAACTGGGATTTAGAAAGTTCCTTGCTTGGCATCCTCACAATGATTTTTGATAGATATGTCCCATGTTTAGCTAAACTGATCACATTCAGAGCTGTACATCCAGAATACGACTACTGCAGTCTCAGACTACATGGTAAACGGCCAATACACTACTGAAGAATGAAAGTGTTAATGTGGCAACATACTTGCAGTCTCTTCCCGGCAAATTTTTCTTCATTGCTCTGATGACACATAGTAGTACAGTGACTGATTAATTCATAACATGATTTGAATTCTTTAAATCTTTATCTATGCATCACTGTCCTTTATCCCAGTATAATTTCAGGTAAGCCAATTTCCTGTGGTATTTCTTCTCTTCCTTAGTACTGTATAGCTGAAAATAAAACAACAGGTTTTAGGATATCTCAGCAAATAATAACAAAGTGATCAGGGGCTCACAGTACACCAGCTTTTTTATATGCAAAAGGTCAAGGGAGACATTTGACCTTGACCACTAATCACTAATCAGGTGTTGTTATGTAATGGTGTGAACCTTAACTGGTTCATGAGATATTGTCACAAAGCTCATTTCATATTATGATTGTAAAAGTTAAAATTCAAATCTAAGCATTTTATTTCCCCAACAAGTGTATATCTGCCACCATCTTCCACCAACTTTCAATGGCATCCTATGTTACCACTGAGTATACTGCAAAAGTGTAATATGTTTATTCACAGTCATAGGATTCATAACAACACAATACTACAACTGATGTGTATGCAAGGACCACTGCAATTCTTAGTCCAGTGTAGCTCAGGTAGCAACCTCGGATGAAGATTCAAGGAGTTTGGTTTCATGCTCCCTACCCGAGGCAACTGTGTTTCTTGGGAAGCAGAGAAACTGACAATCCTGAGCTGTAGTGGTTTTGCCATTTGACAAGATGTTTTTGGAATATGCATGTAATGTGCCTTCTGTATGTTGTCCAGTAGTTTAGCCACTAGTTACCTCAAGAAGACACGGTCACAAATTGATCGTGGCTGTTGAAGGAGTAATAAACCCAGCAAACCAAAGAATCACTGCTACACCAGCTGACCTACTCACCTTTTCTGTGTTGTGGTCTATGGTACTCCTGATAGTGATACTAGGGAGCATGATGGGCGTCCCACCAAATGACTGGTGCCACTGTACCTTGCGATTCCGTGGGATCTGATGTTCGTATGTACCAGCACTGGAAACAAGAAGATAGATAAAGACATTGGGTAAGATTTTAAGGCTTATTCACATGACAAACATTTTCAGGATATGTTGATTATGATGTACACGGTATTATGATCTCTTCTTTCAGTTGTGAACAAGAAAACTTCTGTTCAGTATCTTGCATAAATTTTATGATATTTCAGACCTGAATAATTTTTACTATTTGATAGTTTATCAGGTTCAACGTAACATACTGCTTGGTAATGCTTATGGGCACATTTTGTAGCTAAGCTGTTAATCCAGAAGGTTAAGCTGACAGGACACCAGTGATATGTTACCTAAAGTATATATCAATGCTTGACATATAATTCTTACCCAGGAAGTACATCTACTATATCACGTTTGTAAACAGGGAATCTCTCTGCTCCAACCAAAAATGGCTTCTTATCATCAACAAACTGTAGAGGTTCTGTGCATTGTGTCTGATATTCAGTTGGACAAGGGGTTTCAAACTGTAAACAAATAGAAGAAAACACTGAGATCTGGAGACATCTAACCCAAGATGACTGTTTTAAGATTGATTTTAAGTGGTAATGGTCATCTAACCATGCTCCTCAAAGAACGTTGGTACTCTTCACAAAATATCAGATGGATAAACATGAACAATAAAGCAATTTTGGGATCTAAGTGGTCTCCCAAATTTTATCGCGGGTGAAATTTGTTGAAATCTGTCCATGCATATCTGAGAAGAATTTCAAAGCCTACTTCACCAGTTTCCCTTGTGTGGCCTCAACCCCTGGTCACTAGGGGTCAATAAACCTTCAGTTATGTAGATTATGACTGCCATCCCCACATGATGTTTCAGGCCAAATTTGGTTGAAATCTGTTCAGGCATATTCCCCTAATGGACCTCACCTCTTGCTGCCTTGGAGTCACAACACCTTCATATATATCAGTCATGATTACCTTCCCTCAATTATATTTCAGCCCAAATTTGGATCTTACCCTTTGGCTCCTAGGTGTTACAATACATTCAGTTATATAGATTATGACTGCCATCCCCTTATGGCATTTCAGGCAAAATCTAGTTCAAATCTGTCAAAGAAGAATTTTAAAAACAAATTCCCAAATTTCTTTTAATGGTTCTAACCCCTTAGCCCCTAGGGGTTGCTACGCCAGTGATGTTTCAGAACAATTTTGCTTAAATCCACTCATTGTTAAGATTGAATTTTTTACAGTCTTTTAAATCGAAATTTAAGAATTTCCCATTTTGGCCCAGCCCTGAAGTCCCCAGGGGTCAAATTATCATCATTTATACAAATCATGATTGCTCTTCACCCATGATATTCTTAGCCAAATTATGTTGGAGTTTGTTCAGATATATGGGAGGAATAGCATTTTGAAGGAAAAGCTAGAGTTATCATGGCAGACAATGCATGACAGATGAAGCATGATGGCAATAGGTATCTTGACTCTGAGGGTCAGATGACCTGATAAAACTAAGCACTCAAAACTTTATTACATAGTAATTTAAGGTTGCCTGAAATTGTACACATGTACATAGAGGTTAATGAAATTCAATGTAAACTTCTTCAATAAGATTTTATTCATATATTTTTTTTATCAATGTGTTTATTCAAAGATCCTTACCTTGTAACCAGAGGGAATTCTTGGGGCTGTTCTTGCTCCAAGAGTATAACCCTTTGTACTATTGATCTTGTGTTCAATGTTGTACATGAAGCTGGTTTTCTGTAAATGGAACACTATGGATATAATACCAAAAGTAATTCATACTTTTAACAGCTAATGACATGAACAGAAAAAATATCTCTATCTACAATGTACCATTATGGTATTAATTAGTTCCAGTTGTTAACAGATTTCAGTAAGCCTAAGGTGAACTAAGGTACCGATTCTGATGGAGAATTTGAGAGTACTGGTCATCTTACTGGTCTTGGCTTAGAATTTCCCATAAGTCAAGCAATAGATTGTCCAGCAATAAGAGACTGAAAGGTCCCTAGTTTGAGTCCCATTAGGAGCCGAGCATGTATTTCATTACTCCTTCCTATCAGGTTTAGTCATATTTGGTGCTGTTAACTACTTCAAGGGTAGAAGCAATAGGGAAACCAGGATTATTGTTGTCTTCAAGGTCAAATATTTTGATATTTTGGTGTAAAGTTGAGATTACAGATCACCTTACCATAGTCTCAGCTTGACTCTAGTGGTAGAATATTTGGTTTAGTAGAGAAATTTGTTAGTTTTAGTCCCACTGATGGTACAATATCTTTTTCATTACTTTGTCCCATACTCCGATATAAACTTAAAGAAAAAATTCATAAATAGAAAATAATCAGTGATTGCATTTGTGTTTATGATTAATCTGTTTAGCTTTGACTTTCAAGCATCTTTTTATTTTATCAGTAATGTCTTTTACTGCCTGGATTGATATCATGGACATTTACAGCTTATTTGAATAACAACTATGTGATTACCGAGGGTAAGAATAATGAGATAACAAATTATTTACATATTTTTACAGAAGATACTTAATTTCTTTTGTTTTATAAACAAAATCAAATTAAAAACAGACTTCAGAATCACTCCAAACTTAGACAAAAATGATAATGAAATAGTTTTTCATCTTAATTTGCCTGGAAAATTTGGCATGACATTTGTAAACAACATGACTGCTTGTAGTTTTTCATGTAAATTGAATACCAGTACTTACGTCTTCATTTTCATAGCAGCCTGGCCCTCGGTGAGGGGCCCCTCGTAAAGGAGCAATTTCATTGCCAAACCTATTCTTTGGCATCTTTGTTGGAAACAGTTCCCTGTCCATGGTGGTCATGAAACCCACCTTGGGTTTTTTGGTCTCCACTGAATTATGAACAAAATTTGATGATTAAAAACACAGCAATAATCTGCTTTATAAGCAGAGGGAATAGATTTTTAAATATATATATATTTATGCTTTGATAGAATGTTTTGTACCAGTGGGACATAATCATTGAAAAGGGATACATGGGTTATTGATTTGAACAAGTCCTTTGATAAAATCTGAAAGCAAATTTCAAACTTTCAAATACACTCAATTGAATAGTCTGAAGGGTACTGACTTTATCTACAGTTTTATTTAGTCCCGGTCGCAAACCAAGACAAAACAAAATCAGATATATAGTAAAAACCTTTCTAACTATCAATTGAAGTAAAAAGACTAAAGTTTTAACCACATAGAAGAGTATAAAAATGTGGTTTGAAATTTTAAACATGATGTATTCTGAATTGTTTAACTCTTCTCTTAGTTTTGATATCTGTTTCCTTGCATTGAGAAAAGGCCAGTTTCTTTGATAAAGATTAAAAATGAGCCAAATTCATTATCACGTAAATTCAAGCAACAAAGCAACAAGTAAAGACATCCCTGGAGTCAAAATGACACTGTGATGATGATAATCTCTGATTTAAGTTTGTTATAAACTAAATGTTCTATTTAACCAGTTTCTGGACCATTTCAACATAGCTAAGGAAAAGCATGTCACCAAGATATATATGAGAATTGCAGGAACCACAAGGAAACACAACTACATAACATTGGATAGTGAGACAGTCAAAGCGATAAAAGAAAAGCACCGTAGCTGTCAAAGATACAGAAACCAAAACCGATAATAAGGACGAGAAATATACTATAAGAAAAATCGTGTGAAAAAATTATTGAAAAAGCATGAAAGTATCCATGGCAAAAATATAGCCAAGCATGCAAAAAACAATCCAAAACAATTTTGGAAAAATGCAAATTCAAAACATAAAACCCAATCAGGTATATCAGAATTTAAATATGCAACAGCTATGGGAGAGGAAAAAACCAAATCAGCAGAAATTGACAAAGCTCAAGTTTTTGCAAACTATTTTACAAGTGTGTTTACAGAGGAGCCAGAGGGAGAAATTCCAGATATGACAAGTACAATATATTGCACCAGATTGTTGATGACCACTGCAGTGAGGAAGAAGTCATGAAACCCATAAGTCTGGATGTGAATAAATTCCCACAGCCAGAAGGAATGCGCCCAAATGCACTTAGTTAGCTAAAAGAAATCATAGTCAAGTCTAACTATCATCTACAATGCATGAATGGAAACAGGTATATTACCAGATTTATGGAAGTTTGGAAAGATTACGGCATTATTCAAAAAGGGAGATAAATCTGACCCAGGGAACTACCTGCCAGTAAGTTTGATCAGTGTGGTATGCAAAATGATGGAGAAACTTGTGAGAACAGATATAGTTAACCATATGACTAGAAACAAACTCTTCAGTACCAAACAAATCGGGTTCATATCAGACAGGTCCACAACATTACAACTCCTTAGAGTCAAAGAAGACTGGACAGAGATACTAGACAAAGCTGGCACTATCGATGCTGTGTTTATGGACTTAATAAATGCCTTCAATAAGGTTCCACAAAGAAGACTTATAAAGAAGTTGTCAGCATATGGTATTGGTCAAAGGACAATTGTATGGATGGAAAATTTTCTCCGAAACAGAACTCAAAAAGTCAATGTACATGCGGAATTCCTCAGGGGATCTTACTTTTTTGTCCAATCCTGTTTGTCTTATACATTAATGACATTTCAGATTGTGTAAATGCATCAACATATTTATTTGCTGATGATACAAAGATATATTCAATTGAATTCCAAATTTTGAAAATGCCAGGAAGTTATAGGAGGACTTGGATATGCTGCAGAAATGGTTAGATACCTGTTGAAGTTCCACCCAAAAAAGTGCAAAGTGATGATAATTAACACATGGAAATGTTCCAAAGAGTATAAGTACCATTTATACAGTCAAAATGGTGAAGAAGTAGATTTGGAACACATGGAGGGTGAAAAAGATGTTGCTGTGTTAGTTGACAACTATCTCAACTTTGGAATCAATATTCAACAGAAGGTGAACAAAGCAAACAGTATCATGAGCCTAATAAGGGGAACATACAGCTACTTAAATGAGGTTAGTTTTAGATATTTATTCCTGGCACTAGTAAGACCTTATTTAGTGTAGGCCCAGGCAGTGTGATCACCATACCAAAAGCAGTACAATCTTATAGAGAATGTTCAACGGAGGGCTACAAAGCCAATTCCATCATTAAAAGACGGGGGTTATGGCGACAGTTTGAAGAAACTTAAGATGCCTACACCGAAATATAGACGTTTAAGAAGTGATGTGATAGAAATGTTTAAGATCATGAATGGTATATACATCAAAATTAACTGATGGATTCTTCGCCAAAACAAAAAGTACATCCACAAGGGGACATAGTCTAAAAGTATTGTGCTGCAACACAAACGTGAGGAAATCCTGCTTCACTTACAGAACCGTGGATAATTGGAAACATCTACCAGAATCAGTAGTGCAAGCAAAATGTATTAAAAGGCTGAAGCAAGATTGGATAAATTTTGTAAAGACCATTAAGTAAAGATGTCACGTAATCAGTACAAATGACGAAACGGATCAATTTGATTCGGACACAGTGGTCGAATAGACAGGCGTCCATAAAAGATCACAGGTATCCTAATGTAAGAACTTTGAGTGTTTCTATTCCAGATAACCCCGCATTTGCGCAACAAAAGCAGCTACTGTCAAATTCATGGCAATAATCCATATAATCCTAATAAAAGCATAAAGAGGGTACAGTCGAGTCCACAGTCTGAACTAAACTCTGGCATTTCAAAATACCGAACGCAAAAAAAAAGGAAAATAATGAAATAAACAATGATAATAATCAGTCAATAAAAATAATGATAATTATTATTATAAACGCCTAATTTCTATGCATACTGGGCGACGTGTGACGTGCAGGATGTCGAGATCGTCAGATCATCGACTGCCACCTTTTCTAATTACGTATGAATATAAGACGTATGAAATAGGAATAGAAAAAATAAGAATTCCTTAAGACAAATATACCTTCCATGGCTGCTTTTGCTGGTACCGCTACTTGATAATCATCAATTTGACGAACAAATAGCTATATATGAAATACGCTGTTCAGGGTGCAAAGGAAAATCCCCCTTTGCTTACAATGTTGCTAAGTTCAATGCGCATGCTCGCGATTACTTTACGGCAGATCGATGTCGTTAAATTGGGGTTTCCGGTTGTAAACTCCGCGAAACGAATCACACATGTATGAGGTGTTTACCGAAGAAGAGGACAAAAACAACGGAAATTCTTTTTCTTTCCGCAATATGTGAATGTACCTGTTTAGTGAAGGTTGGCGAATGCCTCAGTAAGATCATTTTGGTATTTGTATAAGGTTTAAGAGACTATTCCAGTGGGTTATTTAATTAACATCTTTCATTTGTTTTCGCAATGTCAACATTATTTTTTATAACACGTTTGTTTTTTAAGAACTGTTCCTTTCAAAGTTCAACTTGTATGAGTCACAACTTAATTTGCGTTGAAATGATTGAATTGGTCATATATCTCATTTCATAAAATACATTGTAGCTGCATTTAACAGGTTGGGCACAACCTAACGTATTGTTAATACTAATAGTCCTGCACCTGAGGGATTAGGTACCGCTTTGAATTATCATATGGTTACTCAAATGCATGATCATTTGAAATAGAAACACATAAAGTTAATTTAACATTTGCAATATGAGAGGGTATCACCGACTTTTGATTTGATGTTATAGTAGCTTTCAATTATATTTCATTTTTTTTACTGAAACAGCAATAGATTTTGATGGGCTTATTATCGGGCACATTTAACTTATTCCTTGGTAAATTTGGGATAGATAAGGCTGACGAATGCTTATTATCAGTAAATAAGTTTATTTCTTCTAAGCACTGATTCAGTAATTAGGCTCCTTTGGGTTCCTCTATATTAGAAGACCTTGGTCAACATTGCTTCTACTGATGGCTGGTTGGGGCTTTAAGTCTTCATACATGATACATCAATGAACTTGTCAAAATCAAGTTTTGAATTGACTTAAGGACTCTAAGCTCAATCTTCTTAGGGAGGCTGTTTCATATAGTACAATGTATATTGTAAAGGAATTTCTAGTCACATTTGTATTTGCTCTCTGAGGATACAGGGTATTAGTGTTACCCCTAGCTATGTTCCTGTCTGATATGTCTCTCTAAAACTGAAGTTCTGGGTAAGATCAATTCTGCCAGGCAGTTGTTTATTTGTTATTTGAACTCCTTCAAGTTTCTTCACTTGTTTTATTTTATATGGAATTCACATCAAGCTATTATACTCTAGATGTGTCCCCACAAGTGATTAATATAAAGGTATAAAAGTGTCAGGAACAAGGCGTTGGAAAACCCTTCTGATAATTGCAAACATGGAATTTGCTGTCCACTGTTTCAATGATGTATTTGTTAAAGCATAAATCTTGATCTACTATTACAACTAAATTGTTATAATTTTTTACCATCTCCAAATAGCATGAAACAGTTAATTTGCAATTAACAATGCATTAACAGTAGAAACATAAAAGTTGTATAAACAAAATATTTCCCTGATTTCTGACTTCCATGATTGCAAACTCAGAAAATGCTAAAAATGCAAAAATATCATTTATTTCAACAAAAATTGCAACTTTAAAGGAGAAATTTATTTTTGAATAACTGTCTAAAAATGAACAACCATGCCATAGTAACAAATTATTTAAGTGTCAGCAAATTCAAACTTGGAATGGCTTTACAACATGACTTTTCAATAACCAAAATGCCAAAGATACTGATATTAGGCCTATAACATGATGGGAAGAAGATAAAAAAAAACTCTTCTTAATAACCAAAAGTCCCAGGGTTCTTATATTGTGCTGGTATCCTGTTGGGATGAAGGGCTACCAAGTTTGTTCATATGATTAACCTTAACCTACTTGCAAGGTCTCAGGGGACAAATATGTAAAAATCTTTAAATGACTTCTTAATAACCAAAAGGCTCATAGTGCTGATAATTAGCTTGTAGCATGCTGGAATGAAGGGTTACCAGTTTTGTTCATGTGATTGACTTTTTTTTTTTTAAACATTATAGAGGTCAAATGTGTAAAATTCTGCAAACAACTTCTCCCCAACAAAAAGGTTCAGACTGTTGATATTGGTTCTTTAATATAAGTGGATTAAGGGCTACCTATTTGTTCAACTAATTCACCTTGACCTATGTTCAAGATCTTTTGGTTAAGTGAGTTGAGATCTTAAAATTTCTTCTCCAACAAGCAATAGGTTTGGAGTAATGGCATTTGTGTAGTTGCATGTATAAAGAATATGATTTCAAGTTCACAGATTTTTTTATTAACCAACAATGCCATGTCTGTAAGCTGTAGTGTAGTGGAGCAATTTTATTTTAATCCTTTTTGGGCTCTTTCATATATAGGTCTTGATAGTCAGATGACCGTTAAGGCCTGTGGGCCTCCTGCTGAAGAGACAATATCAGGCAGATCATGGATGAATATCACAAACAACAGAGGCCCAACTACTGACTCCTGAGGGATAGCTAATGCTACCTTAGCCCTATCAGATGTTTTGTGTCTGTTGCAACATCTCAGCACCTATGCCATATAACTCCAGTTTGTCTAGAAGTCTTTAGTAGGGGACTGTGTCAAAGACTGTTTGATAGTCCATGTCCACTCAATCCAATTTACTTTCTTTATCCAGAGCTGCACAATCATCTAATACCCTAACCAGTTATAATGCTGTTAAATGTTTAGCCATGAATCTGTACTGCTTGTTGATGAATAGATAATTTTTCCTCATGTGCCTAGTGATGTGATCTCCCACAATCCTCCCCTTGATTTTACATACTATTATGGTTAGTCTTAATGGCCTGTGATTTCTGGCTTTGTTACCCTTTGTTACCCTTCTGAAAGATGGTGCTTATTCCTTTTTTTCCAAATATCAGGCACTTCGCTTTCCTTTATTGATTGATTAAGAATGACTGAGAGTGGTTTAGTCAGTGTCCAAGCTAGACCTTGTAAAAATCTCGGATGAAATTTATCCAGATTCTGGTAACATGTCTACCTTCAGTTTTCCCAGAACTTTTTTTCTATCTCTGGGGTTGAAATATATTCCCATTGTTTATTTATCTGCCTTGTTGTTTTGGAGCTTCTCCACCCAAAGGTTTCGTGGTTAGCACGGATCCTTAAAATGAGCATATGATGTCTGCTTTCTCCTTATCCAAAGACGTTTTGATTGATTTCTTGTCATCTAGATCTATTCCTTGTCTTGTCTTGCCTTGCTTTTTGATTTTAGACATTGCCCTATTTTCTTTGGGTTTTACTTCACTTTCAGGGAGAATTTCTTTTAATTTTTTTTTCGGTGCATTTTTGATAAGATTGCTTACTTCATTTATATGTCATCTCAGTTCAGTAAGTGAAAAATAGAATTTGGATTCCAGAATAAGAATTTTGTCTTCAGATTCATGGTTATATCTAGATTTAACTGAAACTATTTTATTTTAAAGATTTTACAACAAAACCTTATTTTACTGTTTAAGGTAATTGAGTGGGTATGTCTAGCAGTAGATCCTCAGAAGATGTGTTGCTAATTGTGAACCATGTGCGACACAAGAAGACAGATGGAGTTCTGTACCTCATGGGCGAACGGATGGGCTGGATGGTGGAGAGTAAGAGCAGCTTCTCCCTCAGTCACATGTACTCGGACATCAAGAGTAAGTTTTATCCATAAAATATACACCTTCAAGTTAAATGTGATGAAGATGTCAAAAGTATTTCTTGTGACAAACTTGATACTCAAGAGGTTATGCTCACTTTCACTCTTGGCACCTTTGGAACATTTCATTGCAAAACTGAAGGCACAAGTAAAGTAATTTGATTGGTCTGGAGGGGGTTTCAGGATAAAAAAAAAGGACACAGAATGATTCGCTCCTCTGAAGGCTATGAAGGAGAGACAACCAACTTTATAGCCAGTGCAACATACCATTGTGCGACTTTGAAATTCATTTGATGTACATCAAAGTATCAAACTAGTCTTCTTGCCGTCTCCTCAAGGTGTTGCGCATGGAGCATTAAATTTTGCCTTGAAACCTTTCAGCTATGTAGAGAGTGTAACTCCTGGAGTATTGAGGATGTCACTGTATGTTATTAATGACTTATTTTTCAAGGTCAAAAAATTTCTCCTGACTCCAAAGACAAGGTGCAGCTTCAAATTGTGATGCATGATGGCAGTGCTAAAACATTCCACTTTACAAACCCCAAAGGTCGAGATGCTGGGGTTAGGGATAGAGATAGCATCAAAGAACTTCTACAGCAGCTTCTACCAAAGTTCAGAAGCAAGATCAGCAGTGAATTGGAAGAAAAAAACAGGTCATTAAATGGTTTATTTCAAAGTAATAGCAGTAATAAAGTACTATAGCAGCATAATCTAAAAATATTATAAGCTTATTTATTCATTAAATGGGTCTTACATCCACTAATACAGCCTTTTATCAGATGATATAAACAGGTCTGTGTTATCTTAAATTTCAGTCAAAGATAATTTTCCTATTCCAATAAAAGTATACTGTAAAGTATGTTGTTGTTTAAGTAATGAAAAGTGCCACTTTCCAAGTATGGAGGATCAGCAGTTTGAAGTAAACCTAATCATTTTTTGACAGGTTATTACAGGAAAGTCCGGAATTATTTCAGCTGTATAAAGACTTGGTGGTCAGTGGTGTGATAACAGCAGAGGAGTTCTGGGAGTCCAGGGCTGATGTAAGTACAGCGTGACAGCAAAGGGTTCTGGGTATCGAAGGCTGGTGAATGTACATGGTAACAGCAGAGATGTTTAGGAAATAATCAATTCAGGGTGATATACGTACATGATAGAAGCAGAGGAGTTCAGTGAATTTACGGCTGATGTAGGTACATTGTACCAGGGAAGTTTTGATAATCCATTGGTGATGTACCAGGTAAATACACAGTTATATTAAACTTTCTTTCACATGCAATTGATTTTTTCTTATTTATTTATCTTTTTTATTTTTAATTTTGTAATCAAAGTAAAATCTCCTAAAAGAAAATTTCACCAAATTAGAAAATGATTAATTTGGCACAATCAAATTTTAGCTCGGCCTTTTTTGTCAATTTAGTGCTCTAATAAATTTGCACATCCACTATAATTACCAGATAACCATCACAAAGAAACTGCAGGTAGTACAATACAGTGTACTTCCATTATGAAAATTGTGAAATATATATATATACAGTATATGTATAGTAGCAAGGCTGATTTTCGTTGTCATCATTTTCTTTTTGTTTTGTTTTTTTAAATACATAACGTTATGTGCAGTTTATCCTGAATCTATGTATACAATACATACTGCAATAGCTTGTTTCAAAATCTATTGTTAAATGTTAAATTCTGTTGTGGACATTTTATTCCCTTGAGTGTACCATCCTGAGGAGTCAGTACTTAGAACATGAAACTCTAAGTTGGAAATTGCTGGTGTGTTTAATTCAATGGATTGGCCACATGTATATGAAGCTATTGAAGTTTTTAAATGACTGCAATCGACTTTCACATTGAAATCGAAACAGACATGAGACACCTTATAAATTTTGAAGTTATTTAAACTAGCTTAATTGTTAAAGAAAAATCAAAAGCTGTTACTGTCTATGATTCTCTTATTACTGACCTGTGTCTCCCAACCTTCTTACAGCAAGCTAACCTGTCTTGTTGTACATGTAAGCAACTGGATAACGAATTGTACTTATAATGTTAATGCCAGTGGTGTTCAGGATTTGAAAAAAGTATAATGCTGCTAGCTTGTTGTATTTCTGAAATTCAAATAAAAGTCAGTAGCTGCAAAAGAAAGTTGGTTTTCAGTATGGGAATCATGGGCAGACATATTTACATAGCTGTAATAGAGGAGCTCGAGGGTAAAAGAAAGCAGTTATGTGGCTGGAAATTGCCAAATATCGTTACTTATATGTATGGGAGCAAGGGAATTTTCTAGTTTAATACAATGAATCAGCTTTTGGAATGTTGGAATATTCTTCTTTTCAGCAACTTTCAAACATAGGCAAACAGGAAGGCAGCAAGCAGGCAGTTGGTGTTTCAGCAGCCTTTCTGGTAGGTGGTTACAATGAGGACTGTTAATTATAACAAAAATTTATAAAATGTACTTTTAACAATGAATGACAAGTTTCTGCATATAGTCATGATCAGTATGAATTGACTAGGTCTGATATTGAATGTCAATTCTGGTGTGCCTTTTATGACTAAATATCCAAGTGAATTTTAGTTCATTATACATGTCATTGATTGTAATAAAAAGAAAATGTATTTTGCTTAAAAGATTGTAAATTAAATAAGGAAAAACAATTTTGGACACTATTTTCATTCAAATCACTAATGTTTGATAACATGTAGCATTAATAACAGTAGTATAGATTTAGTCAATTGCCTTCACAATTGATTTGATATTGGGTGTGAAATAGTCTATGACTATAGCTTTGATAAACAGTTGGACTCTAATCATTGATACAAAATTCTATTAAACTTATTTTCTATAGAAACATGTAAAATTTTACAATAACGTTTTCATTGTCAGGCTGACATCAAACCACAGACTGATGGTTGCAATGGGCTCAAGTACAATCTTACTGCAGATGTTATAGAATCTATATTTAGGACATATCCAATGGGTAAGTTTATAAGTATTGCTAATTTCACTCATGTTGTCATAGAATCTATATTTAGGGTTATCCGACTGGTTTATTTTTAGCTGTTGCCGATTATAGATATGTTATGGTATAACCTTAGTTTGAAAAATGACTACTTATCTCCCTTAGGTATATGTGTAACACATTTAGGCATGTGTTTCAAAATGCAGAAAACTAAGAGGAACAAGCGACACAAACACTTGTTACAAAATTCATGAAAACAGAACTTTATAAGTATACCATGAAATGTTTTCTCACATTACACATTCAAATATCATTGGTAGTGACATGAAAGTCTTTTCAACTTGAAGGATTCATAATTACATATACATCAAAATGAATCAGAGACAAAATCTTGTCAAATGTGCGAAAACTAGAAAAAATTAAACAAGAAACACTCAAGTTTTGATATGGAAATGAAGAAACATGCAAGAAACAACTTACCCAAGGTAACTGAAAGGCACCTTCATGGACACTAGTATTATTATAAGGGCAAAGTTGAAGTTTTCCTTCCGGATAACAGAACATAATAAGAATTACCAAAAATGATATTCATTTTAAAATTTGACATGGAATACAAAAACATAATATGACTTGCTTAAAATTAATCCCACTCGGACTTTCAGAAATCAACTTATACCTAAAGTAAGAAATATCGTTAAAATAATCACAATAAATGATAGTCAAAGATGATGGTATCCAATACTTTGTTGTGTTACAGTGAGGAAAAAGCATGCCGAGAATGTACCCCATGAGATGACAGAGAGTGAATTCTGGACACGGTTTTTCCAGTCTCATTACTTTCACAGGGACCGAACTGTCATTAGCAGTAAGGATTTATTCTCAGACTGTGCCAAGAATGATGACAGAGGTATCTTTATTAATCTCCACTATGAATAATTAACTCTCACACTCCACAATGTCATATTGTTCATCTACTCTTTCACCCTCAATGGCTCCAAATTAGCTTTGTTTTTTACTTATGATGGTGTTAAGCTCATTGTCACTTAAGTTTCATCATGTGCCCCAATATATAGAGTTATGACCCTTGTTCTTATATATTACTTTAATTTTCATGGAGGGGCCTTGCAGTTGTTTTAATAATATGACTTGTTCTGGTTGTTTTACTTGCTATAAGTATTTTTATGAGGGGAAAGAAATTAGGAAAAAGGTTCAAAATTTATATCAGAGTAGTAATCTGATCTCTGAATCTCATAACAGACAATGGAATTTAAATCATGATTTTGTCCTGAATGTTTCATTTAAATGTTGTTTCTTGTAGAGATAAAAGATGAAGTGACTAAAAGAGTGAATGACCCTCTCCTGGACATGTCAAAAATGGATGATTCAAATTCTGGTGATGTAAGTAGTCGAGACATTCAATATGTCTTGAATCTTACATTTAGTCAAAATTGCCAAATGTGAAGGGGCCATTTAAATTATTGTGATTGTATCTAATGGACATGTAAAAAAAATCAATGATACAAGTTATTCAGTAAAATAATTCTTCCTAATCACATACAATTTTGATTGGTGACATTCATAATAGGACCATTTATTTCAAAGAACAAATGTACTGATGTGTTGTTTTGATGTTTGGTCATTTCAGACTATCTTAATCGCTGAGGTGATCTGTTGTAATAATAGTAAATGATCATTAATTTTAAACTACTAATTGTAAAATGTTCAATTGAATATATAGTTTCATTAGAGATAATTGTTATGACTGACTGACCATTGATGGTGTATCTGCATGTTTTTATGAATTTTTATTTAAAAAATACCTAGGGCTTTGGCGGGATGTCAGATGAACGACGACTTACCACGAATCAGACCAATCTGACCATGATTCGCAGATTCAATCACCACTCCACTATGGTTCTTAAGGCCTGTGAAAGAAACAAAACTACCAAATCTCAGGAGACCACTAATGGGGCTAGTGGTACAAGTGACAATAGCTCCAAGAAAGCCAATGGGGCAGTGTCTCATACAGTTGCTAACGGTGATATGGACTCTAATAGTGCTAGCTCAGATGTGTTCAAAGAACCTTCCACCAAACGAGCAAGGATTCAAGAGAAACTGGAATATGAGGATTTAGAAGGTAGAATTCAATCTAAGAATGTGAATTTAAGACTACACAAAACAGATGGATACCTTCATGGTCCAAGACCTGTGGTGATGTCAAAATACATGACAAGTGAGGATGCATTCAGTGCATCACACTTTGTATCAGAGGAACTGTCTGACTGGGCGCCGGAACTCTCTAATGTAAGTGTTAAAGTTATCTTAGCATGTTGATTTGATTTACAATACAGTATTATCAAATACTTTGTTGGAAAAGTGGCAGATTTACATGTTGAATGTTTTCAATAAAACAGAATGTGACTATTCTTCCAGAACATATGGTCTAATTCTCCTTGTACTTCTTTGGGCTAGCTCTTGTGAATCTTTCCTTTGTTCAAATTTTGCCCTCATTTCATTTAAAGTATAAAAATCTGTTAACATGCTAGTATATTTTGTTTTTGCTAAGAATGTCTTAGAAATTGGAAAGCAACTAATTTAAGAAGTTTTTAAAGGGTTTAGTTCTTGAGATTTATTTTTATTTGAGTCCCAGGAACATCAAGGTTTGATTTATAGTGTCAGTAACTTGAAATAGAAGCATGAATTCTTTGTCAGAGATATCAGTGAGATTATAGGTGAGAGAATTGTTATAGATTTCCTGACAATGATTAATAGCTGGAGCAATGTTTCAGGTGCTACGCGGTCCTGTTGCTCTAGGTGTTTTAGGGGAATTGTCTCCAGGTGGTACTCTGATGTATGGCACAAGTCATCAACAGCTCCACAGTATGTATAAAAAAACTTTATATTACAGACTGAAATCATTACATAGTATAAGTAAGTCATATCAAACATTTAGTGTTTAAAACATTTAAATTAATTCTTTTTAAATAATCACAGTATAAATTTAAATGAATGGCTCAAAAAAAAAATGTGCACAAATATGCCCCAGAATAGAATTGTTCCTTTGGAAAATGCAACTAGAATATTAATCACAAAGCTTGAGCAACTAAAAGCATTGTCCAAATAAATGACCTTGACCTCACTTTGAAAGGAGGAGTTTAAATGTGTTGGCATCTTCCAAAGATCTATAAATGTAAGTTATGTAGGTATTACTAGTATTTTGTTTAGATGAATGACTATCATTTACTTTGACCTGTATTAAATATATGAAGTACTTGCAAGCTTGCTCAGATGTATGGCTGCTTTTTGAATAAATAATATTGTGTCGTGTGGTTTATTGTATATGAATTTGCAAAGAAATCCAAAAGAGCCTCAATTTCTTTAGAGCACTTTGCTAGGTGTGATGAATAGGGGTCAGTCTTAATAGCAGTGCTACATTATTCAGCAAGTATTGTTTTTTTACAGTATATTGATAAAATGTTACTATGCTATCTGAAATTTAAACCTAACATGTTTGTAGACTGAAAAATATTATTCCTATTTGGGGTATCTTTACTCTGACTTCAGTTTATTTTTCTTCCCTTTTATTTTCTGTTCACAATTTGTCCTAATATGCCAGTTCTGATAGGCATTGATACAAATTAACGTAGCATGCTTTTCTCTAATTTTAAACAAATAAGATTTTGTACTGTAATATGATTCCATGTTGTCTCCTTTGCTTTAACTGGAACTTAATTGTTGTGTAGATATGGTCGCAGCAGATATACAAGAAGAACTTAAGAAACAATATACAGCTTTACAGGAACTTCTCAGGCATTTCTGGACCTGCTTCCCAGCCTCCTCTAAATTCTTAGAAGAAAAGGTTTGATGTTAAAACAATTTTGTTTTAAGCAGTTTTTCTTCATACTACAAAGTATCAAGTCATATAGAGGGATAGTCAGGTTGCACTGTGGTAACACACTTGCCTTTTTCCTAGATTACCAGCATTTGATTCCCTTTATGGGGTCACCTGTCTACCATGTGGGTTTTACTGAGGCACTCTATCAAACCCTCACACTCTGGCCCACCATACCCTGTGGGTTTTACTGAGGCACCCTATCAAACCCTCACACTCTGGCCCACCATACCCTGTGGGTTTTACTAAGGCACTCTATCAAACCCTCACACTCTGGCCCACCATACCCTGTGGGTTTTACTAAGGCACTCTATCAAACCCTCACACTCTGGCCCACCATACCCTGTGGGTTTTACTGAGGCACCCTATCAAACCCTCACACTCTGGCCCACCATACCCTGTGGGTTTTACTAAGGCACTCTATCAAACCCTCACACTCTGGCCCACCATACCCTGTGGGTTTTACTAAGGCACTCTATCAAACCCTCACACTTTGCCCCACCATACCCTGTGGGTTTTACTAAGGCACTTTATCAAACCCTCACACTCTGGCCCACCATACCCTGTGGGTTTTACTAAGGCACTCTATCAAACCCTCACACTCTGGCCCACCATACCCTGTGGGTTTTACTAAGGCACTCTATCAAACCCTCACACTCTGGCCCACCATACCCTGTGGGTTTTACTGAGGCACCCTATCAAACCCTCACACTCTGGCCCACCATACCCTGTGGGTTTTACTAAGGCACTTTATCAAACCCTCACACTCTGGCCCACCATACCCTGTGGGTTTTACTAAGGCACTCTATCAAACCCTCACACTCTGGCCCACCATACCCTGTGGGTTTTACTAAGGCACTCTATCAAACCCTCACACTCTGGCCCACCATACCCTGTGGGTTTTACTGAGGCACCCTATCAAACCCTCACACTCTGGCCCACCATACCCTGTGGGTTTTACTAAGGCACTCTATCAAACCCTCACACTCTGGACCACCATACCATTTTGGTTTTACTAAGGCACTCTATCAAACCCTCACACTCTGGCCCACCATACCCTGTGGGTTTTACTAAGGCACTTTATCAAACCCTCACACTCTGGCCCACCATACCCTGTGGGTTTTACTAAGGCACTTTATCAAACCCTCACACTTTAGACCACCATACCATGTGGGTTTTACTAAGGCACTCTATCAAACCCTCACACTTTGCCCCACCATACCCTGTGGGTTTTACTAAGGCACTCTATCAAACCCTCACACTCTGGCCCAACAAGAGTTATCAATACATGTATAGGGTATGAGCATGTGTTTGCAGTTATCGTTAAAACAGAAATAAATAAGGTTGATTTAAAAACGATGTCATGTTTCTCTTTCTTACATATTCCTAAGCAACAATAAATGTATTGGCCTTTTTCTGTAAGTATTAATCAATGGTAACTTAAGGGTTCAATCATGATTATTTTATCTGATTATTCATGTTTTTGACTGATTACATTTGGTGTCGGTATGTACAAGATTTGGCTCTATTTCCACAAAATTGGAGCTAGGTAATAAATAGTGCTGAAGCACTTTGTGAGATTGTAACAACATTAAAGGTCAGTGTTTGTCTTATTCTTTCAGGTTTGCAGAATGAAGGCGACTTTAGAAAGATTTCAAGTAACCAAACTCCTTCCATTAAAGGAATCTCTAAAACAGCATCACTACACAATAGATGTGAGTCTTCAGTCTTGTATTTAGGAATACCATGAACTAAAACTCTTGAGCTGTGAGAGACTGCAGTGTAAACCAGATAAATCACAAACTTTTCACTGACCATGATCTCCCTCTAGCAGTAGATGCACTCACATTGGCCTACGTAGGGTACAACTTTATTCTGACTATAGAAAGATTAAATTCACTTTGGTAGCTTGTAATGTGCATGCGTGCAGAAACAAATAGGTTTGATAGGAATGCCTTCTGCCTTCGTAATTTTAGCTCGACCGATAAATTTGTTGGTCTAAACAGCAATCAAACACTGTCTGCACATATGTCATCATTTTGTACAATGGCAGTGATTGGTAGTTGTTTATTAGCTTAAGATATAACCACTTGACATTAACAATGGAAGAGTTCAACCACATTAAAAGGTCGGCATTCAAGGTAGGACACACATACTTGACAAACTAAGATGTTAGAATGTTATTTGATATGGTGAATTTAAAAAAATGAAGACATTTTGCCAAAATTAATACATAGTCTTTAATATCACTTTTTATGACCTTGCCATGGTAGAACCTCAATTTTAATTTGAGTCCTTTACAATTGATCTGCAGGCCAAACCTCAATTTTATTTCATTAGTCTTTAGTTCAAAGATATCAACACTCTGAAGTTGTAAAATGGTGTGGTTTCTAACGGAGGCATTCATATTGCTCTGATGCATCTAATTTCAAATTTTGATATGAAATGATTTAATCCATTGCACTGTATACAACCAGGTAAACAACTTTTTTTATTGATGGATGTTTGCCTAGATAGGTCTTTTATGATTATAAGCAAACTGTACTTAAATTTTGCTAATAGGGAAAACAATTGATTGCAAGAATTTGTTTTCAACAGTAGACTAACACCTTCACGTGTAAATACCAAGTGTTTTAATATCAAAACTTTTATGTCTTCTTTCAGCTGGTTGGACACTTGGAAGAACTCTTGTCTACAGCTTATGCTAAATTTGATGCTTGGCAAGCCAAGAAAATGGCCAAAAGATCATGACCCAGAAGACTGTTAGTTCTGACATTAAAGATGGAGGCATTATATTGTGGTGAAAAGTTTTTCGATTCATGTTATTCATATTGTAGGTTTCACTTGGATTTAAACAGTATATACTGTTACAAGTACATGATTTACATGTAACATACTTTGCATTTCACCACAAAATGATTTCAGGAATATAATTACACATCTTTCAATGAACCTGAATTGAAGTTGAGGCTTACAAGTGTTAAAGATTTGTCATATTTAAGCCACAGCTCCTAACTGAAGGAAAACAAAAGGTTCTACTTAGATGAAGCTGGTGTATTGTCATGATGTGCAAGAGAATGAGTGCCAAGATATTACATGGTTAACTTATGAAGTTCCTCTAAATCTTACAGCCCAAGTATCATCTATGCACCAGATCATTTTACTCACATTCCAGGGGAGAGAACTCTCCTGAAATTCACAACTTTGGCCCTTTATCTGCTGGAGTAGAGGATAAATGAGTTTTGTTTTTACACATTTTTTTTTCATACAGAATTTCAGTCATATGCGTAATTTTATTAAGATCTCAAATAAGCCTCTGAGTATGTCTGCTAGCCTTCTAGGATTAAGGAAATGAAGACGTAGGCATATTGCTTGATTCCCCACATCGGTATGAATGTGTCTATGATGAGAATTAGGATAAAAGCTGTCATACAGTTGCTGAAGTTCAGGGATGCGAGTGATGGAGATGAAGTAGATTTATATATGTGTGATTTATTACAGCTTTATGGTCTAATATCTCCATTTCATATCAAAAAGATTTCAGAAAGAGTTTCGGAAAACCATTTTGCAGTCAATACATGTACATGTATTCCGATATCAAAGGGTGTAACTCAGGTACAAATTTCAGAGCTACCTGATATTATTGTTATTTTGTATTGGTTAGATTTTCCTGGTAAGAACCAATTGTTATTCTGTGTAAATGACAGACCTTTACATTCACTTTAGTTTTAGGATGGCAGTCTTCGTTAGCGAATTTATTCCCATTTTATCACTGCATAATGTGATTTCCCTTCGAAATGAAAATTTTGTCATTGCTATAGGGTTTTATTGTTCTGTTTTTTCAGCAATGAAATGAAATCACAAAAATTGAATACCTTGAAAGTTAAATTAAGTGACTAAGATATAGCCCATTTAATTGATTTCTGTGAAAAATCTCTGACCACAGAAAGGTTATTATCAGTATGAGGGAGACCTACTTATTAAAAACCCTGGAATATCATCAGTGATGAATACCTGGCAATCATTCTACCATTTAGCTAAAGGGAATATAGTAATATATCGTAAACTTAACTGTCTGCTTACACACAATAACATCTTCCAGTTGTTTGATGAAAATTTCACTATAAACAATAGACAAACAGGATTTTCACCTTTGACCTTAACTGGTTTCTATTGACTTACATCCACCCTAGCCACCATCTGTCCTCTCGTTAAAATGTAAAGGTTTCTTTTCTTCTGAGAACTTTTTTGATTAATCAACCTTTTAAAACCAAGAATGTTGTCAACAGTATTGATTTTTTTTAAAAATTCAATAGATATGATGTAAGCTTTTTCTTAATATTCAGTGTATAATAGTGTCAAGGCCTAATGTACTATTTGAAGAATGCAAGGGTATATTTATTATTAATTTAAATATATATACACCAATTAAAATACAATTGTATGTGTGTTGTGTTTGGGGTGTTCACCAAGGTAAATCAGGCTTGACAGCTAATTTACATCTTTAACTCCCCATTGATTGGAGAGCTATTATTTTTATTACATTATCTTACATCTTTGTAATACATGGTCAATGCAGCATCATGAAATTATACAGTACTTTGAGCCATTTGCCTGATGAATTCTAAAGAAAATTATTTCTTTGCAAATTTAGTTGGAAATGATGTGCATTGAAAAAAAGATTTAGGGAGAGTAAGGTTGATGCTCCTCACTGATTGAATTATATATGGTTTCTGTTTACCTGTATAATATACTGTTAATTTGTACATTACATTGAAGATTTGAAAGAGTTGAAAGTGTTTGATGTGTCAAGAATTCATAAAAGCAGCACAACATGTTTATATATGTCATTATTACAAGATGTTTGGAAAAAATTACATGTATTGATTTTTGTTGGGTCTGTAATGTACAAATGTTATTTTCCATACTTGTTCAGGTTATTCTTATGAGAAATAAAAAATGAAATAATATATTTGTGTTTATCTTACTAATCAGAAGTTAGTCTTTCTTTTTTTTAACATTATCTGGTACATCTTTCCCACAGTTTAGTTCAGTTTACAACCTGTAGCTTCTCTATTGCTATAATCTCATCTTTACCTAAAAAAATGAGCACAGGAAGAACAGCAAAGTCGGGGTAGGGGAGTATAGTGGAATTATACTAGACATTTTCCTAGAAAGTTGTTTTTGTGGGAATCAGGTTTCATTCAAGGTAAATTCCTTCAGTCTTGTTTTGGCGCTTCTTCAATGAACCAAACATTCCCTACATCACTTCTCTTTAGCTTGATTGGTTGAGCGTCAGACTAGTAAGCCAGGGGTCCCGGGTTCGATTCCTAGTGGAGGCATTGAAATAGATAATGACCTCTGTTACATTGGCTCCCATGTAGGGACCCAGTAATAGTACTTAGCCAAGTCCCATCGACATCGCTGTAACCCCTGGAAACTCGAGGAGGAGTTATTTCCTGGAAGGGGGAGTATGTAACCCTGGTAAAATACTAGCTGCAATATACCACTCGGCTAGAGAACCTCTCTTTAGCTTGATTGGTTGAGCGTCAGACTAGTAAGCCAGGGGTCCCGGGTTCGATTCCTAGCGGAGGCATTGAAATAGATAATGACCTCTGTTACATTGGCTCCCATGTAGGGACCCAGTAATAGTACTTAGCCAAGTCCCATCGACATCGCTGTAACCCCTGGAAACTCGAGGAGTTATTTCCTGGAGGGGGGAGTATGTAACCCTGGTAAAATACTAGCTGCAATATACCACTCGGCTAGAGAACTTCTCTTTAGCTGGATTGGTTGAGCCTAAGACTAGTAAGCCAGGGGTCACGGGTTCGATTCCTAACCGAGGCATTAAGATGAAAAATTACCTCTATTACATATAAAAAGTTAAAAAAAACAGTGTTTATTATCACATGCTTTAACAAAAAATGAAATCTTGGTTGTATTTTATTGTTTTGTAGGAAGAAATTTTGAAACCTATGATTTGACACCCAGCTGTTTTGTGTGGTACAAATTAAAGTAGAAATGTCAAAATTCTGATAAGTTAAAATGTTAATGCACTGTGTATACAGATCTTTGTTATCAAGCTTCTGGATTTGCAATGAGAAATCAATGGTCAGAATGACTGTAAAATCTCATCTTAAAATTGTTACAGTACCTTCACAGGGTAAGGGGTTTACTTAAGTAGTGCTGTTTCCCTGTCTTTATGGATCTTTTCTGTTTAGTAAATTAATCAAAGTTTTCCAGTTAAGTACTATTAATTTCCACAGCTGCAGTCACTTCACAATGAAGGTGTATCCCCTTTAGCTCAGTTGGTCCAAAGTTATATGATTAGCTAATTTGTAGTGACATCTTTCATCCTTCTGTAAACTTTTGCATTGGAGCAACAAGACTGTTCTTTTCTGTAGCACTATTTGCAATGTCAGTTGAAAGGGCCTTGATACCAAAGTGTATATGAATGAGTGAACATACCATGGACTGTGTGCACAATGTTAGGCATCACTCCTTCGTCTGAAATCATATTCAAAGCAATTTTTTCCTTTTATATACATGTAGGTCTAAGGTCAAAATGTAAGTCAGAGTGACCTACTTTGATGCACACATACTGCCTCACCAAAGTCACCTATACCCAAGGTATAAAGTTCCAGTAAAAGGAAGTGTGGGTGACAAAGCTTTGACAAGATAGTGGGAGGAAGAATGGACAGAAATTGCAAAAGTATAGCCCCCACCCCCTCCTGTCTACAACATCAGTTCCTGTTGGGGGACTACAGCCAGGTTTGGGGCTGAATTAAGAATCATCATGAGTTGTTTGCTTGTAATGCATTTCAGTGCTTGATTATAGCAGAATCACTTATTCTGTTATAAAACTAACTTCAACAATCACACATTCTGTTATAAAATTAACTCCAACAATCACACATTCTGTTATAAAACTAACTCCAGCACCGATGAAATTCATGGAATAAAACCAACAAAGTGTCACATTTTAAACAATATTTTAATACCATTAGATAGTCTTTTTTAAACTTTCAATACAATGCATCTATTGTAACTACACATATCTTGGCAGAAGAAAAGGGTGGACTTTTGGGTTCATTACCCTCAAGTTTCAGAATCAAAATTAATCTGTAAAGAAAATCAAGTGTACATGGTACATTAAGTACACCTTAATAGTGATGAGGGGTTTATATTAGATTTTTTTTATGAAAAATGCATACTACCAGCAGTAGTATTTTAAAATGAACACTACCCCTTGGGATATAAATTATTATAGCAATACTCAATGCAAACTTACATGTTCTTAGAACAGAAACATGAAGGTTTATCGTGTAAATATATCCTTGTATGTTTATAAATAATGGTAGGTTCTTTTATGTCCTATCTTTAATGTAATTTGCTGGTGTTTGATACATTCATATTTTTTCCACATCAAATCAGTTCTATAACCAAAGACAATGTACAAAAACTTACCACATAACTATTCCAAAGTGATGCTGCCAAGTCTTGTACAGTATTCATCCAAATAATTCAAATTGAGAGTTACATTATACATGTATGTTTCATGAGGAAAAGACTTGCACATTTTATACATGGAGTACTATTCTGTAATTTGTAGTAAATGTTGAGCAGCTTTATTTGTCCTGATTTACACTAAGAGTCCTGTGCAGTGTGCTTGCAGTGTTGTACACCTCTGTGATAGGATAATTTACTATGTATCCATTCCATCATCAATAGGTCATTAAGTTACTAGTGAAATCAGCCAATCAAAATCCAGCAGATAGTTGATGATCTTAAAATAACACATTTCTGGAGATATTTACATAATCAATTGTGTAGGAAATATCCATATCTTTTCTAGATACATCTTATAATTATTCGTTATACATAACTACAGTGATGAACTATTTCTGAGGCACCAAACAGGCATACTGATACATACAATTTACATACTAATCATGTGTGCATACAGATCAGAATGTTGGAACAAAGAAATGGGGCCCAGGCCATTTATCACACTACATTAATTTAAATATCTTGGAAACAAGCATGGAATACACTAGGGCTGCATTCGAGTAACCTGGTTGAAATGGTTCAGGTGGTCTAGAATTATTCCACTATGGACCAATGCACTTGTGCCGGATGTTGGACCTCATATATGTAAAGCTCAAAATGCACATTTTCAGAATTTCCTGTCATGCATGAATCTATTAACTAAAAATTAAGATACAATCCATTTCACACATACTTTATAGCACAATGCTTCCACAAATGTGTGAGTCCACTGACCCTTCTTTTTATGTTGCAATTCTAAAAGGTAATGATATTCAGCAAGTTAGTTTCAGACAGGTATAGCTGGACCCCAAATATTCAGCAGTCCAGCCTCAGTTCTGATCTGTACCTGGCGTTTTTCTTGCAGGTTCGATCAACCAGTCCTATTGTTTCAAATGCTTACGCGAAAGCGCCCTAATATTCAACAAGCTGTTTTTAAACAAGGATTTGACATACACATGTTAATTCATATATAGGCATCTGTTGCTGGATCCCTATATATGAAAGTGAACAAGTGTTAGCAATACCATTTATAAATCAACAATTCTAAAATGAAGCACTTGTCAGCTTCAGCTTAATATAGATGAGACCTGACTAACCACTACAGTGTATATTCCACGACTTGTGAAACAACAGTGATCACTCACTCACCTCCCGACACTGGTCGAGAGCCACACACAGCCTGTAAACAACCTGTTGATACAAACATCACACATGTACCATGTCTTAATCTCAGACTGTCACAGCACTTATATTTTAAAAACATGTCTGTCAAATTAATCCAAATGTCCATGCGTCTGTGTGTCCATATGCCTTCATATATATATTTTTGTTTTGAGATAACCTGATCTTATTTTAAACATCTATCAAAGTACACAGATCCTATATAACCTCCACGCATAGACTTGGACACATTCTGCTCAAACAGTCTGCGGTTGTTCTGGAGTACCTCAGCTGCTTCCTTGTTTAGAGGATCTTCAGGATTGGGTTCCTGTCATGACACATCACATTTAAGTCAGTATCATATATAAAGAAAAAATGAAGAAAAAATATTCAAAGAAGTACAACAGGAAATTGCATGTACCAGTGTCGATAAAAGATTAATTTCAAGATGCCCCATGAGCCTTATTGTAGATCTGATTATAAAAAATAGCTGTACTGATAGTGGGAACAATTATAGAATGATTCAAATCATCCTAAATTTTAACGGTCAATGTAACAAACACAAAATTTCTTCATTTCAGTTTTACGACATACCCACATTTAAATTTGGATTTTGGTTTGAACTGAAAAATAATAAAACTTTGCCTGGACCATCTCAGGCAAGTTTGAGCAATATTGCATATATGGAATTTGAGAAAAAGTTTGAAAAAGGTGTTGTTCATAAAAACCATGATTGTAAAGTCATTTTATGAAATGGTCACCATGACTGCCATGTTGAAGATTTGACAAGGCTGAAAAATAAAAATTTGCTTATTTCCTTTCCTTAACATCTCCATCAATGGTGACAATGGCAGCCATATTAGATTTCTGACTAACACTAACATCTTAAAATTATTCAAGGAAAGTTTGCACTAAATCCCACAAGTGACTTTAGGAAAACCATGATTGTGCATTCATGTCATAAAATGGCTGCCATGATAACCATCTCGAAATTGAGATTTGACCAAATAATAACACTCTGTTACCTTCCTATCCTCAACATCCTCACCAATTTTCAGCTCCATGATACCAGTTTTCCTATCATGAATGTGTACTGCACATTGCAGATTACTGAATGATCATGTACACATGTAGTTACTACTAATCCTACAACATATAATTTGTATCTGTAGTCCTGAAATCCTGTAACAGCAACATACATATCCATAACATCTCTATACATTTTTTGAACGAATGAAAATACTTACTAGAAACAAATACTGTAGTCCGTATACTATTGAGTTGACTGTTAACACCGGCTTCCAATCCTCTCTGTATTAAACAGACATTCAAATTTATAAGATTACATATCAAAAACAACAAAACAAAGAAACATGAAATATTACACCATTTCTAACCCTCATTAATAGGTTTTCCAGTAACTCTGCCACATGTTTACTATAACCTAATGTTGTTATGTGTAACTATTTAAAAACTGAACAAACTGTTTTGGTTTTTTTTATATCATTTTGTCAAAGTTTTGCTGGAAAATATCATACTATGTATGTTAGGTCTTTCTACAATACTCTTGTCATTTATATTGGCCATAAATGCCATAACAATGTATATATAAATGTATATTCCTTACATATTTTTGCCATCTATGCAGATAATAACTTGATTTAAACTATCAAAGTATATATATGTTATTCATTGCTGACGGTGAAATCCTTCAAATGGAACAGATATTTTGATGTTGTAGTCACTTTCTTCTGCTGGCTAGCCAGTATGGAGACAATGAATGGTGAAAGTAAGTTATACATGATAATGAAGTGAACTGATGCATATACGTTTATCCCCCTTCTACAGCACACATCCCACTATAATAGTCTGTGATAGATAAGTCATTAGATCACAGCCTGATGTGACCTCAAGTAAAAATCCTACATTTGTGGTCCAATGCTCCATACCAATGGGTTTTTTTTTGTTCCTCAGGAAACATCCATTTGTAAAATTTGATCAATTTGTCAACTCGTTAAGAAGTAACTGTCCATAAGGAATAATCTTTGGTAGCAAAATCAATTTTCAGAATTTGAATGCCTTACCTTAAAATGTTGAGACACACATTTCCCTCTAGGTCTATATTTGGATGGTAGACCATGGTTTCACACTTTACTTTGGGTGGATCATGAGGGTAGCCCTGGCCAACTTTAAAACTGAACACAAATCGTCCAGCTCTGTAAAATCCCTAAAACAAAGACAAAATTCACATGAGCTATAATCTGTCATTGTTGTTAGGGAATTCTTATAATTTTGATAACTGCACAGGAGGACTTTATTCAGTTTTTTTCTTTTTACGTGAACAAGATACCTGGGATATCTAATAACTACAGGTGTGTTACTTGTAAAACTTGTAGACTGGATGAAGTAAACTCTCCTCAACCTTTAACACCAAAAATTTGATGACCAATCAGAGCAAGACCGTTTATAATCATGAATGGGTTAAGTTGCAGTTTTATAATTTTGTAATTGAAAGAAATTTCTTCCTATACCATGAAACTTCCATCCTTCCATTGGTCTTGCTCACTCGCAAGCATTTAGCAAAGTGTTTATCACTGCATCTCCTAACTCTAATTCTGACATCACTATTATGCAGATAAAATTGTGATTCTTCTATGAGTAGCATACATTTTCATTGGTGAATCAGCAATCTCTGATGTTGCCTTGTCCACATGATTCAGTTTAAAAGGTAATGCTGCATCAATATATTACCACAAACTGGTCTGTGAGCTTTTAATCCACTTACATATAAGTGTCAGTAGATGGTTCTTACAGAAACTTGTCTCCTGTGAATTTCAATGGTTTTCCTTGGAATTTTTGTTGCCAATTGAAACCAATTACAGAGATGTTGGAGACAGACATACTAGTCCTGCCATGCCGTTGTTACCCACTGTCTGCCAGGACATGATCTATCACTTAATAAGAGGCCTAGGGGCCTTAACAGTCATCTGACTACAAATACTTCCAGTAGGGAGAGGGGTTATTTTTTCTACTTCGAATGAAATCTTAATAATAAGCTGTCTTCCAATGCAAATGGTAGTTTTGGTGAGGAGTCGGTAACTGTAACAAGTGTTACCTATTTTTTGACGGTAAAGTTGGAGCTCAATACAACTGGTGAAACTTGAGAAGAAGTTTGAAATACATGTTGCACAGGAAAACCATGATTGCGCAATCACATTTTAAAATGACCTCCCTGGCTGCTGAGTCAAAGTTTTCAAAAAATAACAACACTTTGTTGGCTACCTTTTCGTAAACATTCATACCAATTTTAGCTCAATGGCACCAGTGGAAGTGGAGAAGTTCAAAATATGTTTTTCCAGATGGCAGTCATCTTCGATTTCAGACATACCCGAAGAATAACCACACTTGGTCAAGACCATCTCAGAATCATTTCATGCAAGTTTGGGCTCAATCCCACTAGTGAAACTTGGGAAGAAGTTTGAAATAGGTGTTGCACCGTAAAACCATGATTGTGCAATCATATTACAAAATGGCCTCTCTGGCTGCCCTATTGAAGTTTTGACAATGCTCATAATGCATTTTCATTGGTGCTTAGTATAACCAATAATTTTATCCATTTCTCTACAGTGAACTTAATATATGATTTATAATGGTATGCTTCTATGCTGTAATAAAAATTATACAAATATTCAAGAGGAACATCATTTATAGTGAAATCTTACCTCATCTGGGCAAATATTTAATTTGAAGTTTAAAAGATCATCTGAGTCGGGAAAATCTACTTGACATGTCTTTGGTAAATTCAATTCATTGATGTCTGAAAAGAAACATAAACACAGTTCACCTGACTTGTTTGCAATGAACATGTCAATAATAAATTTGTTTATTCAGTACTATTAAAATAACCTTATCTATTTTTAGAATGACATCATAAACAAAATGAATGCATTTTTTCACATAAATAATGACAATAAGATTTATATATATATATTCAACTGTACTTGGCAATTGAATTATTGGTACACAAATTATTCAACATCATTGAATAGTAGCATACATTTTGATGTTGTTCCAATGCCAAATATATGCAGAGAAGTGAAGGGTGTTGATGACTGAGAGCAAGCATGTAGCTGGGTTAGATCAGTTGGTTATAACATCAACTTTGATTCCAATTTTACCCAAATATGAATTTTAAGGAAGCCTGTGCTCATGTTAGTTGAAAACAAAAAACAAATCTTCTGATTTTTTTTCTTCTCTCAAACAAGGCAAGAATACAAACAAACTTGGAAATCCTGGAAAATGTACTGCCCTACTGGGACTCAAATTTCTTCTTCTCATGGTAAACACTAAACCGATCGACAAAAATAAAAATTCTCACTTGTACTTGGACTCTCAATGTATACATTTGATATATGCCCTTTTTCACATCTTCACTCAACGACAACCAGAGCCCATTTTATATTGCTATAACAACACCTCAGGGTCTCCTGTAGCTTACAATTTTAGTGATTAATGTCACCAAAACTAGAAAAGAAAAATGTTGGGGCTTGAACTTACTGTCTCTCACTCTTAAGGCCCTCCTGCTCGAAAATCTGAATCCCCACTAGCTATAGTAGACTCGTCCACTGATATGTACTTTCTACTTTAAAGAGAGTATGTGTATTGTTCATCACTTATGACCTTAGTGCTGATGTCAAAATGTCCATAGCAGTTACCATGGATTTCATATTGACTTGTGTTCTTTGTGTATCAGCTATTAAAACGAACATAGCAAGACAATCATCTATGTTCATATTTAAATGACATGAACTGACACATCATAACAAGTACTTTGAAAAAGATCCAGTCAATGTGTCTGCAGAGTGATGTGAGAAACAAAGACTGTATCGGTAAAAAAGCAAAACTCAAACACAAAAAGAAATGCTCCAACTTAAAAGACAGAAATCTGTTTTTGAAAACATGTACATTGAACCATTAGTAGGGAATACATTTCAAGCACATATATCTTTAGACTCACAAGTATATGGAGACACTATCTAAGTGGCTCAGAATTTGTAGATAGTACCTGACAAGTTAGTTCTTGGTATCCATATGAAATCTTCATATTGATTACCAATGTCACCTGTTAGCAGCTATAAACACATGTAGATATAGAGTGCCACACTTAATGTTATCTTGAATCGAACCCCGGACGGCTTGGTGAAAGGCGAGTGAGTTACCACTGCGCTACCCGACCACCTGCTAAATGCTTCAACTGCATATATTGCAATAATTAGTTTTAAGTAAATTAAATAATGTTCTTAAGTATAACCAGTAATTATCCAGTAGAACTAAGCTACACAGATACTGATAGCTTCATACTTCAGTCTAGACATATAAGGCCTATTCAATGGCAGACTACAAAATTTTGTCCATATGTTTATCAAGACAATAACTAAGTCTGAAATTGAAGCGTCTTTCCTGAAAGTGTCACAACACACCAAGGTTCATTTCTTAAACATTCATGAAGGTGACCAGAACTTTGCATATAGCCGGATATGTGAGTCTATTACACATTCTACATTGTTTACATTTTTAGAGATAATACTATCTCTCATGGTGATAATGTTGAATTATTGACTGGGTTTTGTTGTTGTATTCTATCATATTTATATGTTGGAGATTATATCAATAGATCATTTACATAACAACATGTCTATGTTTAGACAAAAGCATCTGCCATCACGAACCGGATAAGAAATAGATCTACTGCGTTTCGGATCCATTAATGAAATCTAGTTTTCGTTACCTTTTTGTATTCTTAACTGGGCTGCAGACGCTTTCTTTTGGCTTCCGGATTTCTCACTGACGTCTACGCCGTCTTTTTTCTGTTGTTTTAGAGAAAATAACTTAATCATTGTCACTTTTTTATATCCACTCAAAGTCAATTCACACACACTGCAGCGATGCAATCCTCAAAATTATGTCCACTCTGTCTGTTAGCCTTAAGTGAGACCGGAAATAATGATAAAGTAACATCTAAAACGTAAAAAAGAAAACCGGCTAAAATCTTCCGGAGATGATATGTAAATATATTTCTTCTGTGTAATTGTATCAGCTGGTATGTTGACATTTCCCCTCTTCATAATGAGATTTTTTTTCTGTCGACACCGTCTCTTTTTACCTCTTCAACACGCATTCCATATTGCATCACCTACGACTGTAATCGTAAGAAAAAATTGCGGATTACATAAAGTTACAGATCTTGAAATGATAATAGATTTATTAAAAATTCAAGTTAGATAAACAGCTACTTCATTTGCGCATTAACGTTAGATCTATGTTAAAATATCATTTGTTTAACAATGTACTTATTTGATTACAAGCAACTTTTTATATTTAAAAAAAAATCACTAATTCTTATAGACAAATGTCAAAATTTCGCATACCTAGCCCCCTGATCAGCCTGACCAGCATGTCATTTTCTAATGCAAAAAAACACTCCTTTTTTTCTTCTTCCTTTTTTTTTCCAGAAAATGTCTACATTATAATTTTAGAAAAGAACCTCTTAGTTATTATTTTTTTACGGATACTTTCTTGTTTTATGCGTTATTAATATCATGACATCGGACGTATATATTCCCTTACTACAAATACATACACTTACATGTGTATTGCAAACCTAGCATACCTTATCTCTACCACCATGAATAGAATACTCTTTTTCCAAGCCTTACGATAAACGTCGTTACGGTGTTATTTTCATGACTGGTGTTTTAGGGTTTTTAAAGAAAAATATACAACACAAAGGTTCAAGAAATGAGAACTGATGAAGACTATGAACAGGTTTTAGGTTTTCTAGTCGCAAACGTGATCCGATTTTGATTAACGCATTTCAAGTTTGTGAGATATGAACATTGACTTTTTCATGCCCTGAATTTTGGAGGGTTTCGAGGAATTATACTAATAATATGATAATTGTAATAATAATAAATAATGACAAAAATAATAATAATTGACTTTATGTATTCTTGATAACTTCATTTTGAGCAATATGTTTGCTTACATATAGTCAATAAGATAATACACAATATTACAATAAAATTACAACATACATATCACAGGCAAGTAAAATATAGGACAGTGAGATATCATTCCATATAGAATTTATTTGCAGATTTCTTAAAAGCTACAAAAGAAACAGAATTTCTCACAACGGGTAGAGGTGGACGGCATATGGTGTTACCCATATTCCTTCGTCCCGTCGCGACCTACGTATCCCATCGCGTCTCCTCCGAATCCAATATAAACACTCTTGCAACTTCATACTTGAACATGTTTGTAAAAAAAAATAATAAAGATAAAAATAAAACAAAACAAACTGATTTTACTGTTTAAACCAATGCATTTTGTTTCAATTGTAAACTTAGCCTGGAGATAATTCAGTAAGGATTTTTTTATATATATACTGTACATTCTGCTGTTAACAATTTATTTGGACTGTTTTACTGCATGTAGCATTACTTATTAGAATTTTTTTTATTAGAAGCAATTGTGTTAGGCAAGTTTCATTATCGTATCATCAGTTACCTTATTGTGTCAGTGTTTCCCGTTGTTAATGAAACATAAAATCCAACTTAGAATAGCCAACTTTTGTCATTTCATCAGACTAGACAAAGAACAAAAAATCCCTGCGGTTATTTCGTACCTATTAACAATTTTTCGTTAAATGTTACATTTTTCTTTATTTAGTTCTATCATAGTGAAATGACGATCAAAATAATGATATAAAGAAAGGGCACAGACATTTTGAATGGTTTTGTTTTTATTAATTTCTCCTCCTTCTTTGTCTCCTACACCTCCTCCTCCTCCTCTTCCTCCTCCTTCTCCTCCTCCTCCTCATCATCATCATCATCATCATCATCATCATCATCATCATCATCATCATCATCATCATCATCATCATCATTTCAATTTCAATATCCTTTTGCTCTGAAAAAATGACAATTAACCTAACTCCAAGAATCCGTTTGAAAAAAAAAACCAAACAAACAAATAAAAAAACCTCAACCATATTCACGGATAATTGTACGTCTATAGATGTACGAATGGTTTGTACGGTGTATTTCCGGTCCTACCTAAGGCTGGGTGTCTAACAAACAATCACAGTCTAGTTTCCTTTTGTTGAAGTTCTTCCTGTAGTGCTACTAAATGACACAAAGGAAAATGCATTGAACAACCCAAAATATCAAAACAAAACAAAACAAACAAAAAATCGTATGGTATATAAGTATTTCGAGTACAGCAGCTACTACACAGTTTACGAAGGATTTACGTCATATTTTTTCGAGCAAATAAGCAATGTTTCTACGTGTATGTTGCAATAAAACATTTGAATCCCCTGTCTTTTAATCAAATAACAGAATATAAACTAAAGCAGGATTGTATAAAAGAAAGTATGATATTTGAAATAAATATGTAAAAATACGTCTTTCTTTCACCTATCTATCATTTTAATCAGTTTCTTAACATGAAGTTGGTGACGTTAAAACAGCTAATTATGTTTCTCGCGTTTTATTTAGTATACCTTACGCAACATTTCTGATTTCTTTTTTCAGAAGATTTCCACTTTTTGTCAACAGTTTCAACAATCACGTTTATCCTCTCAGATGACCATGTTGAAAATCCTGGGACCGACTGACGTGTCCTTCATATGGTTTTGTTAGTGTAATCGTATTATAATACTTAAATATGCCGTCTTGTATTAAGGAGATGCACAGCAAAAAATAATCACTGAAATTCCCAGTTCAGGAATTAGCTAGTTAACCGATGCTGGATTATTATCAGTTGACCTCATATGGTAGTGCCTTTTATCCCGGCCTCAATTTGTAACAAATCGAAAGATATTTTATAGCTTTTCATGTGCTAATGCTTAGTTTAAGCTGAAGTCAGTTATAAGTCTCGGACAACAGACAATGTCCAACTGATTGAGGTAGCAGAGAATGGATGATCTGTGAAATGTTGTTTCGGCCCCATCCGTTAACTCGTTCAGGGATAGACTGAACAAATTCTTGAAAAAAATCACCGTCGAAAATTTCTACAATATGTTCTTTAGCATTAAGTTCTTCAAGCTCTCTTTAGAGACATACCGGGAGAGTTAATGCCCATCCCTCTTATACTGTAAATAGAGTGAACTGATGTGTACAATTTGCTTGAAGTTATTTAATGGGAATTGCTTTTACATCTACACTGTGTACACTTACAGCTTGAAGGTTTTAGATGTAAAAAGGATAAGGATTGAAAAATCTAAATCAAGGAAATGGATCCAAACTAGTAAAGGAAATTACTGTGTACACTTACAGCTTGAAGGTTTTAGATGTAAAAAGGATAAGGATTGAAAAATCTAAATCAAGGAAATGGATCCAAACTAGTAAAGGAAATTACTTAAGTGTGTCCTTACATGTCTGGATTTGGATTTCATCAACTCAAAACAGTGATCCAGTGGGATTCAGTGACTGATCACATTTTAGGATAATTTTCACCTTTGAATATACAGGTCCCCTAATTAATTCTGACTAGTAGGCATCTTAAATAGTAGGCACCCACCTTGGGGGCGAGCGCTTGTTAGCATCAGGTCCATTGGCACATTTTCTATTGCTGTCACCTTGACCAGGTTTTTTCCTGATTCCTTCCTGTGATAGATTTGATGATGTTAAGCATTTCAGATATAAGTTACATAAGATTTAGAAAGTTTATTAAAGGTAAAGACCCTGGGTTGTCTTCAGGCATGAATATTTGGAACTTTGCTAATTTCAACGAGTGAGGATTTTTCATGTTCAGGCAGTGTATGGTATATGTGTTGAGAGCAAGGGGTCAATAGTATAGTCTTACAATATTTTGATTATTTGCAAGGTCTTAAAATGTATTTGTATATTAATTTATTTGATCAGAATCTGATTGTGTACATACAATATTTTGTTGATTTTTAAGGTTTCAAATTTTATTTGTATTTTATTGGTAATTTATTAGATCAGAATCTGATTGTGTATTTACAATTTTAGAGTAAGGACAGTCAGGATGACAGATCCTATTCTCACGTGTTCCTTGATTAATGTTTGACTTCTACTGACCAGGAGTGAAAAAACAGGTACACGTATATTGTCTATATTACAGATCACTTTGAAACAAAACAATTGAAGATTCATTATTTGATCAGACTTAACCGATATTTCATTTCAAGTTGAAAAAATAACACCCACAAAAAAAATCCCATAAATTTATTAAGATAAATAAATCATTTCTTCTATGATACTTGCTTTTCGTATCACAATGACATCAATACAACCTTTTGTAGGATGATTCGTGTCAAAAGAAGGAACCTGATACTGTTGGTTGTGATTGGGGCTTTCCCTACAGGTCTCCTGGTCTATTTAGCCTTCTCATCAGATGGTAAGCTCTGTTACTACTTGCAATCTTTGTGTGTGTGACTGCATCTGAAAAATTGAGATCTTTCAAACACATGAAAAAATTTAAGATAAAATGCATGATGAGCAGTATATGAAATAACTTACTGTTATAAGTGTATAAATTCTTATATGACACTGACGTGTAGAAAGATTAACTATTGGAGTATCAAATAGGTTTTATATGATCTTTAAAGAGAACAGCAGTGAAAAAGATAATAAGTAATCTTACAGTAAACAATATTGATTTCTAGCTTGAAAACTACAATCTTTAACTATTCAATGTGTATTGTAACAGCTTAAGAGAATGGGCTGAAATGCTGTTAAATGGCTTGCTTCTCTTTGCAGCAGTTTAATTTAAACAATGGCTCATACTCCAGTAGTGATCTAGGTCTTTTATAGTGTTTATGACTGAAGTTCATTGGTATGGCTGGAAAATAATTCACGATGAAAGATACAGTTTGTCTTCATGGAAATGGTATTTTGTAGTGGAAAATGCAACGTTTATCCTGAATCTTTTTCAGATATGTTACCATCACAGATGAATACATTGGACATACATCAGGTGGAGTCCCGATTTTCACAAATGTTACGGGAACTTGACAAGGAGAATAAGGCTGTCAACAAAGAACTCAGGTAAAGCAGAGTCATTGAGATGTCAAAGTATTGCCTCAAAATTAAAGATGGAAGTAAAACTTTCACTGGTCAATGATACTCCAGAATACAAGTTCACATACTAAAAAATTGTTGTGTGTATAAAAAAAGATTCAAAGGTGCTATTCGCTTGTGTGTCCTTTCTACAATCTTTCAGATAGCAGGTGGTAGACCCTGCTAGTGGACTTTATTTCCTCAACCTGCATGCCACATTTTAATTCATTCAAATAATGGCACAGATCAGAATATACCAATGTACTTGATGATGTTCTAAAATTATTTGATGTATGAAAATTAGGAAATTGATTTCATTATGGGGCTGCTACACCTCCCCGTCTAGATTTTGACTTTTCTTTCGATCACTTTAAATTTTCCTTAGTCGCCCCCTTAGCTTCAAAATTTAAGCCCTTAGCATCACTGATGAGTCCTACAAGGAAGAAACAGCTGTATGATGCTGTATCTAACTCTAAATCATTAAGAGGTGCTGTTCACTTGTGTGTCTTTTGTACAATCTCTTAGTTAAGATTGCCAGGAAATTTTTATTTAAGTGAACAAACATAAAGATTTTGACTTTTGTTTTACTGTTACATACAAATTGTTTGGTTCTGTAATTTAAGCTTAACCAGGAGCCAGCTGTTGAGTCTACAGATGAGTATGGCTGCCCAAAATGACAGCAGGATGAGTAACAACACTAGAGTACGATGTAAAAACCCTCAACCTGAAGTTCCCAAATGTGAGGTAAGATATCTGTCCTCAGACTACATGTTGTAGGGTAAGCTAAGTGTAAAACTGGATGTAGTGTAAATGTGAAATATCACAGGCCTGGTTCATTTACAATTATAGAGAAAATAAAGGATTCTCAACATTCAGGAACACTAGTTGTAGTTTATTTTTGGACTAATTCATTGCTTAGCGGTTGAAACATGTCAATGAATTAGTCCATAAATGAACTACAACAAGTGTTCCTGGATGTTGAGAATCCTTTCTTTTTGGCTTATGTTGAGCACATTGTAAGGAGCTCTACAGAATACCTCTGGTATCCTGTCAGGAACCTAGCCACAATCTTAGACATAGTGTGTTGGTTCTTCAGTATTGTTTTCTCTTGATTTACATCTATTGTGATGAGTAGGGTCAGTAACACAATTCACCTCTCTCTAATCATTTTAATGACATTTTGCTGATAGAACCAGGTTAATGAACGGATGTATATGAACATGTGTGTGATTATTATTCACTTTTTAGATTTTGTGGCATGAATAGAATCTGATTACATAAACAATTAATGAAAACTTCTGTAAGTAAATTGGTATATCTATCACAAGGCTTTCCTATACAAATACGTATGTTCAGAAACAACAGGTAATTCATATCAAAACTCATATACAACTATAATGATGTACATATATATGGTATGTGTTCCATATGGGAGATATGTCGGGTAAAATCATTATACCTTCACTACGCAGATTACCCCACACACATACCAGGTACATCCGACATTAGTATCGCATAATTTTCACTCAGCATAAGTTACTTCAGTGTGGACAACAGATACGGTATATCTCGTATTTACAGTGAACCAAGCTCAGTTTATGAATACAAATTATTACCCAGCAGATACCTGAAAGAACATACAGGTGACTATTATTTTCCATTTTGCAGGTGATTCATGTCGCTATTGTCTGTGCAAAAAATAATGCCACACGACAGGTTGTGACATTAATCAAAAGTATCCTGTTCTATCGCAAGAATCCTCTGCACTTCCATTTCATCTCTGACAACATCGCCCAACTCATCCTCCTGTATCTGTTTGAGACATGGAATGTAGCTGAAGGTAGGAAGGAGATATTTCTTTGTAGACTATTTATAACTACACTTATTTATAAATTTGTTCATTAAGCAGAACTGAAAATCATATGTCCGAATATATCTAATTAACTTTAATTATAAATTAAGGTTTCAGTTGTGTTTAATTTGATAATCCCTGTAATTTCTGTAGGTAGCCTAAAAATAATGAGAGTTTTGAAAGCAAAATTGAAATTCACATTCGCGTAATTTTTGTACACATGGCCGACATCTGAAGAGTTCTTTCTATAAATTTTTACAATTGTATAGTTAATGTGAAGTGCAGTTGTCTGATAAGAAAATCTGATGTTGCATATTATAGGAAAGAACATTACATTTTTGATATTTGTAGTGGAAGTGAGTTTTTACCCTGCCAGCAGTATAGAGGTATGTGTATGTAAAGGTTCCATTTGATAATTTCTGCTCTGCATTGAATTTGAAAAGAATGACCTGGTTGTAATTAAGACCAGCGTTATAATTCTGAAGTAATGAGTAAAATTTCGATTTGCTGCATTCCCATTTTTGAGCTGAATTTCATAACATAAGCATTAGTCCTGACAGTTCATAGCTATGTATATGGTGAACTTAAAACAAATTGATAGAAAAGATAAGACTGTTGTCATCAGTCAGTTTGATTAGATAAACTAGGATTGTTATTTATGAGGAGCAACAGATCTACTGATCCTACTTTGTTTTCTGATGAACCTTGATATAGGTCTTCTGAGGACTCAACATGTGCTTGTCTGTCATGATTTATACATGAAATATCACCTTCAAACTATGTCTACATAAATCAGTAGTGTTTGCTTCCAATACTTTGTTGTCAGAATGATGTGTCCTGGATCCAAAACAAGCATTACTCTGGCGTGTTTGGGTTGATGAAGCTGACACTGCCTAAAACACTACCTCAAAGTCTACAAAAGGTAAGATGCTGGCTTACACAAACTTATATCTTATGGTTATTGTGTTGTTGTGGTAAATTTGAGTCCTGTGCAGATTTTAATATTGTATACAAATCTTTCCTTTAGCTTATCTTCTTGGTTTTATGTCTTTGCGGAAAACAAATAAGTTATTTTTTTGTTATCTATACTTACATTTAGAAAATGCATGAAACTTGACATTGATATAAATTGTTTCACCAGAAGATTTAAGCATTAAAATTGATTTATATATATGGTTAACTTTCATTAATGGACACATTTAAAGATATAAATGTAGAGATTTTGATTTTCCAGGTCATTGTTCTAGACACGGATGTCACCTTTGCTACAGATATAGCAGAACTTTGGAAAATATTTCAAGTGTTAAAAGGCAAAAAGGTATACAAAACATTTAATACTTATATGTCTAATGTTTAACAAACATTTAATACTTGAATGTCTATTGTATAACAAACATTTAATACTTATATGTCTAATATATAACAAACATTTAATACTTATATGTCTATTGTATAACAAACATTTCCTTGATCCAAGGGAAATATTTTAAACTACAAACACATATTTCCTAGTTCACAGAGTTCAATATGATATATTCTTGCTTCAAATATTTTATAAGAACACTATAAATGTGAGATAAGAAATACTTACTTCATTTGGTGATATAAAGTGTTGGACAGTTTTAAGTGACACTGAATACTGAGAGCATTGGTTTTACACATGTTTGATTCCATTATTTGATGTTAAGATTGTGTTTTGTATGAAACAATAGTTATTTCTCTATTACAGGCTATAGGTTTAGTAGAGAACCAGAGTGACTGGTACTTAGGAAAACTATGGAAGAATCATCGACCTTGGCCAGCTCTGGTAAACTGTAGCACTAGGATAATATTTTATGATGTCCCCCCACCTTCCTTTTTATTTATTTTTGAACATACTGTATTAATTTTGAAGACAATGATTGAGTCACTCATAACTTGAAACCAGTAGCATTTCACCTTAACCAGAAACGTTCTGATAAATGTGACCAATTATTTAGGCTGAATTATTTTATTCAAATCTGAATATCAAGTTAGACCACACAAAATAATGATTTCACAATCTTTGATTTGCCTCTCTACATGGACAGAATCCATAAGCTTACTCACTTAGGAAGAAGCTCAAATCTAAGACAAAAAGCAAGGTATTTCATTGAAATGAAAGAGGAAGGAAGGCAAGAGTATTTAGGAAATAGGGAGAAAGTGCTGATCACATATGATGAATAGAAGTGGCAGATCATTTTTTATTTGAAACAGCATCTCCAAGAAGGGGAGGCAAATAGATTGTCAAGTTTCACAGAGTGTTCCATCATTAGTTACATTCAAATTGACAGGATAGTACTACAATGTGTTACATCCAGATTGACAGGGTGTTCCCCTATTAGTCACTTTCAAATTGACAGGGTGTTCCCACATTAGTCACTTTCAAATTGACAGGGTGGTACTACATTATTCATTTTTAATTCTGCAGCATATCTCTATGTTTATCACTTTCAATTCTACTGGAAGTTCCCATATCTGTTGCATGCACTTTTGCAAGATACTCCTAGGTTAGTCATCTCCAATTTCTGTACGATACTTCTACATTACTCAGTATAACTATCACAAAACAGCATCATTGGTAGGGACTGTAAGTAAAGGCCTTGAACTTTCTTGTTATACCATATTACATATTATGTTGTTTGCCTGCAAAAATCTGTCGTTCACTGTGAGTGTTATAACAAGACAGTTGAATACTTAGCAATCTATTACTGATATAAACAAGGACTTAGTTTTATACTGCAGAACTTACACAACCCAGTCTTTATCAAGTTATACCTCTTTGATTTCATTTTGTATGTATAGCCAAAGAGTTTGAAGGTTTCATGTGAACATTTATTGTGTGTTGTTGTTCTAGGGACGTGGGTTCAACACTGGAGTAATTCTACTTGACCTACATATCTTGCGACAGCTGGACTGGACTAATCTGTGGCGGTCAGTAGCTGAGAAAGAACTGTTGACCATGCATTACACATCTCTGGCTGACCAGGTATATCTAGTGTTCTTAAGTAATCCTCAATTCCAAACATTTGTGTTTATGTGTGTATAGATACGCACTATAGTCGTATATATAGCAAAACTTCAATACGTGATACATATAAAAGTAAACACTTAATTGTATGTGAAAAGTTTTGTATTGTTTTGTTGTTAGGACATTTTCAATGCTGTCCTGAAGCAGAATGAGTACCTTCTGTATCATCTCCCTTGTCAATGGAACGTCCAGCTGAGTGATAACACACGCAGTGAACAATGCTACAGTGACATTTCTGACCTCAAGGTAAGTTTCCTTGTCAACTGTTAGCGGAATATCTATTTTAAAATCTTGTGTAATATCAATTTAAAGAAGTCAGAGTGGACAGTCTATTAAAAAAGCTTATATCTTTGAAAATGTGTATATTAAAAAGCTTATATCTATGAAAATGTGTAGCTTATTTTTCAAATAAACGTTATTTGTGATAATGATTCTATGTTATGTAGTAAATTTGTAGATATATAGTTATGTTCAATCTTCTAGATCATTCACTGGAATTCACCGAAGAAATTAAAAGTGAAGAACAAACATGTGGAATTCTTCCGTAATCTATACCTGACCTTTCAAGAATATGATGCCAATTTGCTGCGAAATCGATTGTTTGGCTGCGGAACAACTAGTGCTGTAAATCCAATGCAGGAACAGGTGACTATAACTGTAATGGTTGATTTTCTGTAAGATTGAATACCTCATGAACATTAACAAAACATTTTGAAGTGAAGTCACAATGATAAGCAAAAGATTGGAAAATATGTGAAGGTCATACACGAGAAACAAATTGTCAGTGTTTTCTTTCAACGTTGATGTTTTCACAGCTGAATCAAATCAGTGAAGATGACGAGTGTTATGACTTCAGTCGAGAGCGTGTTATGGTGCATCGTACCCATTTGTACTATATTGACTATGAGTATGAACCAGTGGAAAATGATGTCACACTGGTCACACAGCTAAGTATGGATCGACTACAGATGCTGGAGACAATCTGTAAACACTGGGAGGGTCCCATCAGTCTGGCACTGTACATCTCTGACGCTGAGGCCCAGCAATTCCTTAGATATGCCCAGGGCTCAGAGATCCTTATGAAGAGGAAAAACATTGGCTACCATGTTGTGTTCAGGGATGGGGTAGGTTACTTTGTAGCACACAAGAAAGATAATAGCAGAAATATGATATAAGCAAAAATCTCAGTAAAATAGCTTTAGTGAATCCTGACGTGAAGGATAACCTGTCGTATCAGATACTGTTCATGAATTCTAGAGATCAGATGTATTATATTAAGTAAGGAAGTTTGTTAAAAAGAATATATCTACTTATCAAATCTAATGATTAGGTCTATCATCATTCTGGTAAAATTATTTTTTATCATTTATCTCATTTAAATTCTTTGAATTTCCAAGTAATGACTTCTGAATCTACTCAGGACTTCGCAAGGATGATGCCAAACACAACTATGTGTTGTTTGGTTCTTTTGATAATGACTGGTAAACTATGTTACTATATCTTTTAAACATAACTAATTTTTCACAGAAATTCTGCAATGTCTTAATGGTTTTTCTTGTTTTTCAGCTTAATTACTAAAATATATATTTGTATTTGTAAGTTGTATTGTCTGTATTGGTTTAATCAATGATGTGGGTGGTTTGATGGTGTAGTGGTAACACTCTCGCCTTTCAACAAAGTGTCTTAGGTTCAATTTCGAAGAGGGATGTGAAAACGTTTGGGGTCACTTACCTGACAATGTCAGTTTTTCTGGTACTCCGGTTTCCTCCTACAGTAAGATGCCTCATGCATTTACATACAGGCCAACAAGAGTGATTACTAGAGGCTTAATTAAAGCTTGTTTCGCAATATAAAGTTTGTATTTATATTTAACCTATGATAATTCTTAATTTTTTAGCAATACTATCCGGTCAACTACCTGCGGAATGTAGCCTTGAAGCAAGTGCGCACACCTTTTGTATTTTTGTCTGACATTGACTTCCTCCCTGTGCATGACATGTATGAAAACCTCAAGAGGACAGTAGTAACAATGGATTTAGCAAACTCCAAAAAGGTACATCTTCTGACACAACTGTAGTAATTTTCATTGGTATAGAGTAGCAAGAGATAATTATAAGTGCAAACTATGGTGTTTTCATTTTCACTTCAATTTCGTAAGATTTAATTTATTTTAAATGTCATTATAGACCCTAGTCTTACAGGATACATTAAAATCGTTTTCAGGCTCTGATAGTACCTGCTTTTGAGACACCACGATACAGAATAGACTTTCCAAAGTCTAAAGCTGAGCTTTTGTCCAGTCTTGACATGGGTGACCTCTACACATTTAGGTAAACATGTTCTGTGTGTTAATGTCTGTTTAATGTACACTTTGGACCTGTTTATATCTATGTTTTTGTGATGGAAGATATTTGTCTTTCTTGGTGAGTTTGACTGTGTTAATTGAAACTTTATTCTGTTGTTTACTATTGTGTAAGCAGTAGGTTGTCAACTTATGTATGGGTATGTGCTGATATGTTGCATTCTAATAATGTATTACAGTACTAAGATATTCATTGTATTCAAGAATTTTGGCTGCAATCCAGTCATCGCTTTCCTTCTTTCACATTTAAACTTGTCATTTCGGAACATTATTATAGATAACATTAAATAGCAGAACATCAATCTGTGAAATATATATCCTAATACACATGTAATGAGCTGTTCGTTAGTCAATCTAGGTGTTATCTGTTAGAGTAAAACACCTACTTCTATTGTTTTCTGATGATTTTTGTGATCACTTTCAAAATATAACTTGTTATAGATTTGGCTTAGTCTGTATGCAGAACACCATTCCACTTGTTAAATTGCTGGTAATTAATTTTTTGTTTGTCTGTTACAGATATCATGTATGGCCTAAAGGGCACTATCCCACTAACTACGCCAAGTGGAGAACCGCAACCACACCATATACTGTAAGTACATAATATAGGATGTCATTCTGTGTTTTAGTCTGGGTATCAGATTGTGTGTTTGAGTCTGGTTATCAGATTGTGTGTTTTAGTCTGGGTATCAGTCTGTGTGTTGTAGTCTGGATATCAGATTGTGTGTTTGAGTCTGGTTATCAGTCTGTGTGTTTTAGTCTGGATATCAGTATGTGTATATTACAGAGATCTGAAGTGTGTTGGTTTGCTCACTCTGCAGGTGTCGACAGTTTTACTGTTTATTTTTGCTTTGTATATAGGTCAGCTGGGAGGCAGATTTTGAGCCATACATTGTGGTTGGAAGGGATGTACCATTGTTTGATCAGAGGTTTGTAGGATTTGGATGGAATAAAGTTTCCCACACCATGGAGCTGGACCTAGTGGGGTAAGATGCTCTGGCTGCTGTTTTACAGTGATATCTAAATTGTCAAATGCTTATGTCACATATCGTTTTTGTCTACAAATTTTGTTTGTGACTACTTCTTAGGATAATGAGTATCACATCCTTTACCTAGTCAATGTATACTTATTACCCTTCCTACACAGTATCATTTTGTCCAGCGGATATCATGTGCACTTAAATATGTCACATAAACAAACCAAACCATACCTTCAAGTACCTCTGGTGATAGTGAAGTGTTGCATATTTATATTATGTTGCATGTTCATATAAAGATATATACATAAAAAGATAAAGAGTTATGGCCCTTTGTTTATGTTTTATTTGTGTGTGTGTGGGAGGGAGTAATCTTTAGCAGGTTTTCAAACTGTATGAAAAGGTTTAAAATGAAATAGCTTTAATGAGTTAAACGAGATGAAATGTTGTTTTAAGGTTCCAATGTCAAGGTTAAGAACTTTGTTACTATTTAAAGAAGTCATTAGAATATTGATACTTTTATACTTAGGAACACGGGTATTCATGTCTTACTGACAGTTTCTGAGTTTGACTAAAGTTTGGTTTGAGGTGAGGTGCTGTGTAGACTTCTTTCAATTTCACAGCTGACATCATTCTGCAACAGAGACAGTTTATCATTAAGGAATTACACATCTATAGATAGCTATTATACTTTATATTTGACTGGCTTTAACACCATTCTGATGCATTAAATGAACAGCTCACACAAATATTTGTTTTTTTCTTTCAAACATTTGTGATTCCATCATGACATCTTGTGCTGCTAGATATCAATACCTCGTGTGAACTAACAGAACCTTTTTTTACCAAGAAGACAATAAATAATCAATGTTTTATGTTTATTGTTTTCTAATAAAATTTCAACAATACAGAAAAAAAGCGAAATAAATAATAAAAAATATTGTGAATAGTCTGTGTGACCTACACATTGTATATATAAGCATTATGATAGTACACATGGATGTGTCCATTGTAGGTACGAGTTTGTTGTGCTTCCCAGTGCCTTTATCATCCACATGCCTCATGCTCCAAGTTTTGATATTGCAAAATTTAGATCCAGCTCTTTATACAGACAGTAAGTAGACATGTAATCATTTTGATGGAGTCATAACAGATATTTCTGTACTTTTTTTCAAAGATCACTAATACATGGAAACTATATTTCTACATAATCTACATGAGTTAATTTCATAGAATTGTCATTTAAAAATAAATATGGTATGAAAATGTATTACAGGCAGTGATAAGTCATTTCTTCTCTATCATATTGTATTTGTTGGTTATATACTAAGTTTATGATATCAAAAATGAATGTCATAGGTTCAGAATTAACTTTTGAAATCAGTGATGTTAATCTTGGTCTGTTTCAATATTTTACAGCTGTTTGAAGGTTTTAAAGAGAGAGTTTCATAGAGACTTATCACGTAAGCATGGACTGAAGGCCCTGAAATATCTGACAGCAGACTGAACTGAAGGATTTGTCAATCTTCCTCCTAGCCACAACCTTCATTACCTGTTTATATCTGTAGTATCCTTCCAACTGTCAACATCATCCCCATTATTGACGAGAATGTTAATCCAAGATTTGATTTCCATTCTGGAGATGATATAATTTTCGTTCTCATTAGGGATGTAAAAGTCACACCTGAAGGAAAATTTTTGGTGTCTTCATTGGATATGTTCAAATATATGTATTTTTGAAAAGAAAAACAATCAAAAAGCATTAGAAACACATTGGTGCTACATATACCAATTAGTTAACAGGGCACCACACTATTGTTATCTGGGTATCTCATGATTATATGCATTTGTCACATGATAATATCTGGATGTCACATGATTATGTATCTGGATGTCACATGATGATGTATGTCACATACGGTTGTGTCCGAGTGTCCCATGGTTGTTATCAGAATCAAATATTAATGTTACACATGGTTACTGGTAATGCGTTTTGTCAAAATAATCTAGATAAAACATGTTTATTATCTAGATGTTACTCAGTTAATGTAAGCCAAAGATATTATTATCATTTAAGATTTAAATATGCCTACTTTCTACATTTTTTTGCCATAATTTTTGGAATTAAAACATTGCAGTATTGGAATGGAGAAAATTTGACACTTTTTAATTGTCTTTTTAATAATGATATGGTTATTTTCAAAAGCCCAGATCAGAGATTAAGTTTGTGAAAAGATTTATATTTTTTTATGTTGGTGATGATTTTACACCACATCTCATCTTTCATTGTCTTCTTTCTGATTTTTGATGATGATATAAAATGTAATATATGTACATTAAGTGTTCAGCAGAGTCCAACAAAAGAAATGCACTGAGATTTTTACATACAATTTTTGTTATTTCATACTTTTAAATGATACCATTAATTTCACGAGTTTCTTTCTCTTGAATTGAAAATTGTAAAGCAATGTTATTTACAAAGAAATCTGCCAAATTGTTTGTGAATTTGTGAGTTTAGAATTGATAGTAACTTCGGATCTCTATGAAGAATCTCCCAAAAGGAAAGCTTGAAATGGTCTGATGGACCAAAGTGATGATACTTTCATTTAAAGAAGGATCAATACTAAATGAGGGAATGATAAATGATATTCTTTTCAAAGACAGGAAGGCAAGATTAACTGAATATCAGTACCAGAGTGCTGTAGTTCATATTCTTCAGTTTTCACATCATGCTGACATAATATATTTGTATATTGGAGATTCATAGTATGTCTGCGACGCCAAATTTGAAAATTTTTTTCATATATTTATTAAGATTTTGTTGTCACAGATTTGACATTTGTTTTTGCTTGGCATGCCTAAATCATGTAAAGAGGGAAATTTTAGGGTTCCAGCATTGGTTCATTTGATACTGAGCTTTCATTACATTTTAAATGCTGTGTTTGAAAACTGGTTTTATATGTACGTACATTTATAAGTATTTCAATATAATCTTAGATATGAATTCTGAAATGTACCATTTCCTGTTGATGTCATTTGATTAGAACACTGAATTAGTGACTACTGCATAAAGTTTGCTTCCAAATTTGTCTGTATAGGAACTGATTTTTGAATGGTTGCTGAGTCACCAAGGGGAAAAAAAGGATGGGGTTACAATTGTCAAATTTATTAGATATGACTGGTCCAAACTTTTCTACAGCTTTCGAAGTTTATGCTTATAATTCTACTTTTTTGTGGGGTGGGGGTGGGGATTGAGGAGTAAAAATGATTTTTTAAAAATTGGCTTCATAGCAAAAGAAATTGTCTTTAAGATCACTCTGTTGTTGTATTGAGGAGTTTAACAGTTGTCCTTCAAAGACTACATGAAATATATTGACTAAATCATTGCATTTGTGAATGTGGTTTCAGGATAAGTGAAAAAAAACTTTCATTAGCTCCAAGGGCAGAACTGAATTTATGATGGTGTTCATATGAGAAAATGTATTTGAGTGTTTTTGTGATAAATATTTAATGCCCAGTTACTCAAATTGAGTAAGAGTATAAAGGTGGATTGAGAGTGTGTAATGGTAAATGAAATGTTAGATATCATCTACATCAGTTTATCTGCTCTATATGTGTAAAAGTGTTTCGTCGGATGTGTATGCATGTAACGGTATATCATTTAGGTTTGACCATCGGGAGGGATCCTTTTCGTGAACTGTTGAACATAATAAAGGGACTAAAACACTAACAAAACTCTACATTTGGTGTCCCAGTGATGAAATCCATTGGTGTAGATATTGTAGTTATCCCTGTGGCAGACTATTTCGACTGAAATGATATGAAACTTCCTTTTGGTTCATTCCACCTCAAGAGCTTTTTGCCACTTTTCTGAAAAACATTAATGAAATTGTACCGGAATGTATTATTGCAAGGCAGAGTGCTAATGACTTTTCAGTTAGTAGATGGTATGTAAGTGTATTATGACATTACAGTCCATATGTAATATTTTAGTAATATAACTTTCTACCTTACAGGTGAGGTGGTTGTCTCAAATGCTATTCTAAACCTTTAGCTTTTTTGTTCTGTGAACAAAATGGTTTTGTCAGGGACCTGAGAAGTAGTCACAGGTGTGTTTTGGACATATCCTGACACTTTGATCACATTTTCTCAGGATAAGGGGTGCAATGCCAACATTCATTAAAATGGACAACCCTCTATTGTGTTCATTTAGTAAACATACGTAAACACGTCAGGATAGGTCTAAATACATCTGTAACAAGTTGTAAGGTCACTGTGGAATCATAAGTGGTTATTTGTTGGGTTCTAATTGAGGAGTAAGAAATCTATGTGTTTGATGTAGCATTTCGTGCCATCATGATGCAAATTAGATTCTGTAAAGTTACATATATGTATAAAGTTATTTATATAATGAATAAAATCAGAGATAAATAAATGCTTTTTTTTTTAACTTCATTGCAGTAGAACTATGAAATGACCTGGTACATTTATTTCCAACTTTTAAGGTGAAGGACTGGTTGTATGGAAATTATTTTGAGTGACACACAGTGAGAAGGATTTTTTACATTGACTGTAAACTGCTGTTTACTAATTTAAGGCTGTCAGTGTCAGTCTTCTATATGTCGATATATGGTCACTGGTATATCAATTTAGGGACACTTCAAATCTATACATTATCTATCTATTGACTGTAAGTGCTTATTTGTTTGTTTTTGCAAGGGACAAATTATCTAGCACTGATAATTTTCACAGTCACACTGTAAATATTCAGGGAATATCGTCTTTATATTTGAAATAATTACTTGTAGTAGAAGATAATCACCATAAAAATAATATAAAGATTTCCCCCAGAAAAAGTACAATTAGAGTAAGATAAGGATTTTCTGAAGGGTAAGTACGATGACTGATTAATAGGTTGTTAGCCTTGCACTGAAGACATTAAGCAGGGATGTCCTTTTTCAGCTCTATTATTTCCTGACTGTTTAAGGCTTTGTACCAAAAGACTTGTGTCATTTGGTCAGTTTATGACGAAGAGATAAACATTGCTGAAAGAGCAGTGATTCAATATATATATATAAGAAAGGTATAGCACCTAAGGGTATCTCTACTGATATAGTAACAACACTAGGGAATTATGTCATTTCGTATGCTAAAGTGAAAAGGTGGGTCGCGGGATTTAAGCGTAGCAGGCAAAGCCTAGGGGATAGCCTCCATCATGGAAGGCCTATCTCCTTAACAACCCCAGAAACGGTCAATAAAGGCCATGATATTGTTATGGCTGACAGGAAAGAGTACATTCCATTCTTACGAAAGATCTTGCAATGACAAAGCTCTCCACCCGTTGGGAGCACACCAGGCGGACTTTGTCGCGTGCTAATCTGAACCTTTCATAGACAGATCCTACTAGCTTTCTGCACAGATTTGTGACTAAGGATGAAACATGAGTCCATCATTTCATCAAAAGAGACCAAACAACAGACTAAACCATAGAAGTACTTTGTTCACTCCCGCCAAAGAAACCAAAGATTGTTCCGTCAGCTGGAAAGGTTATGGCCTCGGTTTTCTTAGATGCTGACGGTACTCTGATGGAAGATTACCTGAAAAAGGACAAACAATCAATGACACATATATGCATCACTTCTTAGGTAGTTAAGAGAAAATATTCTTGCTCCATCAGACATTCACCTATTTTCAAAATCCGGGACCCACTTTCGGTCAGATGATCACGTAGTGGATGACTTTCTGAACGGTTAAGAAAGATATTTCTTTAAAAGTGGCATTGAGACCCTTAAAAAGAAAAAAAAACATTTTTGTTATCTCCCACAACACACGAAATGATGTACACAACCTTATGCGTTGTAGATGACACTTTGAGGCGCCGGTGTTTGGAATTGATTTCCAGCAGTATCAAGACTTCAATAAGAAGTCCGACCACAAAATAAAGATGTCCTTTTCTGTGTAATTACTCTCTTTCTAGTACACCAATGATAACGACATTACCGCAGCACAATCTAATGGTCCAAAGTGTCATATGTGTCCGACATCAAGGTCATATCTTACTGTCTTTCAACCTTTTATGTTAGTCCCGAATATATCAACTTATATACGCTTACTGTATCATGAATCACATTTCATCCGCCAGCCTAATAGTTATAACGGGTTTTCGATAGAGTACTAAATAGTTTAGAAATATTTCTAGTCTCTTTAGTCATGTCTTATTTTTATGAGAAATATTTCTAGTCTCTGTAGTCACGTCTTATTTTTATTTGTTAAAGTATCTCTTTCTTACACGGTATTATCTAATGTCACCGTGTTACCGTGGTCATGGTACTGCAACAACTATGGAACCTCACAAGACACCCCGAAATATCCTAGTTCATCCTAAGGATAAAACACCTAAAGAAAACGACGCGGAATGCGTTTACAAAACCGACGAAAGAACTGCGACGCATCGTATATCAGAGAAACAGACAGGAGATTCGGGGTCCTACTTAATACACATCAGAAAGACACAGAAATCCCAAGAAGGTAAAACAATCACTAGATCAGTGCGAAAACAATCTGTGTCCTAGACCAATAAATCGGCACTTACAGGCCATTCCTCACGTTAAAATGATATCATTGACAGGGCAAATTCCAAAACTGTCCACAAGGAAAACAACCTTTCAGATAGCTGGTTAAGGAAGCCATCTGGATAGCCACAATACTTAACAGGGACAAAGGGGGCTACATATTATAGCACAAGTGTTAAACAAAGAGTAGCCTAACGGACTACATAACATTATTGCAGGTTTGTGTATTTTACGGTCTATAATCTGTTTACTATCTCGTCATACTATTTTCGACCTTAGTATACATAGGATTATAGTAAAAGTTGGTCGATTCCTGCACATCTCGTACATCACGTACATCTGTGCTAGAACACTCCAGGCTGGTCATTTGTCTGATGAAGGTGACCGTGTAGTCATCACAATGTCACAATCTAATATCCTACTGGTTGTGTTTTAAGAAGTTCTATTCTATTGACATAACCAGCCCCAATAAAATGTTCCGAAAAGAACTTTTATTTGTGACTATAAAAATAAACTAACTTTCATAGGTTCAATGACGAAGAAGACCCAGAAATTCCACACAATCGATCTTGGTGGCAGTAAGGCATCAAAAGGATATGATGATATCAAGTATTATTGACAATCTTGCTTCCTCAATCTGTACTTTGAGTATTGACTCGGGGTCAGACAACACATTCTCTATATAATTATGTCGATTTTATCCCTTTCAATTCATTATATATTTACATTAAAAATAAATAAATAAAATTGACCAAATCACCCTATCCAATTATCTCTATACCAAAGCTTCATGCTTCTATGAACGATAAAGATATTACTTAACGACCAGTTCTACTAAGCAGTCATTAGAACTGATGAGATCCAGTTTGCTAAAAGTACAGTATAAGTATATTCTTATTACTGCGCACATTAATTGTTTCTTACTTTAACATGCCTGTTTTTGCTTTCATTTCAATCTGTTCCAAAAACGAAAACCATAATGTAAATATCCGTTTTCATTTGTCAGATTATTTTTGTCTGAAATGGTATGATACTTTATCTTTATTCTACCAGAGGGGATTTTACCACTTACTGAGATAAAATTAATGAGCCTGTACAAGAGTGTGTATTATTGCAAGATCGAGTGAAAATTACTTTTTTGATCAGTTGCTATGGAATCTACTAGTGAGTAGCATTTAAGTGTAATGTGACAGCTCCTGTTATAGTAAGTACGTGTTCTATTTTGCTACCAAAATTTTTCACTTCAGCCATTATACATATGCTGCCACTAACCATAAGTTTTATTCGCTCTGTGAGAAACTGATTTTGTCACAGGGACCTAACGATTTGTTATAGGTGTATATAGCTATATTCAGTTTGCTCAAGTCACAGAAGAAATTTACAGTGTACAACTTATCTCTGGCGAAAAGAACATTTTTGATTCGCCTCCAATATCAATGATAGATGATATCAACCGATTTCAACTGTTAACTTGTACTTGTGTTATATAACCCATCTCACACAACCCATCCTCTAGAGAATGTACACAACCTTAATCATGTTAAGCATCACTTCTAGGTGTTTGGAACTGACTTTCATCAGATCTCCATCGATTAAGACTTCGTTAGGAAGTTATAAAACACCATGAAATTGTCTTTCTTTGTGCTGTTACTCTTTCTAGTCAACGACTGATAAATATGTATCTACGGCACAATCTACTTGCCAAAAGTTTCGTGTCTGACATTTTAGATATACGTAGGTTGATGAAAATTATGGGACAATTTAAGGTCCTCATGACGATCTTATAAGGAAATATTCTATTTCATAATTCTATTGTACGGAATGAAGTTGGAATAGTTTGATGCTCGGGAGTTTGCCTTGTTGTTCTGTTGTTGATTACATTATTGTTATTTGGGAACGTGACTTGATTTACTAGTCTTGATCCAGGTCGTCGATGAAACAGAAGATGCTTACCCTCCGGAACACATGGTCGTATTATCTTTGAACTTTTGCACAGGTCCGTTTGTTGATATTTTATTGTTAATATTTTCATCACATTAAAGTTTGAATTGTGATTCCATTGACATGTCTGTTTTTTTTCTTTCTTTTTTTCTTTTTGCACACTTATAAGCTAACTTTATCATGGTTTATATCACGTTTCATTCACCATCCTGATATATTACGTGACAGTTATGTCTTCTTCTGACTGGCATACTGAAGTTACTTAATAGATAATATGTAAAACGAAATAACTAATTCAAAACAAATATCTCTATCAATTCCTTTTGAAGTTAACAGTATTTGTGATAAGAAGTTCCGGCAATAGTAGCATGTTTTTACTGATGAATGATAAAAATATTATGTCGATAATATTGCTAAACGGTAAATATTGTTTATATTTTACATCAACCATAGCGAAATTGCACGTTTGTTTATAGAAATGTAAATGTAAAGTCTTTTGTGGAGAGAACGTTGAATGAAGGTAGATACTTCAATGGGCAGACTACTGATTGTAGTTGAAAGAACAATAAACTCACAAACCACAGAAATAAATCCTCAAGGGCGATAACTCTGTAGTGAGATAGAGTTGAAAGCACAAACAGGTTGATATCGTTATCTAGGGAGCGACGGAATGTCAACAAGACGGCTCCCGATATCACGTTGCCATTGGAATACGAGGCAACAAGCGACACACATACCGACCTGGACTGGTGAGTTGTCCTCTTACTTTCTTTATGTGAGTCAAAGTCAAATATATCAATCGGTTGATTCTAAAATAAGAAATCATTTTACAGTTGGATGTTATATACTGTTTGTTGTATTATTAACAGTGTTTGATAGACCGGCGTATCTTTTGCAGGTAATAAATGCATAATCATATTACTTGTGTACAACACACGCAATAGGATTGGACTTAATATATCGTGATAACAGTATTTGTTTTACTAAACACCACAGATTTAGACCTGTGCATATCTTAACTTGAAATGGTTGCTTTAGAAAGATATAAACGTTGATATATATAAAGGTTGTACATTATATCAATTCTATATATTTTTTTTCTGAACGTATATTGTAAGATAAAAACTAATGACTTATGATAATGATGTGTAATATTACCGTCTTTCTTAATATACACGTATATTTTTCTTAACAAGACGCTCAGTTACTTGTATTCGCACAGAATAATTGTGGCAAAAGTACCAAATAAAACACGAGACAATTTATGATGTTCGACTTAGGTAGACAGGTATTACATAACATTAAACGAATAAAACATTTTCAACAAGTTAACACTAAATCTACGCAAAATAAACCATGTGATATAAATCTGTCACATATAAGTACATATCATAAATACTTTAAGTCATAAACTTAGGAGTTATGGTCTCTTGGTGAATACTGTTTTAACGCAAATCAATTAAAAATCAGTAAAACAATTGTATGATGTGAGATCATTCAAGTCTCATTAAATCCCTGTATCATGCTGTTTACTTTAATATGCCTATATAAAATAACAATGGAAATTGAACACAATCACGTCCGAAATGATGTATAAAATAAATACCGCTTGTCGATATTTCTTTTAAGTCAATATACGTTTGGTAATTTTCTCATAATTGTGTTGACAGACCGTTTACGATATAGGCTATTTATTTAGTGAGTATTCACACTAGGACACTGCTTGGGTACCCGATTCCCTGCCGTTAATAAAATGCTCACAGGTTTCGCAAGAATCGCAATATACAAAGAAGTAATCCCTATTTCTGTAAATACACGAAGATTTGTAAAATCCTTGTTACAGTGAAATTATTCGGTTTCCTGGAGTTCCTCTGTATAACTTCCCTAAGAATTTATAGGTCTACGAATCTATTTTCCGTTAAGATTTGACATGTTTAATATGTATAATAGATATCGTTAGTACTATTTAATCAAATGCCCATGAAGTAGCGATTATTTTAATACCATGAAATTGGGAGTCCCAAAAGTTATAATACTTCACGTAATTCACGAGTACAGTATATCTATACTTTATTTTCTCATATTCTTTATGTGAAAATTTCAAAATCATTGAAACTATAGAAAAAAATTTCAAATATCTTAGCTAGTATTTTTGTTCACTTATTTCCTTGGTTTTAAGATTTAAATCTTTAGCATTACTGTCGAATCCTAATAGGGCGAAACAGCTGTATAATGTAGCATTAGTGACGAGTCCAAGGAAGGGAAGGGCGAAACAGCTGTATGATGTAGCATTAGTGATGAGTCTCAGGAAGGGCGAAACAGCTGTATGATATAGCATTAGTGACGAGTCATAGGAAGGGCGAAACAGCTGTATGATGTAGCATTAGTGATGAGTCTCAGGAAGGGCGAAACAGCTGTATGATATAGCATTAGTGACGAGTCATAGGAAGGGAAGGGCGAAACAGCTGTATGATGTAGCATTAGTGACGAATTCCAGAAGGGTGAAACAGCTGTATAATATAGCATTAGTGACGAGTCATAGGAAGGGCGAAACAGCTGTATAATGTTGCATTAGTGATGAGTCTCAGGAAGGACGAAACAGCTGTATAATGTAGTATTATTGAAGAACCTTAGGAAGGCGAAACAGCTATATAATAAAGCATTAGTGACGAATCCTAGAAGGGTGAAACAGCTGTATGATGTAGTATTAGTGACGGGTCTTACGGAAGGCGAAATAGCTGATGCAATTTACTTCATCCTAGCGCCTGATGTCCTAAATTTGTTATTTTTCCTTACCCTTTATGACTATACATGGACTGAAAAAAACTTTTAAAAATTTTATCCGATTCGTTAATGCGTGTATAAGACAAGTCTGCGACAATATATTGTTAGGAGAATAAATCATGATTGAAATATTGCTCATCCTCTGTTCTGATTCCTTTGTGTGCGAAGCCCAGAGAAGAAAAAATCATGCTTTCCGTCCTTTTTGTTTGTGCTAGCAGCAATGTTTAGGTGATGGCATTAATTGTTTTCTATGTGTCCCATCTTTTAATGTACTGATGGTGTCAGGCATTTAGCAAGCTTTTTGTTTTGTTTGTTGTTGCACCAGAGGTACGTAGCAAGCCTGTTAAATAGAACATGGAAGACAAACTAAACACTAATGGAAAACAGATGTTTATTGTCTATATCAATAAAACTTTGTCTTTTTCTTTGGTAACTCATACATTGCTTCCCAGATGCCATTACACTTTTCTTTAACTTAATTAGACTGACCAAGATTTACATGGCATGTGTCGTCAATGAAGCAGAAGAGGCCCAGCCTTCCAGTTTCCAAGTCGTATTCTCCTTATATGTACATGGTTCAGGAGTCTCCGTGTCAATCGTTCTTTTGTTCCTGTTTCGCCCAAGTTTCAGCGCCTTTGAATTTGATCTAAGATTATATTGACCTTTCGGTATTGTTTCACACCGATCGTCATGTTAGTACATAATTTGTTCTATATCATTCTATATCTATGACACAGAAAATAAGTGGCAGGACAAATGAAGTGATAAAAAGTTAAAGGCGATACTGTAGGCCAGACAATTCCATCATTGATATAAGCTCATTACGTAATGTTGATTAGAAACGACTTTTTTTATATCACAAAACTACATTCGAACATTGTTGGTTATTTTCAAATCTTTAAATAAAAATGCGTCGTGCATAATGAACACTTATAATGCACCGAAGGCGTGATTTACGAGGCTGTTATTTAGATCCATGGCGACTGACATGTAAACACCTACCTGTATAACAGCTGTGATATAATTCACCAGAATCATACGTACATCATTAGTACCATCGATTAGCTTAGGGTAGTGGTTGGTTAGTTTTACTAGTCACGTCAGCTGACTAGATATTATGAAATCCTACTCGATTATTAACTAAATACATGAAGCACGTGTTTGTTACATACATTTCTTTATTCCATTTGTGACACAAGGACATCAGTAATCACACCACTTTATTTCAAAACACCTAAATACTAGCTGGAAATGCTCTTTAACAGCATTGCTAAAATCAATCATTTGTTCTTAATTATTACATATCTTAAATATACACAAACAAATACTGGACACCCGACCCGGAGGAGACGGATGAAAAGATTTTTATATTTTTTCTAAATATTTTCCCCTTGGACCAGTAATCCACCGAGTGAATCATTCTGGTTTCGGTATTAATGTGTCAGACAGTATGATAATTATATAACAGTATTTGTGACATTTTGAGTAGCAATAGACGACAGCAAAAATAAATATTAAAACGAATAAAATGTAAAAGTAATAAAATACTGGTATTTAAAAAAGTTGTCGGAAATAGGTAATAAATTTAACCATTAAATACCTTGTTTGTTTTTACTCAAGAGCACGGTATATATTCAATGAAGACAAACATATTACATCACAACCTAACATAAAATCTTAGCCAAGTAATACAGTGTTGACAGGATCCAGCCATCCCTATATCTAGTAACACATTGTTAGTAACACATACAGTGTTGGCAGGATCACGCCACCCCTATACCTAGTAATACAGTGTTGACAGGATCCAGCCATCCCTATATCTAGTAACACATTGTTGACAGGATCCAGCCACCCCTATACTTAGTAATACAGTGTTGACAGGATCCAGCCACCCCTATACTTAGTAATACAGTGTTGAAAGGATCCAGCCACCCCTATACTTAGTGATATAGTGTTGACAGGATCCAGCCATCCCTATATCTAGTAACACATTGTTGACAGGATCCAGCCACCCCTATACTTAGTGATACAGTGTTGACAGGATCCAGCCATCCCTATATCTAGTAACACATTGTTGACAGGATCCAGCCACCCCTATACTTAGTAATACAGTGTTGACAAGATCACGCCACCCCTATACTTAGTAATACAGTGTTGACAGGATCCAGCCACCCTATACTTAGTAATACAGTGTTGACAGGATCCAGCCACCCCTATACTTAGTAATACAGTGTTGACAGGATCCAGCCACCCCTATACTTAGTGATACAGTGTTGACAGGATCCAGCCATCCCTATATCTAGTAACACATTGTTGACAGGATCCAGCCACCCCTATACTTAGTAATACAGTGTTGACAGGATACAGCCACCCCTATACTTAGTGATACAATGTTGACAGGATCCAGCCACCCCTATACCTAGTGATACAGTGTTGACAAGTTCCAGCCTCCCCTATACATAGTAATACAGTGTTGACAGGATCCAGCCACCCCTACATATAGTAACACAGTGTTGATAGGATCCAGCCTTCCCTATACATAGTAATACAGTGTTGACAGGATCCTGCCATCCCTATATCTAGTAACACATTGTTGACAGGATCCAGCCACCCCTATACTTAGTAATACAGTGTTGACAGGATCACGCCACCCCTATACCTAGTAATACAGTGTTGACAGGATCCAGCCACCCGTTACTTAGTGATATAGTGTTGACAAGCTCCAGCCACCCGTATACCTAGTAATAGTGTTGTCAGGATCCAGCCAACCCTATACTTAGTAATACAGTGTTGACAGGATCCAGCCACCCCTATACCTAGTAATACAGTGTTGACAGGATCACGCCACCCCTATACCTAGTAATACAGTGTTGACAGGATCCAGCCATCCCTATACTTAGTGATATAGTGTTGACAGGATCCAGCCACCCCTATACCTAGTAATAGTGTTGACAGGATCACGCCACCCCTATACCTAGTAATACAGTGTTGACAGGATCCAGCCATCCCTATACTTAGTAATACAGTGTTGACAAGCCCCAGCCACCCGCATACCTACAAAGCAAATACAGATATTGCACAATAATATTAAAAAGTGATATATTAGTTAAATATTTGACATGATTCATCATTTAATCCACACCCTCCTGAAAGAAATATATGTAGATAGTACAAATATAAGGAAGGTTCCCAGATTATATGTAAAATATCTAGAAATAATGACGAAATGAGATCCTCATTTTATTTCCTCTGTAAAACAAGACTTTAATGGACCTTTTTGTATGGCATTACCTCTTTGATTTTTGATCGTAAATCAACGTTTATGTAGAACACATTCCATTTTTGCTTTTGTGATATAGTTCAATAAGATAAAACAAAATGAAAGTAATTCTTTGACTAAACACGATTTTTTCTAACGAAAGGAGACGAACTACAGCCAGAAGGAGACGAACGACAGCCAGGAGACGACGGGATACTAATATTGTTGACGGACAGAGACGAAACGGAGGGAGAGGAAGGCTCACCATTGCTCCGTAAGGGGAAGTACCTGAACAGATATAAGAGATTTGAAGTTGACACAATGATATTGGGTGACAGATTACATGTTGTGACCATTATAACTGCGATCTATGTTCCGGTGTCCTTTATCATAACGTAAGTATACTTAATACATAGATACTGATATCATACCGACCCCGATCTGAACCCCACGTAATACAGAGGTACATATATCATAACGACCCCGAGCTTTCCCCACGTAATACACAGTTACTGAAATATCGTCCCCGATCTTAACCCAAGTAATACACAGGTACTGATATCATATCGTCCCCAATCTTACTTACGTAATACACAGGTACAAATATCATAACGACCCCGAGCTTACCCCACGTAATACACAGGTACTGATACCATATCGTCCCCGATCTAACCCCAAATAATACACAAGTATAGATACCATATCGTCCCCGATCTAACCCCACGTAATACACAGGTACTGATATCATATCGTCCCCGATCTAACCCCACGTAATACACAGGTACTAATATCATATCATCCCCGATCTTACTTAAGTAATACACAGGTACTGATACCATATCGTCCCCGATCTTACCTTACGTAATACAAAGGTACTGATACCATATCGTCCCCGATCTAACCCCACGTAATACACAGGTACTGATATCATATCGTCCCCGATCTTACTTACGTAATACACAGGTACTGATACCATATCGTCCCCGATCTTACCTTACGTAATACACAGGTACTGATACCATATAGTCCCCGATCTTAACCCACGTAATACACAGGTACTGATACCATATCGTCCCCGATCTAACCCCAAATAATACACAGGTACTGATATCATATCGTGTCCGATCTAACCCCAAATAATACACAAGTATAGATACCATATCGTCCCCGATCTTAACCCACGTAATACACAGGTACTGATATCATATCGTCCCCTATCTAACCCCACGTAATACACAGGTACTGATATCATATCGTCCCCGATCTAACCCCACGTAATACACAGGTACTGATATCATATCGTCCCCGATCTAACCCCACGTAATACACAGGTACTGATATCATATCGTCCCCGATCTTACTTACGTAATACACAGGTACTGATACCATATCGTCCCCGATCTTACCTTACGTAATACAAAGGTACTGATACCATATCGTCCCCGATCTAACCCCACTTAATACACAGGTACTGATATCATATCGTCCCCGATCTTACTTACGTAATACACAGGTACTGATACCATATCGTCCCCGATCTTACCTTACGTAATACACAGGTACTGATACCATATAGTCCCCGATCTTAACCCACGTAATACACAGGTACTGATATCATATCGTCCCCAATCTTACTTACGTAATACACAGGTACAAATATCATAACTACCCCGAGCTTACCCCACGTAATACACAGGTACTGATACCATATCGTCCCCGATCTAACTCCAAGTAATACACAGGTACTGATATCATAACGACCCCGAGCTTACCCCACGTAATACACCGGTACTGATACCATATCGACCCCGATCTAACCCCAAGTAATACACAGGTACTGATATCATATCGTATCCGATCTAACCCCAAATAATACACAAGTATAGATACTATATCGTGCCCGATCTAACCCCAAATAATACACAGGTACTGATATCATATCGTCCCCGATCTTACTTACGTAATACACAGGTACTGATATCATATCGACCCCGATCTAACCCCACGTAATACACAGGTACTGATACCATATCGTCCCCGATCTAACCCCACGTAATACACAGGTACTGATACCATATCGTCCCCGATCTAACCCCACGTAATACACAGGTACTGATATCATAACGACCCCGATCTTACCCCACGTGATACACAGGTACTGATACTTTCATGATTGTCCTCTCGCTAGATCAAGTTTCTGTGGTTCTCCCAGTTTTTATGCTTTTTTCACCATCGACAATAACCGGACTATAATTTTCTCTATAATTGAGATATGTCAAGATGTCATTTTTTGCTAGAAAATCAAGAAAATGTGCCTTTCAAAAATAACAGCATTTAAAGTAGAAGGTCACATGACCTGTTATTAACCACGAAAATAAGAACGTGTTACTTAGTCGTGTTCTAAGTATATATATAAGTATATATTAGGGAGATTATATATTGTGTAGCAAAATTATTTATCTTTAAAAAAGATAACTGCCTTGATGAAATTCATTTCAAATATAAAAATTGAACATTTCTTTCCTTCAGATATACAATCGCAGTATCCAATGGTCATGTGGAGGCCGGCTTCCCCTATATAAGGTAAATAATGTTGTAATACAAGGAGGATGTCAGATCGGTGATGGGGAGGGACTAACTTCCCCTATATAAGGTAAGTGTTGTTTGAATACAAGGAGGATGTCAGATTGGTGATGGGGAGGGACTAACTTCCCCTATATAAGGTAAGTGTTGTTTGAATACAAGGAGGATGTCAAATCGATGATGGGGAGGGACTAACTTCCCCTATATAAGGTAAGTGTTGTTTGAATACAAGGAGGATGTGAGATCGGTGACGGGGAGGAGCAGGGTTCCCCTATGTAAGGTAAATGTTTTAATACTTGGAGAATGTCAGATCGGTGATGTGGAGGCGTCTTCCCCTATATAAGATAAGTACAAGTTGAAACATAGGAGGATGTCAGACAGGTAATGTAAAGGCTGTCTTCCCCTATATTAGGTAAGTGTTGGTTAAAAACTAGGAGGATTTCAGACGGGTGATGTAGAAACGACAACATATAAATTACTTACCTGTCATTAGAATCATAATGCAAATTCAATGGAATTAGGGCAAAATATGAATAAAAGAAAGATTTACACAGAGACTCCTAAATAAGTACAGGTGTTTCGGAAGTGTAAGCGTTGTCTGAGTACGGCATACAGGCTATGCTAATATAACACATTGTTGCCGATCACAATATATCATAAAATGTTTGACTATAGACAATTCCGTCAATGGCATTATGAATATTAAGGCACACAAATACATGTTGGTCTGATTAACTTTTCATTTTCAGTGATACCGGCACACTTCCTCCTGAGAGCTGCATTTTCGGTCAACTGCTCAATTTCGGCGCACTTATAGGTACGACGTCTCAATTTTAGATACTAAACTGTTTTTTCTAGGAAAGCAAAATTATCGAGAGTGCAAAAAGTTACTTGTCGTTCCTTTACATGTATCTTAATTATTAAAAGTAAACAATACAAATATTTTCCCATTGAAAACAATCAACAATGTCAATCTAACATAGAAAAATTAAAAAACAATTATGTATAAGTGAAGAATTTTCTACCTGTACTATATGTTTTACATGAATAAATGTGCAAACTATAATACGCAGATATATATATACGTATTCGACAATCAAAAAAATTGATAACATCATTTAATAATTGTCTTCCTTGTATCATGCTATGTCAATTTGTGTTTTTGTTTCCTTTTCTTTTGATTACTGTTCTATCACTTTCCTCTGGCGTCATGGTATCATTATTTTCACCGTCCGTTACTTTTATTACAGCCATCATCTGTTTACAGTTGCCTTCTTCAGTTACACCAAGTTCATTCCTCAATTCCCGTTCAGAATATCATTGCTTAATTCACTATACGATGTTTTATGTCGATATACCGATTGGCAGCATTGTGGAAAAATCATCAATTTCTTTCTTTTGCTCCGAGGTTCATTTGATAGATTTTCTCTTTTAGACCAATGACGCGGTTCTTTTGTAGGGTTTGGTTATTTTCTCATCCTCAATACTACAAAGTTTAACACCCCCTTCGCTTTCTGCGCCCCGAGAAAACATTTCGTGACAAAATTCTAGAGCGTGTTTTAGGAGAGAAAAAAGACCAATCACAGACTGATACGCTCCTTAAAATATTAATAAAGGAGCCACGCCAATCTCAAAGACCAGTACAACATACCGTTATGCAACCCCAACAATCGTGTACAAAAAAGGATCGAACCTTTGTTCTCTTCTTATATACAAGGTCTCATACATGGAGCCTTCAATTTTGCCATGAAATATTCTAGAATTGCAGAGGGCGATAGTAAGCCTAATCCCTGAAATATCGAGGATGTCATCCAGTTGTTTCGTTTGAATTCTTCCTTCCTGTTAGACCCCTTGTATTTACATACTTTACATGGTATGTTCAACAATATAACAAAATAGAAAAAGGGCAACCAACATATCAAAGTTGATTCACACTTATATATTGTTGACTGTGTCTAGGATATCGTCCTATTTCCCCATTTGTGCTGCATCAGAGATTTAACATTACCATTGTTTTTAAACATATCGCTTGTAATTTTTAATTAATGTCATGGCTTACTGTTCTCACTCTGGTTGATCAGTATACAGCAGCTAGTTTAGTCATTAGTTTGTATCATATATCGTTGTTTTATTTCAGTGCCTCCGATACGATTCCAACTAGTGTCCTCTGACCGAGCGGTGTATTGCAGCTAATATTACCTGCTTTTTTGATATGGAGATAATTGGAGTCATTGTTCTCTCATTTGTTTTATCAACAGCTGCCTGGAATGTGTACATTCGGTACAAACAGATAAAGGCCACTTACGAATCCTTTGACAGGCCGGGTATATTACGGGCTAACACAATCTCATTTGTTCTCGGTCTTTTAACAGCCACCGGAGTTAGCATTGTCGGCAATTTCCAGGTAATTATGGAGCACAAACCAGAACACAAGCACAAAATCATAGTCCACTGTAATGGAGTTTAATATGTCCAGACCACTGTTGCGTTTGATTCTGTAACTATAACTTAAACATGATTAACACTGCTTCAAATTGATTTAAGTATTGATATTTATTCAATTTATTATGAATATGTTATTATAAACACGGATGAAAATAATAAATAACTAATTAATGTTTTTTGATAATTTCAGGAAACAAATGTTATAGTTGTACACATCATTGGTGCATTCATGGCTTTTGGTATCGGCGGACTCTACTGTTTCGTTCAAACCGGCATGTCATTCAAAATGCCGGAACTTCCGGGAGCGACCCCGTTTATCAAAAAAATTCGGGTTCTTCTTTGTGTGCTGGATATAATATTTTTCATTCTCAGTATCCTTTTGAATATTTTCGTATTTCCCTGCATTTTTCGAAGCTCGTTTTTCGGCGTGAGAAGACTTGCAACCTAGCAAATTCCACATGCTTCTCCATCGCAACATTGGGGCAAGTTTGTCTTCGTTGTTTTTTTACGTTGGCGTGTATTACGAAAGTTGTACCTATGAGAATATAAAATGTACGCCTTACGTTTTACAAAAGGAAATTCTGAGAGTTTCAACGTAAACAGTCCTAAAGTTTTAACATACATCCTAAACGGTATACATCCCAAGCGATATAATGAATCCGTATAACTAACATAACTTATTCTGTTAAATAATTGTGGTATTCTGGTGTTTTGAGTATTGTACAATTGTTGTTTCGGTAATGTTCTTTGACTGTTTCACCAGTGCTCATAGCTACATTCTATGCAAGTAAACAACAAGGACACGATATGAAATGGACATCAGATGATCCCGTGAGTATTTCTAGTCTATTTACTTACACACCTTACACAGGAAACATTCTTATCTGCTTTAAATGCGTTAGTCCCCTCTGCTCTATTAATGACCAGTAGGATCACGTCTTTTGCAACGATATGCTGTACTCCTTTCCTATTTTATTATCAGTATGCTTACATTTACTGCAATGCTAGTGCTTTTAAAACTATCTCTGGCTTTAAACACCACGGTATAGTCTAGGGAATGATTCGCTACCGGATTATTTGGTGATTCGTTAGTATGGTAAACAAACCGTTTGTTTTTAAAGTACTCTAAATTAGAGAGATGATGTCTCTCAGTTTCTAAGATTACACATTGACTGAGAATACTAATTTATGGTTGAATATTTCAACGTTTCGTCACTACATTTGTCTTAAGTAAATATAGACATGAATAAGCAAAAATGTTAAATTAGATCGAATTTCTATACTTCGAGTATGAAACATTTTTATTGAACTTCAAATCTTTCAAAATAAGGAATATGCTTAACAAAAGAATATTTACAAGGGACACAATACACTCGCGAATGTGTGAGGAAAAAAGACGAATGTTTACAATGTAAGATAAAAAGAATGATTCATTTTTCTACATTTTTCTACATTTTTCAGTCAGTAAGTTACATACGTGCAACTATTTGTTGTAAATCAGAGTCATTGCAACATTGTAGACTGAACTGACATGCATGGTAGCAATGTACCAATTTTTTTAACGAAAAGCTTATCAACATGTTTTTACTACATTTTGATATTTTGGGTTCATCTATTTCATATAGTTGTCAATTTGTCCACGGTTTTATGAAAATAGTTTAATTCTACAATTCGTGGTTATCACCCCTTTCCCCACTTATCGTTAAACAGATATGAAAAACCTGATAGTTCATGGATACAACATGAATCAATTTTATCACTGTTTGGTTGTGCCTTGACTATATAACTAGCCTTTTCAGGGTCAGAATCTACCGGTATTGGTAATCATATATATCACATGAAGTGGAAACCAACCGAAAAGGTAAATATGGTGTTCAGAAATATCCTCTTTACAATATCCTGTAAGTTTAGTTGGTTACAAATTATTTTGAATTAGGTCTATCCATAGCCTCCACCTTTACACCTATCTGTATTTTGTCGTGACATTTAACATTTATTTTATGAGATATTAACATATTCTTCATATGGTTGTTTCAACGTATGGACGACTGGGTTTGAAAACATAAAACATAAATTTACACATCGCATATTTGCTGTGTACATAACCCCCTGTTTAAAATGACTAACATATTCTATGTATATGATAGAAATACATTTTGTCATTTTACATGTTAATAATGGAAGGTCTGACAAGGCCATGACTTCAGCAAGGAAAACTCTATATCGATAACAGCATTCAAACGTATCTGCTTTTAAGTACACTGGTATTTCTGTCTAGTGCTTTGCATTTTCCCCAATTGCTTCTTTTCATTATAGTGCAATATATACCAATATTAACTTCATACTGAAGATAAAACATGAATTTTGCTGTTGTGTATGAAATGCCTTGAAGACATTCATGAGCATGTATCAGTGCGATGCCCTGCGAATTTTGAGCAGAAATAAAAATTCTATGTCCTATTATTGGAAAACACAGTACTTTATTCTTTTTCAGGGTAAGCTTTGGTACACATTTTAAATATAGATTTATAGAATCATGATCAGTACGTAATTGCATACTTTTCCTCCGTGTCTGAATATGTTTCTATAGTTTGAATTCAGATTAACATCGGCACCCGGTTTTATCAAGTAGCTTTTAAACTGACACTGTTATACCTAGGAGACAACGCATGACCAAATTTTAACCAATAACAGCATTGTTGATATTAATCTTTACTATCATTCCTTTCAAATCTTACTTAGTTGCAAAAGTAAGTATACATTGAAGATAAGGCTAACATATTTCCAACACAGAAAAAAATAATATGTACGCAGGACCAGTATAGATTTAGAGAAATATAATTAACTGTTTCCACTAATCCAATGTAATTCAACAATTAAATACACGATACAGAATTATACTGATGGTGGTTTGTTGTGATTGTTTGCAATATATGCACTTCAGTATATTTAGTGCCTTGGTTTCCTCCTGTATAAGTTCCTGAAGACACATGTCTTCATTTGACCATGCTTATTTAGAGGAAATAAACCTTAACTACAACTTTCCCTAGAGATACAGTCATATAGTTTTGTAATGAACGTCATAATCTTCATAGACCAACATTTCCCTTTTTTAATCATAAAACATTAAATAATGACTGTTCAGTTGCTTTATGTTATGGTTAGAACTGTAATATGATATCAAACGATATATGTATAGATATTTTGAATGTATGGATAGTTTTGATAAAAAATACCTTACAAGTATGAATACCAAAATGAGCAAATGGTAACTATAAGCTTTATTCCTAATTCGCTTAATTGTTTATAATTGACTTCGGAATTGTTTGATCTAGGGGTATGCTGAACACTTGGTGGCAACGATATCTGAATGGTTAATGGCCATTTTCATAGTGATGTACTTTGTGACATTCTACAAAGAGTTCAACAAGTTCAGATTGACATCTCCACAAGTCGTATTTGATATAAAACCTGACATTGGCGACAATCAATTTAACAATAACAGTAATGGAGAAAGAACAAATGGAACTGAATTCGTGCTCCCTAATAACAGCAACATAAAAGGTACAGGTGTGGGATCACTTCCGTGAAATACATCCATACACCAGGAACAGGTGAAGGTTCACTTCCGTGATAATTACATCCACACAACAGGAATACATCCACACACAAGGAATGGGTGAAGGTTCACTTCCGTGAAATACATCCATACACCACGAACAGGTGCGGGATCACTTCTGTGAAATACAGCCACACACCAGGAACAGGTGAAGGTTCACTTCCGTAAAATACATCCATACACCAGGAACAGGTGCGGCATCACTTCTGTGAAATACAGCCACACACCAGGAACAGGTGAAGGTTCACTTCCGTAAAATACAGCCACACACAAGGAACATTTGCGGGTTCACTTCCGTGAAAATTACATCCTCACAACATGAACAGGTGAAGGCTCCCTTCCGTGAAACATTATACTTGGCTTAACCATTACAGTCACAATATTTTACAATGATATAATAGTATTGGTTGTACTACAACATCAATTAGCATGGGGATGAATTGTTGACATCGATATTACATCAAACTGAATACATAGTGTCATGATTTATTCGGTAATAAGAGTATCATAATACTAACCATGTATGTGTATTGTTTAATGAATTTAAATGATTTTATCGGTTTCATCGAATCCATGTCACGTTCCGGACAGCGCCTCTTTATCGAAGCCGAGATAACATTTGATTTTTTTTCAAAGCTAGAATTAAGTGTAATGAATTTAAATACAGAATGATTACCAATGGTCTCCATCTTCAGTTTTTTCTGGTTTCACAGAAAAAAATGCAAAATGGATGTAATTTACATGGATGTCATGAAATGGACCGGTTTATTGATTCATTCTCAAGGTAAATGTAAAGTGTATTAGTGATTTCTGTGAGAAATATTCATTTTCTATTTAATTTGAGTTTAGATTATGATTATGTTGACATATTGGTATTTTCATATTTTATTATCTCATCCCCATCCTCGAAATGTATGTAAGGCAAGTAACGAAGTTATGTCTACACATATATATCATGAGAAGTTCAGACAAAGTATAAAAATGTAGTCATTTTTTTACACATTACCTGTGAGATGCATTGTTCATCACGCTCAATCCCTGCGAAGACGTATTCGACTACGCTTTCGTAAACAAGAATTATGTGTTAATATAAAACCCTTTTCGAGTTACAGTCAAAAGAGAGCAATAGGACATCACTAAATTTTGAATGAATTTTTATATTACACCACGAAACATTTTGTCAGAGTTTCTTCTGTTCTACAACAAAACTTTAAAATTCGATAGTTTCACACGTCGCATATTCATTTTAGAAATTCACGAATTTAATTGTGAATCAGCTTTGTACCGAGTGACGCAGAAATCACATCAGTCATTTTCAACTATTAACCAAGATGATGAGAGAAGCAATACATGTGAAATCTCGAGCTTAACGAGGGAAATTGATGAGATCGAAAAAAAGAAACAACTGGAAATGATAATGATGAAAACAAAAACAAAGTGCGCAATACTAATGCATTATACTGTTCAAGAAGCAAAACCAAAACAGTTGCTACCAGTTAAAGTCATAGTCAATGCACATGATTAACACTATTTATCAATAAATTATTTGCATCGGTTTGAAACCAGTCCTTAGTTTTTTTTAAATCCTGTCAACCAAAAAGAATTATGAGACATCATCAACGCTATCGGGAATCAATTTCAATTTTCCTGTATTCACATGGTACTTGAACTTTTCTTTGTGATGCAATGGGCAGTACATTTTTCAGGTACAGGAATCGGCCATCCAACACAATATTACTCCTCTGTCTTGTTTCCTGCTTTTGTTCGGTTGTTTTCGTCTTCTCCGGGCCTGTCGTTGAAAAATCCATACTGCTTGAGACGTATCTCTTTAATGAAAGCTGTTTCTCCAATATGCATGTAATGACAGTCCTTTTCAGTGATGACGAATGCCGGATTCCACCTTGAGGCAGCAAATTGATGTATCGTTGTCCCTTTTGCTCCCAACATGGGGTTACAGAAAAATTCCATATCATGTCGCATACGTTTAAAGTAAAGTAGTTCGTCATAAAAATCAGGACCCTGCATGCGTATCTGGTTTTGAAGTCGTTGATAGAAATGATCGTAAAGGGCATAGTCAAGCACTGCCCATCTCTTGTATAGGTTAACGTCACCGGCAGTGAACTTTATTTTTTCGAATAGTTTATGTTTGACATTTTTCTTAATGTATAAAATATCAGACAATTTCCAATTTAGAAGTCGACGCATTAAGACCATACACTCATCAAATTGTTCTACGATAATCATCAATTCGAATTCAGATTCTAACTTCTGCAAATAGAGCTGCACTTCCGTTTTATTGTGTGTTGTAAAAAGATCAGATGGAAAGCCAAATTCTCTTGCCATTCTGTTATTTGCGTAACTGTTAGAAGTCCGCTTTGTGTAACGTGACGGTTCCTGTAAATATTTCGAAACTGCCATGGTATCATTGATATTCAATATTTCTCCGGGCCGGAAGTAATTCAAAATGGATGTGAAATGTTCGAAAGGTTCTCGTATTATCCCAATATAGATAGTGTCTATTGGCATAATTTTCACAAACGCTTCTCTGTTATATAAAACATGACAACAAAGAATTTCGTAGGATCTATTTGCTGGAGGCGGAAGAATATTCTTTGATGTCACAGTGGACCCTGTGCTTATTATATTTGGATAGAAAAATTTTGGGACATGCGGCATAACCACAACCAGATCTCTCCGATTGGCATAACGGAGGAAGATATTTTGAGCGGTGGAACTTGCAGCCTTATGAACCTTCAAAAAGGCTATGTGACGCTTTGATTCACCGTAGTTATTGATATCAATCCCATGTCTTCTAACATGACCTTGTTTAGATGTATTACGCGTCCGCCAACTGAAATGTTCCCAATGGTTTTCTCCATGCGATACAGACGTTTTATAGTGATGTATCTGGAAGATGGTCATCATTGCCATCAGCAATAAGCAAGCCAGTACCCCAAACCTACAATTAAAATAGATTTAGCTTATTTTACAAATTTTCTCAAAATCACAATTCAGACTCAAAATCGAATTGAAGCAGCAAAATATAATAAAGGTATGTAAAAAACAAAAGACAACAATACAATAAAAGCTCATGATAATGTGTTCCAGAAGACAGAGCGAAATCAACGGCACCAACAATCTAAGTAATGCCACATTCTCAAAAGGAAAAAACCCGGGTATATGATAAAAAGTATCCATCTCGATCTCAAACACTTTCAATAAAAATATGTAAACATTTAATTAGTTTTCGTCAACATCAAACACATTTATAGCTAACAAGCATGAAAAAGGGATGATCATACAAACCGCAGTTTGTGAAAAGCTGGGACTATAAAGGTTGACACTGATTTTTTGTCATTGTTACAAATTAAGAGACAATAACTTTTTCAACGTCAATTTTGTATTTGGAATTTAGTCAGGTCACAAAGTTGTTGTTACCAAATTCATCAAATACATAGATTTATGTTATAGACCTCCTTAAAAATGCCTTTTACTCTGACGTTATCAAAAACAGTCGTGCCATATTGGGTGTTCCGTCATCATTATATTAATTTTCACAATGATGATATTGGTTTCATTTGTTCTGTTTCCTATAAGTAAGTTATTAATACAAATTTTATCGTTTATTAGACAGTATTTTCAGCATGTGAAATAAAATTTGAAGAAGAAACTGCCCATTTAGATTATTGTATTTTCCTATTTAAAAGGCAATATGCATACACATTTAAGTCATCAATTCATAAATGAAAAAAAGTAGAGTTGAAACGAAGCACTATGACCTTGCAAATATCGAAACTGCAAAAAAGTATTTTCTTTGCTTCAAAAATCAAAGAAAAAAGCGAGATGTACTTCCGAAATCTGGACACAATTTTAGATATTGCCTTAAATAAAACCTCAGTTTTAACCTTAGAGGGTTGACACGTATATATAACTGATTCTAACTAGGAATATTTAAGCATAAACAATGATATCAACTTAATGACGACACGTGTCATTTGAATCAATACCAAAGAAAGATTTACACGGAGACCCCTGTTTAGTGCAAGGAGAAGAAAACAGAAAAAAATCCCTATTCAATAGGATTAAACAAAAAGATTAAGTAACAGTGACTTATAGAATCAAAACTACTTAAAACCAGGTGAGATGTTCGAGTGTATCAAGTATGCTAAACTAAATTTATTACCATAATTTTACATACATATTCGTCCATCCGAAGTAATTCGTCTTTCATGCAACATATTGGTCATCAGACGAGCTGTCAACACACCCTTAGCTGAAATGCTAATTCAAACTTTAATCATTTTACTTTTTGATCGTTCAGGGTATGTTGAAAGCATATGGCAATTTACAATAGGATTTATTAGCATATTGCCTGTCACAGATCTACTTTCGATATGTCCCACAATCTCCTAATATCAGATTTGGCTTAGGGATCGCTATTAGAATGATATTTCTGTGTTTATGATACCTTAAAATCGTTAAAACCATGAATAGATTAATTAATTTCGGTAAAGTAAGAAAATAAATCATAATAACATAACACTAATATGATATCAGACATGAACTTATATATAGGAGAATTATAAAATAACAAGGAGTTTTAGAGAAAGTGGAAGATATCGAACACGGACCGCATATAAAGTCTTTTCAAACATTGTTCGTTTTGAACATTGGATGCGAAGTTGACATTCAACGAAAACTTCATGTTTTGAAAAACAATAATCTATGTCATGAAATGCCCAGTATATTATCGTTACCATGAATGTAATGCAGATACCATAGAAAGTCACGACAGAATCAACCCCGTCAGGTTTTTAAAGGACACAAGGTTAAACCAAAGTCAATGTCCGGTGCCTACTTTCTCGAATGTGTCTAGTATAAAAAAGTCGCTCAAGATAGAACTGCAACTGATTTGTATATAACACTTGGAGACAGATGGGAACTCTGCATCTACTTTATTTGTAGCTTTAGAAAGATATGTTCTTTATGGTGTAATGCTGATTGTGTATTGAAATTTCATGCTCGGCTACACGGAAGTAATAGGATTCATATGCTACAGGCGCCAAATAGTGCAAATTACTTTGGTCATCGTACTTAAGAGGCAGCTGTTCGAGGAATGGCATCGATAATGCTGCTTCTCCTGAGGTGAAATAAACATATTCATTTTCACATTTTAAACGTTTATTGATCTTATTAAATAACGTCTGATGTTGTTCTTTTCTGTAGAATAATCTCAAACTAAATAACTTCCATAGTAATACATATCAAATGACTGATTTTTCGTTAGAGCTGACCTTGTTACAAATAAAACGTTTTGAAGTTAGTCCTATAACGCTGTTTAAATTATCATTACATTGTGATTGATTTTCTGTTATAATCATTGTTATCGCAAATGGTGCATATTAGTAGTTTTTGTGTAAACAGCTCATCTGAAAAATTCAGAAAAAATAACAACATGATGTACACCATATCTGTTGTTACATTATCATTATTGTTATTACTGGAGGTGTAGCATTTGGGTTTGTGTCGTATGATCGTCAATAATATCATATGTTGAGAAATAGTGATTTTGTCATGTTATCATCAATCTTATCACATACATTTAGACATTGTAACTTTTATCACGTGATCATCAATATTATCACAGACATTTAGACATTGTATTTTTTATAATGTGATCAATAGAATGTTTTCACAGAAATTGGGATCAGTTTCGTATGTATATTACTTTTTCAACTCGTACAAACATGTAGTTTGTGTACAATTTTGAATTAGAATGATAAAGTCTCTAATGCGCGCTATACGTCGGATATGAATTTACAGGTGTTTTTATTCCGTAACATACTACTTATATTTTGTGCAAATAAGTATCCGGTGTCCTTGAATTATAATGATAAGGTCCCTAATCTAGACCATATATAATATGAATATATAATTATCACAGGTCTTCTTCGATTCATATTCGGTTGAAAAATTAATTTGCGTTGGTTGCTGAAAAATAGCAGATTCCATATTAAACTATGTCTTATTCAAAATATACTATATTATGGTGGTTCTTGAAAGATTGTGCAAAAGAAACACAAGTGAATAGCACCATTTCATAACTTAGAGTGAGATACATTAGAGTCAAACATCTAGGACTCGCCAGTGATGCTAATAAGGGCCTAAACGTTGAAACCTTTGAGGCGATTGAGAAAAATTCAAAGTGAACAAAACAAAAAATCATTATATAGACGGGAAGTTGCAGTAGCCCCATAACCAAATAAATTTCATAATTTCCATACATCAGATAATTTTAGAATAGCGTCAAGTACATGTGTATTATCTGAGTAGTGCCACTATATCTATCGTTTCATGTAACATACAAGCACATACTCCCATGTTGAATGTCTATGACCTGTATTTATTCTGTGCCTACACCCAACAAAAGATAACAATATTATACATTGTATCTATATATTTGTCCAATCATATAATATATGTAACTTGTGGCGGTCACCTCGAAGTCTCATTATCTCTCAACAGGTAATCTAGCTACCCATAACAACAACACAAGATTGACTTGTGGGTCATATTACAGTTCCATACGTTTGCGAACGTGTCAGTTGCACTGTCTGTAAAACAATTTCCAAAACTCTAATGTTATAAGTTAATATATACCAAGAGGAAAAAGAAATGCAACTCAACTTCAAATTTACAAACAAATTGGCGAACACACTTCTTGATGAGAGTCAGTGATTAACGCAAGTTTGTAGTTGTAATGGAAAAGAACGTATGCATTTGTACAGTAACGGTATATTGTCAGTTTTAGGCGCATGGGATGTAAATTAGTTTATTGTCGGGGATGACGGATTTAAATACTTTTAGGGGTATGAAGTAGGCTGCCCTTATATTCCACTTACATTTAACACGGCTATGAATATTCAATACAAATCCCATAATAATGGTTATGTAACGCATCTTTTAATTGGATAATTTTCTTGATCTAATCCTCGATATCCTAATGAATTCTGACGCTAGCCCAAAGTTGGCGGTCATCTTTCCCATTGACGCGGATTATCAATATCGACACAGAGAAATGTATTATAGCGATATGCTAAAATGTGTCATCGGAGTGTGAGAATACGATAATGATAACCTGTGAAATATATTCCGCCTCACTCTTCTCCGCTTCTAACGAGTATACTGTTTATGTCAGAATGTTAATAAAGAGGATCAACTTAGAATCACGGTACAGTATGTGACCTTCTCAATCCACGGTTCAGCTTTACTTAACAACATGCACCTGATAAAACAGCGAGTCCATAATGCACACATGTATTTGAACAGAACGTGTGACTTTTTGAACATATTTTAATGCACACGTATATTGAGGTCGGTCGTAACTGATGGTCTCGTGCCCTGTAAATAACGAGTCCTCTATTTATATATGGCCTAACTTACGTGTTCCTTATCCCCTTTTAATGTGTCGTCATCATTCTGTTAACGATTACGATTTGACATTCCATCAAATTTATGTACATATTTATAGAATTTGAATTATAAATGCTTATAGCACATTCCCATTCTACTCTCACATACAGCGTCATTTTATCATTCAGACATGTCTATAGAATTTGCAATCAAAACGTAGTATTTCTACTGTTGTATCTATCTTTCTAAAACAAATTCTAGTAACATATGATTTTGATGGAGTGTATACATATATCTGTGTACTTACATTCTACGATACTATCATCAAGGACGGTACAGAGTACACCACTTACCTAATTATAATATCACTCCAAAATTGGAAAAAGAATTTGATATTTTAATCTTTAAGTTTTGTTAATATAGTATAGTGTGTCTCTACCACAAGAGGAGATTATTTTCTCATACTTTATCTCCCATGTGTCTCATGTATTATATACTGTTCTACCATTTACACGCCGGTTTGTGTGTGTATATGTCATTAAATTGTAGGTACATTGTGCGAGTAGCATTAGCAAATTTAACTCAAAATATATTCTGATATACTCTATTTTTTTTATTTTAACTTGTTTGAGCCAATATCAAATTTGAACGCATTGTTGATACTTTTATGACTAATGATGAGAAATGACAATGAACTAAATCCTGGACCTCTGCGCAATTTTCATATCTCTCATCTTAATGTTAGATCTATAAAAGCAAATCGGAAATGATTGAAAATGAACTTTCTGAAAACAATAAAACATCTGACAGATTGTCAACTGCATCCTTTGTTTTATCATTGCTTAAGAAACCAAAAAGGAAAGATTTCTTATTTAATATAAAGTTAAATACGAAAAATCTGAGACAGTCTCTCAAAGCTAAGTAACAGTCGTCTCACCTCTTGACAATCCCACAAAATGTGTTCAATTGTTTCTCTATTTGTTTTACATAATGAACATAATGAGGTATCAGATTAACCCATTTTAAACAACACAGAGTTGGTAGTCAAAATGTGGTGATTAATTTTATATTGAAACCATTGAAATTTGGTATTTTTAGTGACTTTAAAAG